GAAGAAGGGACATAGAGTTGGGTTTAGAAGGTTGCGTCGTTTGAATGCATCTGGATGCAAGGTTGGAGCAATGAAACGTCCAATCAAAAGGGTGCAGAAGATTGGCGCTAGGAAGGCCTTCACGAAGATGTTCAATGTTTTTGGATCGTCTCAGCATGGCTCAGGAGTTGGCGGAAAACCGATCATGAAGGTGGTAGGACCAAGGCCAGGTTTTCCAGCTGTACTCCAAGCACCAAATACTGATAGCACGTCGGGTGAAGGGAGCAGTCCCCAGGTACATGGCAATGTTCATGTAGAGCACAGTCGCCCTATGGACCGGTATGAGGCAGAGCGCTTGGAGAAGAGGAAGAAGGGTTTCTGCTATTGGTTTGGCAAAGGGAAAGATCGCTGCAAATTTGGTGACGACTGCAAATTCATCCATTCCGAAGATGATGTGGTGCTACATTCATATTGGTGCAAATACTATGTGGCAGGGAGAGAATGTTTCGCTGGAAAGGATTGTGGGTTCTCGCATGATGCAACTGGTGTGAGGTGGACCATCCCCAAGGGATGGTCCAAGGAGAAAGTCTGGTGCAAATGGTGGAGAAAAGGAGATCCCTCCTGAACAGTTCGATGATGATGAGGAGGATTTTATGGTTTATGACGAAGAGACCAAGATGACGGAACTGTTGATGGAGGCGATTTCATTTCTCTCCGGTGGCAAGCCAGATTTGGCTCGAGCAGAGGCGGACCCATTGTTTAAACTCCTGAAGTTCACTGGAGATGCTGACCAAATGGATCAAGTATGGGTTTCGTGGACCACTGAAATGTTGTCAGTGCTGGAACTTCTCGAAGTAGTGAAGTCGTATGATGTTTCGCTCGCGGAGGTGGAAGAATGGGTCAATGACCTGAGGATATGGTATGAGCGAGCCAATTTGGGAGAAGAAAAGGATCCCAAAAAAGGGAAAAAGAGGTCCCTAGAAGGGGAGTCCAGCAAAGATATTCCTGCCGAAAAAGAAGTGGTTGAGACTTCGGAGACGGAGGTTGCCGTTGAGGAGGAGAAGAAAAAGGTAAAAAAGAAGAGGAAAGCTGCAGCTATCGAAGATCCTTACACTCTCATGGTTCCAAAGCCGAAGAAGATGCCGACGATCATTGAGAAGGGTGGATCAACATCCAATGTGGTGGCTTCTGCAGTGGAAAAATCCTCGAAGACGCGCACAAAGTCAAATGTCGGTGGAAAGACAAAGAAGAAGGAGAAAAGTCAGAGTCCCAAAAAAGAAGAGGTGGTAATGGTGCAAGATCCTGAGGAAAAGGATCGTCCATCCGATGCGGAGGCACCAGGGTCTGCCAATGCGAATGAAGAGCTGGGTCAATCTTGCCAGGCGATTGAGGACGCAAAGAGAGAAGGATTGGTATCCTCAATTCAAAGGGGCATACAGGATCCTATTCTTACGATTTCGGACCTGGAGTATATTCTGCTGCAACTTCACCTCAAGATTGCCAACAATCGGAAAAAGAAGTGATTGGATGGTATGGATGAAGGGATGGTTTTTCTCTTTCTGGAGACCGGTGCGCTGGAACAGCCAATGTGCTGACAATGTGGTGGTTACTATTAAGGGTATGGAAATCCCTGATAGTAGGAGTCAGTAGTTTTTCGCGTAGCGAAGACCACGGTTTGTGGTGAAGAAGGCCAAGGAGTCTTCAGTGATGAGAGGATCAAGGTGAAAAAAGATTCTCTATGGGTAGTAGGTTAGCCAATGTGCTATAATTCCGTCCTGGAAGACGTTAAACCACAATTTGCATTTCAAGCAGCTGGCTGCTGCCGTAATGGCAGTTTTTGGCCAAAAGATCTGCATCTCCAATGTGTCCTAGGAAATCCTAGGACAGGGGGAGTGCGGAGCTGCAATTGGTATTGTAGAAAGGAGTTAGTGTTGGAAGTTGGAAGGGTTAATGAACCCGGTAATCGTATTTGGCTCAAGATGGGCTTGAACAGAAAGCCACAAGTTCAAAAAGTAGTGCCTGGGTTCTTAGGGTTTGGTAAGGGTGTGGATTCCTTTCCCCTTTCCTTCCCCCCTGGGTTGCTCTTATCCGTGTTCTTGGTTGTTTCTTGGTTCGATCTGGGAAATATAAGTTCAGGGCGATTAGGGGAGTTGATTTCCTTCCTTGGTTGTCCCCCCGTATAGGGTTTAGGGTTTACGGTTTAGGGTTTATGGTTATAGCGTGTAGGGCTTATGTAGGGTTTAGGGTGTAGGGTTTAGGGTTTAGGGTGTAGGGTGTAGGGTTTAGGGTTTAGGGTTTAGGGCTTAGTGTTTAGGGTTTAGGGTTTTAGGGCTTGGCCCAGCAGCCTCAGGACAAACAGAGAATTGCCCTTCGTGTTCAAAGGGGGACTCAGGGATCCTAGCCCAACGACAACAAGGGAAATAGGGGTGCTACTTGCTGGGCACCACGGTTTAGGGTTTAGGGTTTAGGGTTTAGGCTTTCGGGTTTGGGGTTTGGGGGAGGCTTTCGAGCTTGGGTCTTAGTCCTGAGGGCTTGCTCCAGACCCTCAACTCGAAACCCTAAACCCTAAACCCTTATAAACCCTAAACCCTAAACCCTAAACCCTAAACCCTAAACCCTAAACCCTAAACCCTAAACCCTAAACCCTAAACCCTAAACATCGTCGGGGCTTGCTTAATGCTCTTAATCTTCGACAGCGACTCTGTCAGGCTGTGAACCCCGCTACTAGAACTCCAGAATCCCCCCCCAGCTCTACTATGATTATCAAGGCCGGTATAAATGCCGCCGTGGGTGCCTTGCCGTGCCATAGCTCAGAGAAGCGGAAAAGGGAGGCGTAGAGGTTCTCTTGGTTGCTTCAATGGTGGGCGCCGTGTGGGGGCGCACAGCGTCTTTCAAAAGCCACTTGTCTCAAAAAACCACTTTGCTCGAAAAGCCACGTTTCTCGAAAAGCCACTTTTCGCGAAAAGCCACTTTTTTGCGAAAAGTGACTTTTCTCGCGAGGTTGCGCGCGCCGTATCCCAGAAAAGCCACTCTTCTCGAAAAGCCGCTTTTCTCGAAAAGCCACTTTTCGGAAAAGTGACTTTTCTCGCGTCGTTGCGCGCGCCGTGTCCCCGAAAAGCCACTTTTCTCGAAAAGCCACTTTTCTCGAAAAGCCACTTTTTGCGAAAAGTGGCTTTTCTTGCCGCGTTGGTGCGCGCCGCGTCCGCGAAAAGCCACTTTTCTCGAAAAGCCACTTTTTGCGAAAAGTGACTTTTCTCGCCGCGTTGGCGCGCGCGGCGTCCGCGAAAAGCCACTTTTCTCGAAAAGCCACTTTTCTCGAAAAGTGACTTTTCTCGAAAAGTGACTTTTCTCGCGACGTTGCGCGCACCGTGTCCGCGAAAAGCCACATCTCTCGAAAAGCCACTTTTCTAGAAAAGCCGCTTTTTGCGAAAAGTGACTTTTCTCGCGGCGTTGGAGCGCACGGTGTCCGCGAAAAGCCACTTTTCTCGAAAAGCCACTTTTCTCGAAAAGCCACTCTTCTCGAAAAGTGACTTTTCTCGCGGCGTTGAAGCGCGCGGTGTCCGCGAAAAGCCACTTTTCTCGAAAAGCAACTTTTTGCGAAAAGTAGTTTTTCTTGCCGCGTTGGTGCGCGCCGCGTCCGCGAAAAGCCACTTTTCTCGAAAAGCCACTTTTCTCGAAAAGCCACTTTTCTCGAAAAGTAACTTTTCTAATCGGTTTTCCCGCTAACCTGGAAGACGCACCGTGTGACAGCTTAGGGTCCTGGCCCGCCACCGAGCCGCCACCATCCCAGCGCACCTCCGACCAGCGGCTCAGGCCGCCTGGGTGGCGCGGTTGCGGCCCAGCGCGCGTTCGCATCTTCCTTGCTCGAGCTGCCCCTTGCGGGTGAGAGCAACGGCGATGATGTCGTGCCTGAGCTGCACGAGGTCCTGGCCGATGGCCGCTGGGATCGCCCCCCGCCCGCCAGCCGCGTGCTGCAGCGGTGGTGAGGCCCCTCCCTGCCGACCCCGTGTGGAAAAAAACCCGACGGCCCGCTTGGAGTCCGCGTCGGAGGCGGGCTTCCGGGCACGGCCAGGGCTGGACTGCTTTGTGCAAGGGATATGGCAGTCCTCAAGCAGGACGCGTCCCCCGTGGCGGGTTTTCGGCCCCCGCCTGTCCTCTCGCTGCCGTGGATGCTACTGTGGATGCCGGTGCCGCCTGGTTCCCTGCACCCCGTCGAGCATGTCATGCAAACTGGGCCGGAGTGCTTCGACATCTCCACGCCCCGTAGCTCGACGAAGCCGGACAGGCAACGCGGAAGAACTGGGCTTTTGGTTCGAAGGCCCCCTGGAAGCCCAGCCTGCCATGGGCGATGCTTTTCAGGAAGCCTGTCTAGGTCCTAGGTGGGACCAGACGGTAGAGATCTCGTTGTTGGGAAGGGTGCTTGAACTTTGCATGGTGGAATTGCGTACGATAGGTCATGCTTTACTTACTACAATGTGAAGGCAGGTGTTTGATGCTTGGGTCTATAAATGCGCACGCTTCACAGCTCCAACTGCCCTCACAGCATCTTGTAACCTGAGTTCTGCGCTGCCTCCTCTTTGGTCCCAGCCCACCCACTCACCATCATAGTAGTCTAGTTGCGCGCCGCCCTCAAAAGTAGTGGTTGACCCACCATCAAGCCAAGCCCATGTTGTGAACCATTGCAAAAGCCGGCGCACGCTTGACAAACGTTGAGAATAGCTACAAACAACCATAAAGTTAAGGCTAGTGGCTGTCCTCAGCAGCTCGCAGAAACCTTTGGAGATTCAGGGGATTCAGGAGGACAACCCTTTTCTGCCCTTTGTTAGTCTCTGTGTGTGTGTGTGTATGAAAGTGTATGTGTGTGTGTGTGTGTGTGCGTGTCAGTGGTTTCAACAAGTACAAGTACAGTAAGGCTGGAAATATTGCCCCCCTCCAACTCTCGGAGCTCCCGAAGCGCGCGTGGGCCGCTTCCTTTTCGCGCCCATGGAAGCGCAAAAAGCTCGCCAAGAGCTTCGCCAAAAATGGTGCGGGTTTTCTATCGGCGTCTCCATCGCCAGCTGCAGCTGCTCCTCCTCACGCTCGCCTGGCGGAGGTACCCACCACAGATTAATTCCGAAATTGCACATGAGAAAATCTAGTGCGCATTCTTTTCTCTTTCTCTCTCTCTCTCTCTCCCTCTCTCTCTCTCTCTCTCTTTCTGCTTGTTTTTCCCTGTGTTTTCTCCATTCTTTATGTGTTGGGCAGCAGAGGCGCGTGTGGGCCGAGGGCGGCGGCCTCTTTGAGGATCTGCTCCTGGATGAAAAGCCAGGCGCGTGTCGGCTCGCCAAGATTTTTTGGCACACACACATACATACACGCACACACATACACACATGCACACATGCACACATACACACATACACACATACACACATACACACATACACACATACACACACACACACGCACACGCACACGCACACTCACACTCACATTCACACTCACACTCACTCACACTCACTCACTCACGCACAGACAGACACCAGCCAGACGGACAATAGGGGGGGGGTGAATTCACGTTTCGGAGAGTTGAATTGTCACACTTCTGGACTTGAAGAGCCACTCGCGCTGAGAACTCTGGAAGCAGCTCTTGCAGGATAACAGCTCATGGCCAGAAGCATACTCAATGCAGTCTGTCCACAAGCGCATCTTCAGTCAACACCCAAAGTTCACTTGAGCTGCGTTTTTTTTAGGCGCTCGAGCCTAGGTACTTTGCAGCGGACATCATGATTGTCCGCGGAAGGGGTGAAGAGGTGAACAAGATTCTGCGGAAGGTCGCGGAAGGGTCCGCGGAAGGCGTGGTGTCCGGGGAAGGCTCGCGGAAGGGCGGCGTGCTTGAAACTTAGATGTAATGGATGCCCAACATTGGCCCAACATGCCGGCAACCGTTTCGGAGAGCGGATCTGCGCGGAAGGCCCGCGGAAGGGTTGCGGAAGCTCCGCGGAAGGCGACGGGCCACGGGTCGTTTTGGAGGCTTATAGAGTCCATGCCTCATCCTCATATACACAGTATACGCTCATTTCTGTTTCGGGACGGGTGCGAAGGTGGAATCGCGTTTTTCCGCGGAAGGCTCGCGGAAGGAACGCGGAACACGCCGCATACGCCGCGGAAGGCCGCGGAAGGGTCCGCGGAAGGGTTATAATGTCCATCGATTCATGCTAGAGTCTGCTAGAGAAAAAAACACGGCTCACTTGCAAGAGTTCATGCGCACCCCAGAGCAGGGTTCATGCGCACAGTGCCGCACAGAAGCAGAATCCTTATAAACAAAATCCCTGTACAACTCCTCCTACCCTCCTAGAGAGAGTTCTTGGTTGCAGTTCGAAAGGCATCCGCCGTTTGGCCCTCACCGATGGAGACAAGGGCGCTGTAGTCGGACTTATCCGTCGGCAGCGGCGCGTGCAGCCCAAGTTCAGCGTGTTGGATGCCTGGCAGTACCCAGAAGCACCCGGCTTTCATGCCAACGTCGAACATACTCGTACCCTATCACATTTTGGAATGCCAGATGTTTTCAGGGTTATTTCTGGTGGTTCGCTTTGCTGTGTCTGTGTGGGTGGGCCCCCAGGACCCTGAAACTCCTTCGTCCTCTGAAGTGTCTTCCCTTGTCGGCAAAGGACATTGGCGCTGTGGCAAACCCCTGGTCCATCCACTCTGGGGTCGGACGAGAATTAAACCCTGAAACAGAAGTTTTCTAGTGGCTTCGGACCTTCTTGATCCTTCTGATCCTTTTGTGCATGAGCTGTGAGTGACAGGCTTGATTACAGCTTAGTTTTTTACGAGCAGTTTCGGTATCATCGCCAGGTGGCAGATGCCATCTTCGATCTCTTCGCCGACCATTACCCCTCCTGCTTCCTCCCGGACCAGCTTCAATGGGGTCGAGACTGCTGCAGCTCCAAACACGAGAGCCGGCAGAATTACTGTGACGGTGATGGAACTTAAACTGTGATTTCTTCACTGTCCTCTTTGAGGCTTCGACTTTCGGCAAATTTCTGCTGCACATTAAGGATGCTTGCTTCGACGGGCTCTACACGCGGGACCTTCTGTCGGATCAGACTGCAAGCATGCCAGCACAGCCTTAAACAGTGCTTACCCCCCCAAGAGCATTCTCCGACCAGTCCAAAAATAACATCAAAAGCATTCCACCATCAAACCCCCCTTCTCTGCCTGAGGTAGAACTTTCCGACAGGGAGCCAGAGCCAACCTCCCCCATTTTCGCCCGATTTGCGTGTGCAACTAGCAACCCCCCGTTTCGCCGGAGGAACGTCTCCGATCAGCAACCCCATTTCCGCCCGTCCAAATAGCAACCCCCCCTTTCGCCCGAGGAGCTCTGCAACGCCCCCCCATCTTCGCCTGAGAAACTAGCACCCCTCCCCCCTTGTCACAGGAGCGCTGCTGCAGGGGCCCTGAGCCTGTCCAGCTGATGCAGTTCGTGGGGGATGTCACGGACGAGCATGGCGGCGGATGGAAAAACTTGCAGGTGCGGAAAGAAGTTGCCGGCATGTGTTTTGATATTGTCGTTGTTGTATTCGCTGCACTCGCTGTCCAAGTGTTTGAGAGGCACGAACGAAAACCAGAATGGGTCCACACCCACTGGCAAAGAAACCGTGGCCGACCCAATGGATTGCGCAAGACAATGCCCAAGGGTAGTAAATGTCGCGGCACCAGGGACTTCCGGGCTTCCGGGCTTCCGGGCTTCCGGGCTTCCGGGCTTCCGGGCTTCCGTGCCTTTTGCCGCTGCCTTGAGCGCATCGAGAAAGACGAGAGAGACAACTAACCCACAACACAAGTGGCGAAGCGAAAATCCTTGCGAGTGGAAAGGATCCTTTCGCTGAAACTAGCCAGAGTCAGGGCAGAAGCAGCGTATGTGCTGTAAATGCAAACGTACAAATCCAGAGGGCCTCAGGATCAATAAGGCACAGCAGAAGAAGAGGAAAGACCAGCCCTGTACGGGAGTTCCACAGACGCAGGCCTACGTGGCCGCCTTTGGCAAGCCTTCTGGCAGTATCCTTGTGCTTGTCTTTTGTCTCAGCATGTGCGCAGTTTCATCACAAACAGAGGTTCGAGCTGTTCCAGCGTCATTTCTCAGAGCCCGAAAACAGTCCAGGTTTGACTTTGTGGTCACGTCCCACGTTCTGGAGGATCTGCGTGAACCGTCAACGGTGCCTCGGACGCGATAGGGTAGCACGTACGTTAAGGAATGTTGATGCAGTGAAAGGGGCTTGGCCAAGGACAAGATGGCACTTAAGTCACACTGCCCTCCGGAAGGCTCAGAATCCCCCCCCTTGCAAGGAGGCATGTGGCAAAGGTCTTGGTTGCATACTCGGCAAAATCTCGCCCACTCTGGCTTGCAATCCCAAGACCCAAAACCTGTTCAGTACACCAACACAAAGATCCAGCGACTTTTGTTCGATGAAGGTCGTTCGGCTGTTGCCGATGATCGCAAAGGCTGGATTTGTGGCGGTGCCTTCGAAGTTCTACGAGCTCACCTACCAGGCGCGACAGAGCCACCCACACATACCAGCCAAGTCAAGTTCTTATTTGCCCCCCCCCTCCCCTCCCCCCCTCGCCCTGTACTTGTGTCACACGCCTATAGTCCAGCATCACTGAGAGCTTGAGAATCCTGCATAAAGACCCCCACACATCCCTCTCTCGCTCTCTCTCTCTCTCCACACATGTGGGGTCCAGCACTGTCCCGATTCGTCTTACCTCAGTACTACACGGGCAGGATGACTGCTTCGTCTGCGCTTGTCAATTGTGATTGCCGTAGGATGACACACCAGACCCGGACTCCTTGGGCCTGAGGCGTGCCCTGGCGACACAACTCAGTTTATACATCATTTGCATAATTCTCCCAATTGTAATTCGTAAATTTCGGAGTTCGTCCCCCCCTGGATCGGAAAAACAATTTGCGCCCTTGTTACGGCCACCTGTCGGTTGCTCTCTAGGTTCTCGCTCCGCCCTCAGAAGTGGGCAGGAGTCGCCGACGCTCAAACTGGCTGAGGTGGCACTCTTCAAGTTCTCGGGGTGCCCGTAGCCGGGTACAGAACTGTTCGGGGGGCACTCCCCAAAGGGTGGTTGTGGGTGGTTGTGGTAAACATCGAATCTATTGAATCTACGGTGGAGAGCACTTTTGGGCCGGGATTCCGATGCACATGTTTGGTTGGAAGGGTGTACTCGTGTAGTCAAGATAGCTAATGCGGACCCGAAGGCCGATTGGGTTCTTCAGAGCACACACGAGCTGCACAGCACAGACTCAGGAAAACACATGCAGAAAGGGCGGCCCCTCCTTTGAGGAGTGGGGGGGCGCATACGTGCTGATGGGAGAGGGAAGGGAGAGAGAGAGAGAGAGAGAGAAGTGAGAGCAAGCAAGAGAACGAGTCAGCCATCTCGTTAAGGCAAGTATCGCGGCTGCATCCACCATCACTGGATCTACACGGTGCAGAATGACACCTTGCTAGCAGCTCCAGAGCTGAGACGTTGGGCATGAACGGCCAGACATTGCGGGTCCTGAGTACATGCAATGTATATTTGTACGAAAGCACGACTCTCTTATCTTCGAAGCAGAGGCGTGCTACAATATGCCCTTGAGCTTTCACCAGCTCTGAAACTCCAGGACCCCAGGAAGTCGCTTGCAAGAACCACACGCCACAGTAATATGTTCTCGTACATCTAAGGTTCCGAAGCTGCCATACTTGGAGGAAGATGCCGTGATGGATGGCCTGGCAGCCTGAATGATGCCAAAGGTTTGCTGCAGATGAGTAGGCTGCACTCGCAGGAATCGATCTCCCAGTAGTCCTCACTAGGCTTTCAACATCACACAACCCCGTGCAGTAAGTCGTCAAAAGCCCAATGACTTGCCGTGGCCTTCTGTTGGGTATCTGGGGATGCCTCAGAAGCCAAGGAGCTTCTTGGCCGGAACGAGAGCCTCAAGGAGCGCTGTGTCGATTGGGCTTGGCTCGTGTTTTGGAGCATGTTTTCAGCTTCCGCCTGTGAGTTGTTGCTTGCTTTTCTGTCGGCTCCCAACCTTTCTTTGGTGAGGAGATGGCCCTGGTCTGGACGGGCCGATTGCCGATGAAGCTGTTAAACCAGGGCTTCATGGGCCCCACTGTGGAAGGAGCAGCTCCGACAACTGACATGTTTCTTTTCTCTGTAGTCTCTGGCTTTCTTACATCCGTAAACCGCAGGGAACAGCTCCCCAAGACAGCTCCCACCGCTCAAGAAAGCCACAGCAGGAATTGTGCAGATGGTACGCGACGCTGTTGGGCCAGCATCGTTCGCATCTCGGCCAAGCGGTTGCGGCTGCGAGAGGCCGAAGTTTCCTATGTTGCAGATTGCACGACGAAGCTGCGAAGCTCCGATTGCCTTACCTAGATCGAGAGGGGCATGTGTATATCACCCCGAGAGGTCCACCCGTCAAGGGTTCACACGCCCCAAGGTGCCCTAACTCTGACGTAACCCCAAAGGCCTCCTTACTTGAAGGTGCTGTGGGAGGGTTTTCTGTTCGAGTCAATATTTGGAGCTCGTAGCGCAGTAGCACAAAGTCGCACGGTCGGTAAAGCACCTCCCACTCCGTGCTCCAAAGCCCAAGCCCTAAGCCCTCACCATCAGATGTAGCCAAATTAGAGACATCTTCCTGTGTGCTACTTTAAAGCCAGCAAACCCTTAAGGAGGAAGAAGGCTCAACCAGACTAAGTAGACCCTTCCCAGGATGATGTTGACAGGGCCCGGCTCTCGACGCAGCAGTTGCCGTAAGACTCGAAGAGGCTCTGGAGATCCCCTAACAAAACTGTAAGGGTTTCGGCCACTGAGTTTCAGGCTCTTTGAGACTCTTTGAATTTTCCCAGGTCTTGTTAGTTTCATGTCAGGAAGCTGGGTAGGAAAGGGTGGACATGGTGGGAAAGACTGGACATGCAGAGGCTTTCCGATACGTACTTCATAGCCGTTCTTGAGGAGCCGGGTTCTGTTTTCGTGTGAATCTCAGCAACTGTCTTCACCCATGGTGTCAGTGAATTGTCGTAAACTCCACATGGCAGGCTGGCTGCGCTTGCAAGGTCGAAGAACATGAGAGCTCAGAACAGCTCCGGATTGTAGTTGCACCCCAGGAACTTTAGGGAGCGTCGCATGTGAGATCGTGCCTGACGAAAATTGGGGCTCGCGCACAAGAGTCCATGCAAGGCCCTGAAATGGGTGGCATGTTTAACTTAATTTAACTTAAGCTTGCAAGTCCTATCCGCCGGACATGATGCGCGCTTCACAACTGCACAACACGGGCCACAATCTCTGCGACGGCAGCAGCAGCAGCAGCAGCAGCAGCAGCAGCAGCAGCAGCAGCAGCAGCAGCAGCAGCAGCAGCAGCAGCAAGAGCAGCAAGCAATGCATACAGAAACACACATATATATATATATGTGTATGTAGAGATTTGATGTTAAGCCATGGACTTGACACATCATTTTGGTTTGTTTTTGTCTCTCGACCATTTGGCAGCCCATTTTTGTAAGAAGGCTTGCCTGTTTCCACGCTGCCCTCAGGTGTAGGAGTGGCGCCTCCATTGTGCTACTAGTGCAGCTGCTATGTCATTCAAAGTGCTGTGGTTGGGCTACGCGCCGCCGATTCTACGCATGTCCCAGCATGTCGGGGGGTGATGGATCTTTGCTTATTTGGGATAGATTGCTTTGAGAATGTCTGTGCAAACTGGCATATATTATTTCATTTCAAGCGCTAGGAATACCACTTCATTCAATATGATTTATGTATATGGATGACTTTGTAAAAAACTCATGAGGGCATGCCTCAGAATTTTAAACGAAATATGTTGTTCGAGGGTTTGATACGTGATACCATACGATTTCTACGGATAATAGAATTTGTTGCCACGACTAGTCTGAGGTATCTCTGCCATCTCGGTCAAGAAAACAACGAATGGAATGATATTTTGCATTGGGAAAGGCATAGGCATAGGATGAAGAGAAGAAAGATGGAGAAGGATCATAATTCTAGGTACTATCGATTCGGACGGGGATACCAAAGTATCCGAAAGTTGCCGGAGCCTGGGTCCCTTGGAGGCTCCAGCGTTGCAGGGCGCTGTTGAAAGCGCATCAAAGGGCCCAATGAGTTGTAGGCTGTAGGAGGAGTTGTGGTAGTTGGCGATTGTACGCAATAAGGCTATTTCTCCTCATGGCTGCATCGGAATCCCACTTGGCGTTTTCCTTTCCTTCTTTCTCTTCCAATGCCTCGGCGAAATCGGGGTGGTGGGTTTGCTTGCACATGCTTGCAAGGGCATCGGATAAGATGTGTCGTTGTTTTGATGCTAGAATGGAATTCTGGACGATGCTTGCGCCTGGCTGGGGAGTAGAAGTCTCCTGACGCTATTTGTATGCGAGACGTCTTGGGAGCACAAGTTCTGAAATGTTTTAGCTACAGGACGAAGCTCCGAACTCCTGGAATTTCAAGATTTGTATCCGTATTGGCGGAGAAAGAAATGTTCCACCTCCGTCGTCTCAACCTTCCACTAAGGATTGCACGCGCAGACGTTGCCGAGGCATCCTGGGCCGATCGGCCTCTACAAGGGTCGCCGATGCTTCAGGATTACGTGTGCGACCTTCCTATCGGGACTCTCCAGTTTCGCCAGGAAACAGGTCGCTACACCACCGGCACTTTGATTTCGCCATTAAGGCTTTGAGCTTATCGCATGGCCCTGCTGGAGCCCGTGTCTCTTGGACACAAAGCATACGTCCCACAGGTCAACCCAGCCTGAAAAGCAATTGGTTGACACGCTGCGCTCGCCGCGGTGGCGACGACGAGAACTAGCAGAACCGCGGCCGTTTCCCGAGTGGTCAGCACTTGCAGATGACACAAGGCGATTGAAAGAATCACGGATTTGCGCTGGCAAACTCGCAACATCAGCAGGGTTCGCACACATATCAGACAAATAGCACTGCAACAGTCCAGAGCGAGCATCTGAATTCGATTGAGGGGTTAATTGCAGCAGTTGCGGCCAAAAAAGTGCGCTCGACAATGCCCCGTGTGGCCTACAACGTCAACAGGAGCCTGGCAACCACGACTGCAGGTGCGCAGGCCTTGGAGCAGTTGGGAGCACCTGCATCGGGCATGGTTGCTATGTTCTCGACAGCAACCGGTGATGGTCCGGCGCCCACAGGCCCGCGGTCAACGGCCGAGGCGGGGCAGGTGGATCAAGACGACCACAAGCATGACAACGGCAGCAGGATTGGCCAAGAGCCGCTACCACACGCTCAGACGGCATTGTGGGGCAATCTACATGACGGCAGAGGTGCGTTGGCCGTTCCAGCGGGGGCGTTGCAAGGGCATCGCTCGCTAAAGCAGTGACGAGCACAGTAACCTGTATACAAACACCAGCAACAGAATTATGACATGAGTCGCAAACACGCACGCACTTCAGGCGTCGCCTGATCGATGTGTTACGAATGACGATTTGTAGATGGAACATGCGACGCTTGTCCTGTTGGAGCCCGCCAGTACTTGATGCGACTTGTTTTGACTTTCGGAACTCTTCGCAGTGGCATGCTTGTCGTGGGTCATTGCTTATGCACGATCGCATGCCAGTCCATGTGGAAATTGAGTTTCTTAGACAGCCGTTTTTGGTACGCGACCCCGAGGCGACACTGCGCTCGCATGGCTCAGTAACGTGTTAGCAGACCTTCCGGGGAAGAGCCCCTGTCGCTGCGACAGAAACGATCGTGCGTCACGATCAGAGCCAACTCGGAAGGATCCATGCAGGAGCCAAGCGAATGGGTGCGGCCGTCGCCAGCCCTGTGAACAGATCCACGACTACATCGCTGCATGTCCACACTCTGGAGTTCTGCGGATTCGAAAGATGATAATTTTCATACATTTTCATTGTTCACCGGTCCATATTTCGCTGGCTCTAGGGGACGGCTTTCGCCGTTGGGTCCTGATGCCTGATGTGGTGTCTATCCAGGCCAGTTGTAACATCCCTGTAAGAAGCACGGCTTTCTTCGTTTCAATGGACTTCTCGTGCATTGCTTTACTTCCCGTGTTTTCACAGGAAGGTCTTTTCCCTTGGCTGCGGGCGGCGTGTCCGACGGTCCAAGAGTGCCAACACGCAGCTTGTTGAAAAGTAATTGTGTGAGCAGTGCTCTTGAACTTGAACAAGCGTGCACTCAGGTACCGGGTGACACTTCAAAAGCAGGCTGTGATTGGGAGTGCGTGTTTGGGCGATGTGCAATCGCATATTGTGTGTGACAAGTCTGCGAGCATGTGTGTATAGTGTACGCAAGCAGGGCGTCAAGCCCAGTCCATGTACCTGCACCATGCATCAAAGCTACATTGGAACAAGGTTACCGCATCATTGTGAGATTGTCGATGTCGGGTCGGCAAGATTTGCCATGCTTCTTCTTGTTTGATCGTCACCAGGCATTTCCACAGTGACAACAGTGCTTGCGTCCACAAACCATGCACAGCTTGCGTTTCAGAAGGTTCGACAACCATCATAGGCAGCAGGTGCAAGGCAGATGGGCTTGCCCTGACACCCCCGCTACACCCTTGGCGTGGAGTGAAGGTAGAGAGAGAGAGAGAGCTTGTTTGAAGATGTTTTGTTTTTGCGGAACCACGAGCCAGTGATTGTTGCTGAGAAGCCAGAGTAGGGTCGATCATGTTGCGAAAGACTCAAGTCAGGGCCTCCCCGAGAGCAGTCAATGGAAGGTAGGGAACGATGTTGTTCTTGTTTCCCGCACTCTGCGCTTTGCCGGACTACGTCAAGAGTTCAGAGATTCGTCATCCATGCGTTGCCTCATCCGGCTCGCCTTTTCTGCGCCATTGCTACATATAAGTGCCGCCTCAGATCAACACCGAGTGTACGTGAGTCCTAAGCGCAGCTTTCCGAAGAGGCATTGGAGGACCGCTTCGGCATCGTGATTACGTACACCAAACGCGGGGAAGGCGAGGCACCTACTCTCAGAGTGTCGAGTGCGCTTGGGTTTAGTGAAGTGATGTTTAGTGTATTTGGTCTCCTAGGACTGCTGATCAAAGACGTGGGCCCGGAGTCTGCGGTCTTGCAGTGCCGAGCCTGAGACGCACCATGCAAATCATTTGCACACAGCCACATGCCAACGTCCTTTCCAACATCCACTCATCTTTTGTCCACACGCTCTCTTTCTTTCCCTCTCTGTGCCTCTTTCTCTTGAATTCTGTTTTTCTTTTCCTCTTTCTTTCTCTCAGTGCTTTGTGCTCTCATGCTCCTCGCCTTGCCCATGTTCAGTTCTGTGCTCCCAGGGGATCGAAGCCAGGTGGAGCCAGGAGCATCCTGATCGCCCAATCCGCATCGGCTGTGCCATCCTCGCCATCAACGGGTGGCTCTGGCGTAGTGACACTCCCATGTGCCTGGTTTGCTGTGCATGTTTTTCACGTGCCGTGGTTCTGCGTGGCCTGGCGTATCCCTTGTGCAGGGAATATCAGATTGAGCCCATGCTGGAGCAGCTGCACATGTCCTGCAAGCTTGCAGCTCGCAGAAGCAATATGATGCCACAATTACATATAAGAGAATCTTCAAGCAGAGACGTGAAAGAGGCGGTTGAGAGCAGAGTATGGCTGAGTTGCCGAGTGCCTTCGAATTGGACTGAGGAGTTGGTGATCACGTGCGAGCTCACAGCCAACCAGCAACAGACGTTGCAAAGGTCGCTGCAGAAGACAGCCGCTCGCCTTCCAGCACATCATGGACAAAGGACTGTTGTTGACCAGTGGACTCTGTTCTGCTGCATTGCTGTTGCTTCTTGGGTCTTGTCACTTGAAAAAGGCAAATGCAACTGAAGCAAAACGAAACCACTTCGTGGTTTCCGCAAAATGGCGAAGGTTTGCGTTTGCGCGGAGTCGGATACAGGGCTCGCAGGTTTCGGGCTTCAAGATTGTAGAGGCCTGGTTACCAAAGATTCGTGTTTGTGCACATCAGCGACGTGGCCGATCATACTTCATACACAAGCGGGAAATACGCGCATGCCTTGCAAGCTGGCTTTGCCTTCGGTTATTCGATGCGGCGCTTGGTGTCGAGATAGAGAAGAAAAATGTTCATGTAAAAAAGAAGTTCAGGTACCTTCTTCTGTGGTGGAATCGCTTCCTCGAGCAGCTTCCCCGCAAGTCTTTTCCAACCAATCCTTTCCGCTTCTATAGGGTTCGCTCTCTGGCTTCACCTGCATAGGTTGCAGCCGACAAATTCTCGGATGTCTGCGCCATTTGCGTCTCTCTTAGTCAGCCACAGAGTCCACACAGACTGCTGCACGTGCGTAAGCATTCCGAATGTTGTTATGTGTGTTGGTCGAGGTTTTGAGGAACTGGATGGGACCTTACCGATCCAGCTGCCGTGCGGACACGCCTTCCACGCCCCTTGTGCCACTTCGAGGGCAATTCTGAAGGGCAGTGTGTGCGCAGAGGGTGAGGGCGAGCAGAAATCGAGCAGTGTACAAATGCTGCAACATGCTGCAACCGGGCACGTGAAATTCCGTCTTGAGAAGTTTTAGGTGAAGACCTGGCTTGTCACGCGCAGCCGCCGCTGCCCGATGTGCAACCAGCCGCTTGGTGCCTTGTAGCCTTGAGACTGAGCAGACGGCGGCCAAACACAATAAGCCCAATAAGCATCCAATAAGCCAATATTCTTCCGTTACTCCAAGGGACGTGGATTTGAGCCGACCGGGTGGTGATTCTCATCATTCTCATCAGCTACCCCGCGCTGCGCGCTTGAAACCTGAGTCTGAAAGGGAATATGCTATGGTTATGTTGCGAAGAGATCAAGGCAAGATTTCCAACGGAAACAGCATAAGCGAGTACAATTCTCACCAGTCCTTGTTGCCGGTCGCCACTTCACCCAGGTGCTTCATGAAGCAACTCAGTGACTCCACCAGTGTGCCTGGGTTGAAGCTGAAGATGTTGCAAAGACAGTCCTGAATTAAGGAGGGGTGACCGCCGTCAAGCCTGTAGGACCTTAAGACCTGAAGCGTTTAAGCCTTGAAGATTCCTGGAGCCCAAGGCCCTCAGGGCCTCAAGCCTTACTGCGTAAGCCCTCAACCCTAAACACCTGTGCCGTGGCTAGTCGGTTGCCAAAAAAAGCACAAACCCTTAAATAAAACAATCATCCGGCAAAAACTGTGTATTATAGAGGGTGACCAGACACACTGACTACAGACAGTCCGGCCGGCGCGCGGGCTACCTATCACGAAATTTGTTTGGTGCCTCGTTTCGAAATGAAATTCGACAAGGCTTTACATGGAACTGGCCGGGCTTAGCTTTCTGGATTCTCCGGGCTCTGGCTGTTTAAGATTCCTGGAGCCCAAGGCGTAAGCCCTTAACCCTAAACACAAACCCTTTAAAAAAACAGCCGTCCGGAAAACAACTTGTGACAATAACGGGTACCTCCAACAAACTCGGTTCGCAGAATAAACTTTGGAAACTTGTGATTATATAGAGGCTGCATATACTAAACCGAGTGCAACATGACTTATAGCCGAACAAACTGAATCTTCTCCTTGTGTTGCGGTGCATAGGCCATGTGTGTGTGTGGGGGGCTGTGAAGCAGAAGACCCCCCCCCAACCCACCCCACACCCCTGAGGCCAGCACAGTTTGCCATGATTGTCATGAGCGGCGAGGTTGCAATATGAACAGGGGCATGCAGATCAGACATGTTGGGCCAGGCTGCGATAAGGCTACGAGCCATGCAGGCGAAACGTCTTGGCTTGAACTGCATACGCTGCGCACAAACAGCCTCCCAGAGGAACAAGCAAGCAGAAGCGGGTAGGCATGCCTTTATGGGCCAGGCAAGTGTGAGATCGTGTGTGAGCCAGCAAGTGTCGCTGTCAAGAATGGATGGATGCTGCACTTGACACATTGTGCATCCCATCTGCAAAAAGGCAAATCCGTTGAGCGTGTGAGTGAAGCCGAGTGTCATGGGAGATTTTAGTTGCCCTCAGAGCTCTTTGCCTCGACATGGAGTGCGCACTCCATGTGCTCAATTATGCCTATATAGATGAGCATATGATGTATATATTAATATACAGTATACATATATGTTATATCTGGAGAGAGTTGTGTATATATATATATATGTATATATATATATGTATATATATATATATTTTTTTTTTACACATGACATACACTGAAGCCCGCAAGGCACATCATCGCGCATGTGCGACTATGGAATGTCCCAAAGGCAGCATAAGGGAGCAGCTAAGACTAGCTAAGAGCAGAGAAGCGCTCTGAAAGGGTTTGGAAGGGAGGGCACCTCACTCAGAAGGAGCGGGGGTGTTGGCCTCCTCCAAGATGGAGAGAACTCTCCGAGAAGAGAAAGCAATCAGAGTTGTTGAAGACAGACTTTAGTTGAGAGTTGCTCTCTTTCTTCGCAATATGCATGCATCGGGGAGGGAGATACGCCGAATTCATCTCCCCCCAAGTTCCGATTATGTCACGCGTCCGACTTAGCAGACGCAGAAGCCTTTTAAGCATTCCTGTCCGTCTTCGAACGAGGAGGGGGCGTGTTTTTTTTTCGATAATGATAAGCAGAGTTATGACCCAAAAAACCCATCTAGTTAAAGGCCAGGAAAGACCCCCGCCCCCCCTCCGAGCCTCCACTTCTGCACAGCGTCGCGCGGGAACCTCACGAGGCTCGGAGGCTCGGAGAGCCAGAGCCCTGCCAAGGGTGGCAAAAAAGGCGAAGGGGGCGAAGGGTTCCTGGGTTCCTGGTTTGTTTTTTTTGCTCGCCTGGTGATTCCAAGCATGGCTTGTTCATGAAACCCCTTCTGGCGGGCTATTCGTGTGGTGACCTTTCCTGTTTCGTGGCACGCGGCTCAAGATACTGCATTTGAGGGAGCATGCTTCTGACTTGATGCTCGGGCCACACCAGACAAGCGGAGGACCAGAAGACCCATGCCTTCGTTTAGGATGTTTTTTGTGGTCGTTGGCTTCGTTCAGGTTTTGGGGTTTCGAGGCTTCTGGGTTGGTTGGCTGTTAAACCTTAGCGGCTTTGTCACCACTTCCACTTGGTATTGCGACTACTCACGACTGACATATACTACTAGTATTATTCTTGCCACCTCCACTTACGCTACCACTACCACTACCATTGATACTTCCGTTGTTCTCGTTCTGTTACGACGCGCGTTTGCTTCTCACATTTTTGTTTGTCCTGTTCTTCAATGTCTTTGGTTTACCTAAACACTGTTTTCCGGGCACAAGCACACGTAAGCTTTCTCATAGCATTTCTCTACTTTATCCTCCATGGCTACTTGTCACGACGCGTCTTCTTCCAGAACTTTTTGTGCCGTGTGTTGTAAGAATACTTTACATGCTTTGGGCATGGTCGCCATACGAAGGAATGTGAAGTTGCTCCCTAACCAAGCCCAAGCGAAATTGCTGCTGCTGCTGCTGCTGCTGCTGCTGCTGCTGCTGCGAAGTTTTGGCTCAAGCCATGTTGGCTCAAGAAGACGCTCAAGTACTTGTTAGAAAGTTTGCCGTGGCAGGAATGATGCCTGATGTCGATACAACCAAACGACGCGCGCAATCGCCCTTTCCAAAGAGCCTTTGGCAGGGGTTGAAAGATTCCAAAAGAGCGATTGGATCACGACAGACGACAGTGCCAATTCTTTGACACCGATCTGCCCCCCGAAAGGTTGCGAACGTATCTTGAGCGAGGGCGAGCGTAAAGCCACAGCGGAAAGACCCCCGCGGCAATCAGCTTGAACTGTGAGTGGAACTGCATCCTAATTTTGCAGGGAGATTCAACCTGTGACTTCGTCCATGGAACAGATGACAAAAGACTTCCGTATGTCAAACTTCAATCCACCTCTTCCTTCCAAGCAGACAAACGATGCCTTGCGGCTGTTAAATGCAATCTTGAGGCTGCAAACGTCGGCGCGAGCGCAAGCCTGGCTGACGTACAAACTGTTTTTTCCTTGGATGGCCCAAATGCGCGAAGTATCTATGACAAGGGAGGCTTCCAGGGCACACTGCTTTGCAGAGCAAGCGTTAGCGCGCAAAGACGGCCTAGTTTTCTTGTGAAAATGGTCGACAGCGCGGACCGCGATCGGCTGTCACATGCTCTCTGCCGATTTGGTGCGCCGCAACAATCTCGAGAGTCCGGACAGACAAAGCAAAGTTCACGATTGTGGCCGAGATTCTTCTGTCCGTCGCCAACATTTTGGGATTTCTCAGGGATGCCCGTTGTCCCTTCCCCTTCTTATTCTCAGTGATGATGACCGTGTTGCTGTTCGACGTTTCCGACGCGTTACGTTCGTGCTTGCTATGCTCCAAAGCTGACCTGCCGGCCGATGTGCTTGTGTAACTTGTGTATGCAGACGACACCATGGTTGTCGCTTCTACGGCGTCTCGGGCTTCTTTTTTGCATGGACTGCCAACTGCCATGCTCGAGCTGGCAGAGATAATGGGCTTTGTTTCTCGTGGCGCAATGTCGAAACAATGCCCATTCGCTGCATCTTTCAATGTGCTGAAGTCTAATGCTCATCCATTTTGAATGCAAGTCTTCTTTGGTTTGTCTGGGAAGTCCTTTAGAATGATCCGGGGACATTGGGTCTGAACTCAATCGACGGCTGGGCTCTGCCAGATCTGATTTTCAATCCCTCAGCAAATTTTTGAAGCACGCTTCCATTACAGCCCCATCGCACGGTACGCACATTGGTTCGCAGTTGCTGTGTTGCCTGGCTGAACGACAAAGCATCCCTCGAAAGTTGGATGGCTGTCAAGCTCGATGTTGACGCAGAATTCTTGGAATCCCACATTCTTACCTAGGCCTAGGCCGCGTCTCCAACGCGGAGGTTTCTTTTCTGTTTTGGACCCAAGTGTTCTCACCATGTGCATGTGGCACAGTACACGAGGCCTTGACAGAACAACAACGACGACGACGACTACTACTACTGATGCTGACTCTGCTATGTTGCTACAGACTACTTCGCATGCAATTCCACGCAACCACTGCAAACCGGGGCACCCCGCACGCCCCCCTCCCAAGCGCAAAACAAGAAAGCCACGCCACAGCCACGGTGGTTTTCGAGTCAAGACATAGAGGAAGCTGGGGAAGTTGCTCCAACTAACAGAGTGTAGCATTTGCAGCTACATGCCCCCCTGCCACCTGTAGAACGTCGATACGCTCGTTTCATTATGCGGCCCTGTGAATCATGATTTTTTGCTTGTTTCTAGTTGTCAGATGAGGTCCACGCCATGCAAAGTCAAGCAGCCGAGGAGGACGGTGGATTAAACGTAGATGGTTGAAGTCGCTTGGAGTGGTCCCTTTGGAGTCTCCTCCTCCGCTAGGGTACCGATGACATCGACAACTCGCCGTCTCTCCAAGAGTGGTTCCACATGATTCGTTCCGTCAAGAAGCTTGGCCGAATCCTTGAATCAGAGCACGGCTTGTGCTCATGCTTCGTACTATGCAAGGTCCTGCCCGGCCAGTGAGTGCGGAGGGTATGGCAGTGAGAACACCACGACAGAAGACATTTCCGAAGACGGGCATGGCCATGATGATGACGCCGTGCCACTGTCTCTGCTGCTTGGTGGCAAGAGTCTGAGACACGTCGGTGAGGCATGGCCGCAAAGGCTGACATGAGCCCATGTCTTGATCCAGGGACGACAAGAAAACTTTGAAATCCAACTCTCGAGCTTTCCCCGGGTAACAGGAAGGGACGAACAGGTTTTCGCAGCCCATGCTGTCCTCTCCGTCAACGTGGATATCGTATGCGGTGCCGTTGTGTCAGGCCTTCTGTCGATGTCGTACTAAGGTACTTTGAATCTCAGGTCCATCATGTCATGTGTGTTCCAGCTGTTTCCAGTTGGTTTGTCGTGCAAGCTTGCAACTTATCATGGGCCTGTTTTTTTTGCAAACTCAGGTTTCCCACGCCTGAAAATTCACCGCGGCATTTGTCGGGAAGATCTCTTTGGGGCACTGGTTGTGCGGATTCAGGCATAGCCGGCTGATCACTCGTTTGCGCGAAGGTGTCACCCTTTCTGAGCTGCAGGAGAGCGGACCCGACTGTCCAGCCAAGCAACGCCTTTCCAACCTAAGCCGAGAGCACCAACCCACAGCACCACTTGGTATGCGGTGCTTCGCCTCAGTGCAGCTGTCTCAAGCGTCTCACCGAGGTGTCATGTTTCATCAATCAGATATCCTGACCTCCATGCGGGCAAGTGCGTCAGGTTCCTCCAACTTGCTACACCGGCGTGCAAAGCATGGTTGGCGTGGCTGGGACACAGCCTGTTCAGGCTTTTCCGACTGCTTGCCGCGCTCAAGCACAGGAAGTGAGGTTTTCTTTGCATTCATGCGGATTCTTCTTGTGCCGGATAGGACGCAGCGTAGACGGGTAGGGTTGCGCAGGGGGACATTGTGTCAAAACGGTCGCCCCCCCCGACCCCCTCCACAAGCTGTTGGTGCCGTTGGTGCCGAAAACTGGCTTGGCAGTTGGCTCTCTTCACAGTAATCGCTCACGCAACCATGGCCTGGGGGAGTCTCCTAGTTTCTTCGTGCGGCTGTGCTTGGCAGCCTGGATCGTTTCTGCGTGATGTCCTGGCGAATCGCAACTGATCGCCCAACTCCCATCCGCAGCTGCCCTGCGGGATGGGTCTTTCGAATGGCTTCTGAAATGGGGGGGTCACATCCGAGCCTGCGTAGCACAGGGTGAACAGCATCGACATCACGGGTTCTTGCTGGGCCCACGCAAACTTGCTTGCATTGCGCGCGGAAACAGGGACTGCGCACCGATAAACCCGCTAAACCCGCTAAACCCGTGGCGCACCGCTAAACCCGCTAAACCCGCTAAACCCGCTAAACCCGTGGCGCACCGATAAACCCGCCAAACCCATGGCGCACCGATAAACCCGCTAAACCCGATAAACCCGCTAAACCCGTGGCGCACCGATAAACCCGCTAAACCCGCTAAACCCGTGGCGCACCGATAAACCCGCTAAACCCGTGGCGCACCGATAAACCCGCTAAACCCGATAAACCCGCTAAACCCGTGGCGCACCGACCCGCTAAAAAACCCTGGCGCACCGATAAACCCGCTAAACCCGTGGCGCACCGATAAACCCGCTAAACCCGATAAACCCGCTAAACCCGCTAAACCCGTGGCGCACCGATAAACCCGCTCCCCGCTAAACTCGTGGCACACCGATAAACCCGCTAAACCCGTGGCGCACCGATAAACCCGCAAAACCCGACAAACCCGTGGCGCACCGATAAACTCACTAAACCCGACAAACCCATGGCGCACCGACAAACCCACAAAACCCGACAAACCCGTGGCGCACCGACAAACCCGCCAGGCCCCACAAACCCCGCACCCGGCGCCAAGAAACCTGCTGCGCACCGACCGATAAACCCGATCCTCAACTACGTCCCTTCCTGACGGTCGCTGCCGCTGCCGGGCCCGATCAGCGTGACCAACCTGCACCCCTCAGGGTCGCGTCATCATGCGTCATCGGCCCAAAGCCCCCATGAGTGTAACCAACCTGCAAGCCTGAGACTCGCATCGTCGCCCCAAGCGCCATGTGAGTGGAACATAGGTCTGCAGACTTATGCGCACATCAAAGATAGCTACGATGACGCAAAGAGGCCAACGCCTAAGAATGAACAAGAAGCCACAGCCTCCTACGAAAGTTCACATACCCAAACCACCGCCCTAAAACAAAATAGGCCCGGGCCTATTCCGGAAACCCGTAAATGCAGGTCCGGACCCATTTTCTCGAAGGGGTCCCCCCCCCACCACACCTCCCACAGCCCCTAACAGGGGGGGAATTATGCACTTGTTTTGCTTAGTGGTGCGTCGTCGCTTGCTAGCTGCGGTTGTTTTGCTTCTTGGTGCATCTTCGCTTGCTATCTGCGGTTGTTTGGCTTATTGGTGCGTCTGCGGTTACTACGTGCGGTTGTTTTGCTTATTGGTGCGTCTTCGCGTACTGCGCGCGCTTGTTTTGCTTATTGGTGCATGTGTCTTCGCTTACTCCGTGCGGTTGATTTGCTTATTGTTGCATGGGTCCTCGCTTACTACGTGCGGTTGTTTTACTTATCGGTGCGTCTGCGCTCTATGTGCGCTTGTTTTGTTTATATTGGTGCCTCTTCGCTTACTATGTGCGCTTGCTTTGCTTCTTGCTGCGTCTTCACTATAATGTTGACTTCGCATTAATAAATCCCCCCCCCCCTTCATTGATCAATCTCTCCGGCCAGGGCCTCCTCAATAATATCCGCCTAAATCCTGGTAGGTCTAGCTGTCCCGGTGCCACCACAGTGGGCTAAGTGAGCCTCATTGAGCCTCTACTGCGAGCTTCTGGGGGATCACTTTTAGAAGAATATTCCGGGCTGGATTTTATAATTGTGGCGGGCTACATTATTGTGTTCTGGCAGCTGGATTTTATAATTGCGGCGGGAATTCCTAATGTGAAGTCAACATTATGTGCGCTTGTTTTGCTAATTGGTGCGTCTTCGCTTACTACCTGCGGTTGTTCTGCTTGTTGGTGCGTCTTCAACATTGCATCACTCGTTGCGTTTCAACACTTTACATGCCGCTGTCGAAGAGTACTGATCTCACAGTCGCGCCCCAGTCAGCAAACCAATCTGCATCTCTTTCCTTGCGACGCTTGCCGGGAGTCATCCTCGCCCTGGATGAAAAGCAAGCACTCAAGTTCGAATGATTGTTGGCTGCTGCTGCCCGGTGTTTCTGGGAGGAAGAATGGCCGCCAGCGCCCTCGTAAGCAAAACAACTGTCAGCGCTCCCCAATAGGCGCAGAAAACCTCCCGAACCCTGAACACACTTTCTGTCGTCAAGCCCTAAACCTAGATAAACCCTGAACCCTGTAATCCCTATAGCTCAAATGCTAAGGAGCAAAGCAATTCTTTGCCCTCAGACGTCAGATGCTCTGCCTCTGAGCTAATCTCCTCCCAAACCGAAAATGTTCACGCTGTACCGAAGTGCTTCATGCCGATCTGTGGAAGACTGCAGCGACGATAGCCAGGTGGCGCCAGCCATGCCGGCTGAGTGGAGACCGCTTCCTCCCCCCAAAAAAAATTAGCCGATGCCTTGTCCCTGATGCTCCATGTATACATATAGTTACCGAAAACCCGCGCGTCCTCAGACCCGATAGGCCCGCCGCCGAGAACCCGCACACCCATGCACCCGATATCCCCTAAACCCAACAATTTAAGGGTGCTGCGAATTGACGACCCCATGTCCGCTTAACCCGAAAAGTGTCTTGCCGTGAATATATTTAATCATTTGAGCCTTAATCAGCGCAAAGCAGCACAATTCAGCGCAAATCAGCGCAATTCGGCGCCGTCCAGCGCATGCAGCGCATTGCGGCGCACTCCAGGAAACACAGCGCATTCGGGGCAAATCGGCGCATTCAGCGCAATTCGGCGCATTCAGCGCAATTCGGCGCAATGCAGCGCAATTCGGAGCAATGCGGCAATTCGGCGCAATGCAGCGCAATTCGGCGCAATGCAGCGCAATTCGGCGCAATGCAGCGCGTTTGGCGTGATTCAGCGCAATTCGGCGCATTCAGCGCAATTCGGCGCAATGCAGCGCAGTGCAGTGCAAATTGCGTAATTCGGCGCATTCAGCGCAATTCGGCGCAATGCAGCGCAGTGCAGTGCATCCGGCGTAATTCGGCGCATTCAGCGCAATTCGGCGCAATGCAGCGCAGTGCAGCGCATCCGGCGTATTTCAGCGCAGTGCGGCGCAAAGCGGCGCAGAGCGGCGCAATTCGGCGCAGAGGACGCCGCCTCGAATCCAGTCCCGGAGCCCGCACACACTGCAAACTTGCTGCTGCGCCAAGACGTTAACGTATTAAAGTTTGGCATGCAGGCAACTTCGGCACACTTCCACTCCCAAAAACAAGAAGGCTAACCGCCCTGATGCAATTCGAAGTATGTCTGCTGCAGCAGCAGCTTGTGTAAGAGCATCCGTGAAAAATATCTGCCAAGAAGGTGGGTAGACTGTGCCACGACCACAGCACAGGGATCGAGGTTGTCAGCTTCGATGGTGCCTGAAGCCTCGCTTAGGCATCGATCTCGGCATGCGCCAAAGAGCCAGAATAGCGAACTTGCTTAGCTTCTATACCTTCAAAGTCAACGCTTGCCCCCCTTTGCAGCGAAACAGCCGAGCGCGTGTGCATGCTACGACGAACGTACTGAGCGAGCCGCGAGTGGGAGAGAGCTGGCAGCGGATTGAACGGGGAGGTGGCCGAGAGACGATGCTGAGATGTTTTTTCTTATTGTGAGACGCCTTGTCTTGTGAGAGAGAAATTCCACTCCTCCTCCTCCTCCTTCTTGTTCCTCTTGCTCTTCTTCTTCTTCTTCCCCTTCTTCTCCTTCTTCTCCTCCCTCTTCTTTGCCTCTGTCTCTCTCTCTCTCTCTCTCTGTCTCTCTCCTGCAGTCTGTCTTGGGGAGGCCTCGGTTTCAGCACCGGTTTCCGCCCCGGTTTCGGCCCCGGCTGTCTCGGGCGGGAAAGCGCCACCCGTGATCCTGGGCTCTGACGTGCTCCCGAGCCTGGGGTCGGGTGGTCATGCCACCGGCGAGTGCAAACCATGTGCTTTCTTCCACAAGAAGGGCTGTGCCAGTGGCCGGACCTGTCTCTTCTGCCTGGAGCCCAGAAAGGGAAGGAACATAGCAGAGTTAGTCGAGTTACTAGAGTTAGAGTAGAGCATCCAGTGATCTGATCACATGCCGTGCGGATGCCGTGCTGACGCTGTGTGCTGACCATGTGAAGGTGGATTAGCAGACATTCTCGCGTACGCGAGACATGTGCTATATTGCTATATCATGTTGTCTCCCAATTTGCGCCTTTGGCCCTTTGGCATCCCTTTGGCCCTTCTCAGGTCATTTGTGTGACTACGGTGAGAAGAAGCGGCGTCAACGTGAGAAGCACCTTGGCTTGAGTTTATCGACTTTCTGATCGTGTCGGGTCTTGTGTTCAGTGTTTGTGTTGGTTTGGATGGTTTGGTGCCTGAACCCGAGGAAGGATGTGACCAAACCGGCTTGTGCCAGATAGACAGATAGACGTGATCTCCCATGCAATGAATTTTTGTGAACTGCGTACGTGGGTCGGGCTTTGTGCAAGCGCTGTGCATCAGAGTGATCGAGCAGTGCGAGCACCAGTCTGATCAAGTTTTGGAGCATGATGCGGACCTGAGAGAAGACCGTCCGGTACTGTGGCACTAGCACGTGCAGACATCTTGTGGCAGGGCTTGTGACAGGTTTTCAGTGCCCTATGGTGACCTCCTCAGCGACCTACAATGTTACGACAGAGGGCCCCGAAGGAAACTAAACGGCCAACTAGGGCCAACTAGGGGGCTAACTGGAAGGGAAGGTCGGATCTCGGCTTCGCAGCTCCGCAGTCCTTCCCGAGTCCCTTCCCCCCGCACATGTCGCCTTGAGAGCCCATCTTTAAGTCGTGGCGCTCGAGGCACACTCATGTTCTTTGAGCTTTTAACATTCCACCATTTATAGTCCCTGAGCCACGACTGGCCGGGCATTCTGCCCAGAAACTTGTCTTGCGCCTTCTTGTATCTTCAAGGTTCGTTCTCTGTTGTTCATGCAGTGGCCTTCCAAAAAATCCTTTCATTGGCACGACGAGTCCGAGCCTGCGAAAGAGAAAAAGCAACAGCAAGAAGTTCAGGAGGAGGCTCAGCAGATCTCAGCAGACTCGCTCCGAAGGTCCGCAAGCCGAAATCCTTTTCATTCAGCGATTTCCCCCCGCAGCATGTCGGACCTGGAAGAAGCTTTGAGAGCTTTGGGCCTTGTGCAGTTTCTGCCGGAACTCCATGAGCTTGGGGTCCGCTGCCTGAGCCAGGCAGAAGATGCGATGAGAAAGAGAGAGTATGTGAGGGCGAAAGAGAGAATCTTTGCGTGTGTGTGTGTGGGGCACTACTCCGCGAAGCTGAATCTCTACTAATGAAACTTCTTTGTTTGCTTTCTTGTCGTGTTTCTTGCAGGTGGGCGAGCTCTGGACTTCGGATTTGGCCGAGGTGGGCCTCACCCGGCTGCAGACACGGCAGCTGCAGCGCGCTGCCGCTGCCTTGGCCAGTGCTCAAAATGAGGAGGTGGAGGAGGTGGAGGAGGACAGAAGAAGGGCAGAAAGGGCAGAACTAGCTAAGCGACAAGAAGCAGCCTGCTACTTTTTCTTGGCTTTCTTGAGGATCAGCCCTGGCATAGATTGCATTGGCAGGAGACAGACTGGAGATCCCGTGGCTGCTGGGAAATGCATTCAATGCATTACTTCAATTCGTTCAAAAGATGCTATGTGGCGCGGGTGTGGCCCCGGGGTATGATGCATACGTGCATATAGTGGGTCCACTCGAGTTCTGTCAGCTCATTCGTATGATTTTCGGGAATCCGGAAACCACATTTTTGGGAATAGACATGTTTGGGGTTTTTGAGGCTTGAGGTTTTGGGCTCGTGCTGTTTGTTGTTTTGGGGCTTGCCTAAATGGATTTTTGAAGCTTCGGGTTTTGGGCTTGCACTGGTGTTTTGCAAGTGTGCTCCAACAATTTTGTTTAAGAACATGATATACACACACACACACACATATATATATATATATGCTTTTTGGTTTGGAGGTTTTTTGTAAAAATGCATATTTGGTGCTTACACTGCTGTATTGGGGGGCTTGCGGAAATCTCGTTTTGAGCACTGCTTCTGGAGCTGTTCTCAGGATAGAGGTTTTTTGGACTGCTGTAGAGGTTTAAGGAGTAGGGGGACCGGGGAATAGGTTTCCCGGCTATGGGCTTGCGCTGCTGATGGAGACCAACAGCATGAGCTATCTCCCCCAGGCCGATCTGCAAAGCAAGCCAAGCAACCCAAGACACAAGACACAAGAAACCCTGGAAGAACGACGAATGCAAGAAGTAGAGTTCGGAAAACGCAAAGTCGAAACGCCAGAAACACGAACAATTGCCGAAACCATGAAATGCCGAAAACAGTCCGAAAGCGAAATGAAGCTGCGAAATGTGCCAGAACCCAGAGAAATGAGGGAGCAAAAAAAGAGAAAGTGGCGGGACTGTCGCAAGTACCGAGGCAACAAAACGCGGAAAAATGTAAGATTTTCCGGGGGCAAGCCCGAGCCGCATTCCTCCTAGATGGGCTTAGGGTAGATGAGGGTATGTACGGCTATGCCAAGTTTTGTCTTGCAAGCCAAGGTTGGACGTCGAAGCCGTCGCAGCCGTTGCCGGAGCATCCAGCGCCCAGAAAGGTCGAAAGCGCACGCAGAAAGACGCAAGAAGTGGAAGAAGCGGAAGAAGCCACAACATCCACAGAATCCACAGCACCCACGGCATTGTGCGGGAGCAGTGCTGAAGCGTGCATGAAGCAGTGGACACCTTCTCACCTCTCCGAATCACTTCAATCGCTTCCTCCGGCCATCGTTTGGGATGCCCCAGCTATGTCCTCTACCGGCGCCGCTATCAACCCGGTCCCTAAGCAAGACCCGGAGCAGCCCGTGCCTGCCGTGCCTGCCGAGCCTGCCGTGCCTGCCTTCCGCCCGCCAGTTCGGCCTGTCCCAGAAGAAGTGCCCATGAGCTTCTTTCGCCTGGACGTGTTTGAGGGAGACAAAGACTCGCCTTCCGCGCAGCTCCCGGAAGCCCTGCGGAGGCGCCTGGACACGCGCCGCAGCACCCTGCAGGAGAAGCACGTGAAGCACGATGCCAAGCACGATGCCAAGCACGATGCGAAGCACGACGCGAAGCACGATGCGAAGGATGGGAAGAGAATGCCGGAGACACCAACCGTTCCAGGCACACCGGAAGCACCTGCAAAGGCCGTGAGGGCCAAGGAGCCGCATTCGGAGGTTGACAAAGTGGATGCCTCAAAGTGGGAAGGCCACGTGAGCGCTCACGTGCCGCGGCCCTCACGACCATCCGTGCCACGTGTGCCACTTGTGCCACCTGTGCCACTGCGGACGCGCCCGGGGGAGGAGACACCCAGAAGGGGCTCAGCAGCTCCCAGGACTCCCAGCTCAGAGAAGGGAAGCAAAGGAAGCAAAGACACCGGCAAGATGCCAAAAAGTGCAAGGGCAAGCCATGCACGTCCGCGCGCTTCCGCTGCGGGTGCTTCTGGTGCTGCAGGTGCTGCAGGTGCTTCAGGTGCTACTGGGGACCTTGAACACCCCAGTCAAGGCCCAGCCGGCCTCAGCAATTCAGAAGGTTGCTCGACGGGGCGGCAGATGTTTGACAAGGTGACGTTGCGATTAAGGCATCGTGAACTCTTCATGGCAGCCCTCGCACACCAGCGACAGACCCATGGTAGCCAAGAGATAGGCAGAAGAGCAGAAGCACGATGCCGCAGTTGGCTCCTGCAATTGATGCTTCTGTGAGCTCCCGAGGAACGTGCTCCCTTCACGCACGCCTCGAACTCGTCGACTGGCTCGTATACAGGCCCCTGGAAAGAAGAGAAAGACGACGGCGATGAGGGTCGGAGAGTTCGAAAGTTCTGGGGATGTGCTAGGGAGGAAAAAAGAGAGTTCGAGCGAAGAGGCATGTGCTGAAGAGTTGTGAGAAAGCGAAGCGGAGACTTCTGGGGAGAACTCTGAATTTGTGTCTTTGCATTTTTGGGGGGGGGGAAGGGGAGAGAGGGAGAGAGAGAGGCAGGTAGGGAGAGAGAGCGAGACAGGTAGAGAGAAAAGAGGAAGAGAGAAAGAGAGAAGGACTCTCAAAAAAACAAAAGGAGAGAGTCCTCAAGCGCAAAGAAGAAGAAGGAAGTCTGAGAGAGGTCTTCGCCCGCGTGCGGCCCATCTTCGACGAGGACCTCGCGCCGCTCCGCCTTTTTTTGTGAGACCTCTCGAGGGGGGGGGGCCTCTTTTCAGCGCCCCGCCTCCCCCCCTTTGCAACAGCTCTTTTTTTGTCGCTTTTTCTCACTCACTCACTCACTCTCCCTCCCTCTCTCTCTTTGTCTAAGGAACCGGGACTTCGCCCCTTGGCCGCAGTTTTGCGGGCCTAACTGAAGAAGTTGGGAAAATGTGGTGAGCAAGTGGGCTGAGATGTACTCCCTCCCGGCAGTACAGTTGGTATGCACCTTTCAGTCTTAGTATTGGAAGACAAACGGGTTTCATTTCAGGACGTGGTGTCTATCTCGCCTGAGCATGTGACCCTGCACAGCTGCCTCTTTGAGGCGGACTTGAAGCTTCTTAAGCTGCATGAAAGAAGGGTACTCCCGCTGGTAAGTTCAGGCCCTCGCACGCCTTGTTTTGGTTAATTTTCGGCTGCACACGCCTCAATCGCGTCTCCGAGTCAGTGCAACCGCGTTTCCGAAAGCGCCAGAACAGCATGAGACTCTCGTGCGCGCTCGCTGTTTGCTGAGCTCTCCGATTTCACAGATCAGCTGCTGCTTGAACAAGTCCCTTGTATACGCCCACACCCACAAACGTCTGAGGGACCCCGTGCCTTATGAGCCGTATACCTTTCCGGGCCGCCCCCGCAACATCTTCAATTCCACAACAGAACCCGTGTGTCCTGCCGTGAGTTGCGTTCGCCGACCAGGGTCCGGGGACCCTGAAAAGCACGAAGAGCACCTCCGAACATCGAGAGAAGCCGAGGACGCCTTGCATCGTGCACCACACCTTCGGCTTCGACCACGTCTTTGGTGGCTCGGAAGGAGAGGAAAGAAAGCAGGGAGCCAGAGTCAGGAAAGGCGTCTTGCAAAGAAAGAGAGTAGGCGAGAGAGACAGAGCCTTAGGGCCTTAGGGCCTTAGGGCCTTAAGGCCTTAGGGTTTGCACCGACTTGTGGGGCGGGCCGAGATTCTGGACCGCACGAAGTACACGGGTGCGCGCGACTGCGCAAGGGGTAGGGTAGGGTTTCCGCGCGGCCTCTCTTGCCGGGAGAAGAATGCTAGCCACAGGAAACCTCAGAGAGTTTCACCCTGGGGCATACAGTATGTTCATGCATCACGCGACATGGGTTTCTGAGGTCATGCGGCCAGCAGCAAGAGTGTTTACAAGCAGGTGCTTTCTTGAGCCAATAGTGAAGTACCTACAGTAGAACAGGCGAAAGACTTGTCATTTCTATCTTCGTTGCTTCTCTCACAACTGGCAGAGGCTGCGTCTGAGATCATCAAGAGCGCATGTTCGGGCGGCGTCGGTCTGATCTTCATGTTCGGCCAGACTGGCAGTGGCAAGACCCACACCATGCTGCTCGGCTTGTCATACACGTTCTGCTCTCCAACAGTGTAAGGGAGAGAGCGAGCGAGCGAGAGAGAGAGAGAGAGAGAGACTTCTGCCCTTGCGCAGAGTGACATGCTCCCCACTAAGGACACTAAGGATTCACTAAGGCGACAGGGGGAGTATGTCACGCTGGGTAGAGGGACAGTCCGAATTTCACCTGCCAACGGATCTGTGTGACCTGGGCGCGCCTGTGCGCGCGGGGGGTCCCCTGGGCCCCTCATGCCCCGTAGAAGAAGAAGAAGAAGACTTCTGCCCTACCCTTCATGCCCTGCAGAAGAAGAAGAAGAAGGAGAGAGAGAGAGAGAGAGAGGGAGAGAGAGTTGTCCCGGCTTCGGCACCTGAGTTGTTTGACCCCGGGGAAAGCCAGGAAGTGTAGCGACGTGATTCCCTTCAGCCCCCGAACGGTCTAGGTGGGTTAGGTTGCGAATGGTCTTTGCGTGTTTGGGTGCAGTGCAGGGGAGTCGCAGGGAAAGTAGAGCAGTTCGTATTGGCCGGGGAAAATGCCCGGGTCAAGAGCCCGTCGATGCCCAACGAGAGGGGGAACCTGTTGTCCAGAGCCGTCTTTGCCAAACTCCTCTCCGGGGGCAATAGCAGCTACAAGCCCTGACGAAACGGTGTGGTCGTGGTACCCGTAAAGTGGTTCGGGGGAACTTTCATCGGGGCTGTATGTCTCACGCCGACTGGATCACGAACCGGGCGCGCCTCGTGCGCGGAGGACGTGCTTGCGCAGAAGAAGAAGAAGAAGAAGAAGAAGAAGGGAGAGAGAGAAAGAGAAAGGGAAAGAGAAAGGGAAAGGAAAAGGGAAGGAGAAAGGGAAAGGGAAAGGGAAAGAGAAAGAGAAAGAGAGACAGAGAAAAGAATGACCCTCAAGCGCCGTAGAAGAAGAAGAAGAAGGAGAAGGATAAAGAGAGAATGAATAAGTAAAGGAAATGAAATGAAACGGCAGAGAGAGAGAGAGAAATGAAGCGAGCTGAAATGAAATGAAAAGAGAAGAAAAGAAAACCAAGAAAGAAAGAAAGAACACCAGAAAGAATGAGTGTTACTCATCCCCTTGCTTTCGCTCTCTCTCGCTCTCTCGCTCTCTCCCTCCCTCGCTCTCTCCTCCCCCCCCCCCCCCCTGAAGCATCATCGTGAGGCAGGATTGACCCGCCAGCCTCTTCAGGTCCTCCATCGAGGAAATGGCAAGTGAAGATGTCTTCAACACGCGCGTCGATGGAGGCCCCATGTCCACTTGGGGAGTCGGGGAGCTCTTTGGAATCTCTATTGAGCTCATCGCCGACCCGCAGGAGCGCCGGAGGTCGGCATCCGCTTTTTGGAGCTTCGAGGGGATCGATGTTTCGATCTCCTCGCGAGCCCTGAAGGCCCTAGAGGCCATGAAAGCACAGCACGAACGCAAACCCTACTTGGCGCTTTTGTCACTTTGTTCCATTGGGAATCCTGCAGGCCAAGACTTTCCAGAGCTGAGATTGCGCGAGGTGAACGGCACGTACCATGCTGAAGGAACTGACAAATGCTGAAAAATGCTGGAGTTCTTGCTGTGCGCTGGCGTCCGGTGGATGCTGCCGCAACGCCTGCCAGGAGCCATGGAGCTGTACCCACGTTGTTCGGAAGACATGCGCATCGTGTTGGATCCTTGGCACACTTGGCAGTGAAAGCTTTTCATCACACTCTTTTCTCCTTCTCCCGGCCTGCAGGGAGGCAATTCGGCCCCTTGTACATGTGCGTGTTTGAATTCGCCCGTGCATAGAGTCACGCTCCCCGTGGGTCCAGATCAAAGCACCTTCAGCTTGAATCGATTTGCACTCTGGCATTAAGGACACGGCGCGTGCCCGACGAAAGACATCGCCCACAGCAGCTCCGAGTCTTCAAACGCGCATTGCAAGTGGAGCCTTGCATAGGAAAGTGGAGCCTTGTTGCATCTGCCTTTTCGTCTTTGAGGCCAATGCCGTGAGCTCCCGGAGCCATGCCGTGTGCCTTGTGCGGATATGGAAGGGTCTCCTGGTTCTTGTCGATTGCGCCGGCAGCGAGCGGAAGAAGGCAGAGGGGACGTGAAGGGAGTCGACTGAGAAGCCTCTTCCGATTCCTTTCCCCTCTCTCTCTCAACATCTCCTCCCTCCCCACTTTCCCCTGACGTCTTTCCCTGTATTTCCCTTTCCTTTCAGCCTCCGCACGGAAAGGACTCGGCGCATCACTCCCGGGAGCGGCAGCGGGAGAGCGCGGAGATCAACGCCTCGCACCGCGCCCTAAGCCCTTGTAAAGCTCAGCACGCCATCTCTCAGAATCCTCAGAGTCCTTAAAAGTCCTGCGAAACTCCTTAGACTTCACCTGCAGCAAGCAGAAGAGCCGGCAGTACGAGAGATCCCCCCAGAGGTTGTACGCCCTGAAAGACTGCTGCCGCGCTTTGGCCTCCTTGCCGCGCGTCCCGTGCCTCGGCAGGGACCCTGCTCTGCCCCCCCCCCACCAGAAAACAGTATTAGACTCAGTATGACACAGTATGACACTCTCACCAAAGCGACGATGCGCCCCCCCCCCCCCCAAGTCTGTTCAGTATTTTGTTTATTTATTTTGTTGTCTTGTGTGCTGATTTGCCAACTGGCAACTAAACGCAAGGACCAACACGAAGACATGACATGACCGAATCATGTAGTCTCTTCATGAGCGCACGAGTCGGCTTTCGCAATCTTGGATAAAACGAATCGTGGAGAAGATGAAGCCGGGAGAAGATGAAACCGCACCACCACGCCCCCGCCCCTCGAAGCCGAAGTGACGCTTAGCAACCCCCACTCAAACAGGCACCTAGAGAAAAATGAGCTCAATTGTCAATGATGAAACAAGAGGTATAATCATTCTGTGTTATCAAGTGCAAGTTGGATCTTTGGTTTTGCCATGTTTTGTTGACCAGAACCCAGCGGAGCAGGTTCTAAGTGAACCACAGGCGCATTGGCCGGTGATGTGAGGGCTATCCAGAGGAGATACGTACAGAGCTGTTGTTTCTTGGGCCTCTTAGGGCTCTTTCAGTCAAGAGCAGCTGCATCTGCACAGAGCGTTTCTGGTTTCTTATCATTGACAACTTATAAATGTGGCAAGTACCGAAGGACAGCTACTGGGACATCCGCTTGCACAGGTTCAATTTGATAATGATTAATGCCTTGTCAAGACCCGGTTCCGATTTATTGAAGAACAAAACGGCCTGTGATCAACATGGCAAACATCGCAGCGGATGGAAACTTACCTTCTGCTGAATGTGCTGCGTGTGCTGCGTGGGCTTTTGCATTGATTTGCGATGATTCGCGCGAAGGGCCCCCGAAATCCTTCCCAAAAAACCGAGGCCTCATGCCGTGCGGGCGTCCTCGCTTACAAAAGTCCTGGCGCAGGCCTTTGCAGCACAAAGCAGGCGCGAGCAGCCCGAGAGTGCCGAGCAAACTGCGCTGTGCATGTTGCACAGAATCCGAGAGATCCAGGGTGTCCCTTCCAACCCCTCCCTCCCTCCCAGAACTCTCCCTCCCCCCTCCCTCCGAGATCCTCCGAGTCCACTTTCGTTCGTCTGACTCTTCGTGAGCCTCTTACCAGGCTGGCTGTGATTTGCACCGTCTCCCCTTGTGCATCGGACACGGAGCACACAGCCACGTGGCGGAATGATAATACAGACGAGGGGCGGGGGGGAGAGGAGAGGAATACAGAGGCGAGAGAAGAGCAAGCGTGGTAGGTGGAGACGCTTCGCCTGGGTGGAGCTCTTGCAGGACGTGGCGAGAAGGAGGAGAAGGCAGGGAAGTGCACCAGGTATGCGAGCCCTCTCCGGAATGCTCCCAATGATCCCCAATGTTTCAGAAGAAGGAGCAGCTTGACCTCTTCTCCCCCGCGGACCGGCAACTCCGATGTTCTTGGACGACGGCGCACCCGAAGCAGTGGACTCCGGAGAGAAGTCCCCGCCCGCATCGCCCCCATCTCCCCGTCTCTCTCCCTCTCTGCGTCACCCGGGGTCTCCCACGTCTCTCCCCAGCTCCCAAAGCCGCGAAAACCGGTTACACTGCCAACTAAACGTTGAGCGTTCAAAAAGACATACTTGGCTTCTCAAGAGAACAGCAAGGCGGCATGCGATCACTCAATAACTCTTCTAGATCAGCGCTCTGCACTCTTCTGTGTGCGAGGAGGAGGTGCGAGAGTGGGTGGTGTCGTTGGAGGGCTTCGAGGACGTTCTGGAGCAACTGCCCACGAACTTCACCGGGCAGATGCTGGTGCGCTGCACAGAGAGCCGCTGCCAGCAGCTCTGCCGGAGTCTCAAAGACAAGCCCCTCCCCAAACCTTCTCCGGCTCTCTGATCTCTTCTTTTACTTCTTTTATCTTCTTTTCATCCTGCTTCTGCTCATGCCAGTTGAGGCGGCTCCTCGTCTCGGGGGCGACGCCTTTTCCATCTCCTGCACGAGGCGATGGGCCACCGACAGAGAAAAGGCGCAGAGGAAAAACAGGCAGAACAGGCAGCTCATTGTCATATTTGCCAAGCGGCGACGGCTGGTCAATTTCCAAAAACGTTCCGGTCTGGGGGGGTTTTGGTGTTTTGGTCCATGGCCAAAAACGTTTGTGGTCCTGCGTAGCAGAACTCCAAAACAAAGTGACGCACTGACATGGTCAACCTTTTAAAATATGAGAGTGGGAACAAGCAACAGATCGAACCTTTGTGCTTGACTCGGCATGCTCTGCTAAATCTTGGTGGCGCCGTGATGTGAAACCAGCATGTGCGCGTTTCCGTTTCTTCTATATTTACAAAAAAGTCTTCAGGCAGGCATGCCGCTGCAGAAAGGCCACGCGTGCCGGACATGGTTGCGCAAAATTGCGAAAGAGAACGGACAGATGCAGCAAACAGACAAGGGACGGGCTCATTTCTTCTCATTTGGATGTGGCTTTCAACAGAACTTCCTTGCACAGCTTGATGATGCGAAAAGCTCTTCTGTGATGATTTGGCTGAAGCAGAGCGCAGAGTCAACGGCCCGTGCCGAAGCCTGAAGCAGCTGTAGCAGCTGTACAAGTCGTCACCCGCGTAGGGGCGAAAGTGAATTGAAGGGACCAATCCGAACTAGAGAGATTCAGAGAGAGTGAGGCAAAGGTATAGAGACATATAGATGCACACGCACACACACATATACCATATATACATATACACTGTATTCAGCCTATAACTTAATTTGTAGACCGCACCACGACGACTTCACCTCAAGACGTGTCGCCGATGACGCTTTCCCTGCGAGTCCGAGGAGCAGACTCCGAGTCAGGGATAAGGGAAGAGTGGGAAGAGTGTGGCAAAAGAGTTCTGGGAAAGAGTTCGGAAGAGAGCTCGGAAAGAGCCTTAGCACTCTCGGAGCCCTTTCTCTGAGTGAGGACCTCCAGCGAAGCTGGGCCGGATGGCGGCGGAGGCAGAGGAGGCGCCCGCGGAAGCCGAGGAGAGCTCTCTGAACCCTCTCCGAGCCCTCCCTGAGCCCTCGTCTTCTTCCGCTCTGCGCTCCCATCGCTCCCAACCCCCTCCCCCTCGCTGAGCTCTTCTGTTGCCGTCTCTTGTTGTTCTCTTCTTGTCAATTTTCCTTTTTTTCTCTCACTCTCTCTCTCTCTCTCTTTTCTCTCTTCCTCTTTCTTCTCCATCTTTTTCTGTGGTCGTTTGCGGAGAGGAGCTTCTTTTGGGTCTGGAGGACCTGGCAGGGGAGCCCAGAACGGCCCCACCGCTCCGTCTCCCTTGCCCTCCCCCCTTAAGCCTTAAGCCCTTTCCTCCCCGTTGGCCTCCCCTGCTCTTCCTCTCTCTTTTTTTTTTGGGCTTTTTTTTGTTTATTGTTGGTCTGCCACTCTTCTCTCAGCAAACACCCAGCACTCAGCACCTGGAGCTGGCGCTGCCGCCAGCGGCGGGCTCGGCCTCCACGCAGAGCTCCGGCTCCGACGGGATCTCCTCGCGTTCCTCGCCCCTGCCTCAGACCCATCAGACCATCACTCAGAGCTGTCAGAGCTTCGAACAGAGCTTCGAACAGAGAGAGCTCTCAGCAACGGGGGGGGGGGGTGGCTGAGAGAGAGTGGAGACAGCGCTCCCTAAGTGGAAAAGAAGGAAGAAAGGAGGAGAGGGTTGTGTGTCTTATGCGCAACTGTCGCTTGGACGGATGAGCACAGGTCGCCTTCCTCAACGCCCTCTCCGAGGTGCCCCTTCCTTTGAAAAAGAGACTGGGGGCGCTTTGCCCGTCCTTTCTCTTTCGGGATGACGATGTCGGGGGGATTTAGCACCGAGAAGTGCAGCGTGAAGTGCTGTGCGAAAGTGCTGTGCGCGAACGTGCTCTCTTTTGTGGAGGAATTTGCCAACTACGGCGCTCAGTGAGAACTCGGTGACAGCTTCGAGGGCCTCAGCCTCAACCAAGGCCAGCCTCTCAGCTCCTCGCAGCCCTTCTGAGCGACAGCTCTGCCAGTCTGTACGTGGGCCTACCATGTAATGTGTCAGGGCCCTTGAGGTGTAGCGCAGGGCCTGTAGCGCGATCACAGACGCGAGAGTCCCAACCAGAAAATGGGAAGCCACGATTTGGGAAACCTAGCAGGACCGATGTGCAAAGCAGGCCATGGGCTTTTTGTTCGTAACGACGGGTGCAGGGCTGAAGTAGACGCGCGAGGTTCCCACAAAGACAGTCGGTCTTCGTGGCTTTCGCGGCCTTCGTGGCCTGACCATCCACTCATGATTCGGTGCCACGTCCAGCTAAATCTCCAGAATCTACAACGATAAGTCGCAGGCGAGCGCAGCTCGGATCCTCGCAAGAGTTGCCGGTTCATCGCTATGCGGTACTGTGGTTGGCAAGGGATGCTTGAGGCCTGCGATGGAGGCTCGAGCCGAGGATTAAACAGAACCGAAATGAGGCAAAGAGCCCACAAAGCGACTGCCAAACAACCTGAAAAAGGCAGGAGTGAGTTAGTTGTATGCCATTTTGTGCCTCCGGAACGTTTCCGAAACTCCCAGAATGCAACAACCTGTAAACGAGCTCTTTTTCCTATGGAGCTTATAAGAACTTAAAGCCAAGAAAGGTTTCAAACAGAAACAGGCGCAGACTGCGAGACTTGAAAGCCGGCTTGAAGCGAACAGGCTGTGCAGGTCGCTGCGCCTCGCACGGCTGCGAAGGAAAGAGTAATATGAAACATAAGATGAAGAAAAAAAGGAGGGCTGTGCCCTCTCTTAAGGTGCATCTTTTTTTGCACCTTTTTTTGGGGGGCCCTGCTCTGCCCCGCTATGCCCTGCCCTGCTGCGCAGGGGCGCCGTGCCCTGGCCGTGTCGGCCTCGGACCCCTCGCCGTGCGAGGCGCGCCCCGGGAAGCAGCGGTAGAAATAAGCGGGGAGACGCGAGAGGCGCCCCCACAAGGCACGTCTAGTATAGAAGGTGTTTTTTTGATGCATGTATTGCAATACAGACCATCGCAGGGATGAGAGGTTCTCGGAAGGCAAAGTCAGGGATGCTTTCAAGGTGGCTTTGAAGTTCTCCGAAGGACGTGCGCGCTCCGCACCCCTCCTCCCCGCTGCTTCTGGCACGGCCGAGCGTCGCAGTCCGGGGGCCCTTAAGTGCTGTTTCCGTGAAGAGACCACGGTGACCACACCCACGAGCCAGTCACATTGCTCTTGGGCTATGTACTGGCTATACCCCCATGAGAGAGAAGTCCCGAAGCAGCGATACCAATGGCTTCTCTGAGGTGCGGAAGTACATAGAGCCGCTGGACAGGACACGGGGCTTGACCGTTTGAACTCCTCACTATGCGTTGGGGTTCTCGCTTTTTCGCGGGGCGGGTGAAGACGTGTGCCTCCAGTATGACAACAACTGACAACCATCTTGATAAATCCGCCCTTAATTTCAAACTCCAAAAGCTTCCCCCCCCCTGTGCGTGTCAGGCAGTCGAACGTTTGGCAGTCGAACGTTTCTGTCCAAGTTCTCCCTTCACTTTTCTTCTCTTCCTTCCATGAAGTCGTCTAAGTCAGTCCGTCTTCGCTCCTTCGAGCTTGATCTTGGACTGAACATTGAGGGAGCTCGCGCTGTCTCTGTGCTTCTCTCCCTCTCTCTCTCTCTCTCTTTCGCTTTCTTTTTTCTCACTTGCAGAGAGGCGGCACAGCGTGTGCCGAGCGGCCCTCATCCGGGCCGGCTGCTTGGGACTCTTGACGGCCCTAACGGGCCACCCAAGCCCACTTAATGTGGGGGTGGCTTTGCCCGGTTGCAGGGGGAGGGGCCCACCGCAAGTTCCGCTCATTTTCCGTGGTTTTTTGGGCGAGTGTGCATACACATCTTGCAGAAAGGCCAGCGCTTGTCGCTTCGCAGATCGATACTGCATCAGACCGTGCCTCAAGTCAGAGTAGGCATTATATGAAGTGTGCGGATGTGTGCGGAACAGCTTTGGTGAGAACGTTGTTCAGGTGAAACTCCAACCTTGGTCGGCGAGGCACGCAGACCTGACATGACGGGGGGCCGGATGTCCTGATTGATGTCCTGATGGATGTCCTGCTTCGGGTGTGGGCAGGGCACCTTCGGCAGGGTCTATGAATGCGCGGGGGACCTTAGGGAAGCAGCTTGCTCACAGAGTTGTTGCCCGCCCCGTTTGCACCTCTTGAGCTCCACTTAACTGACCCCTTCCATCTTGAACATGTTTGGTCTTATGGGGCATGCTCTTCGGCTTCTGTTATCGTTGAATTCCAAACAAACCAGCACAAACGGTACGTGATTGCAGAATGTGAGTCATGCAGAGGAGTCCCCGGGCAAGGAAGTCTCAACGCATTCAAGAATTCTGCAATGCTCGACATGCACCAAGGACAAGCCAAGACTTGGTTCATCATCAGATCAATTTTGTTGGATCTTGCCTACGCTTAGCTCAGCTTCTGTCCTTGCTGCCTTCTTGCTCATTTGCGCTCGATTTTCCATAGAGAGAGAGAGAGAGAGAGAGCGGGAGGGCACAGCCAGAAGATGAGGAGGAATGTTTCGAGGATGTCGGAAGTCGAAGGGAAGCTAGAAAGAAGACACGCAGAGCAGTTTTTCTGTCATCCGCTTCAGTGGCCCTTGTGTGGTTTGTCTTTGTCTCTCTCAGGTGGACAAGCCGGCGGCCCAGAGAGAGAAGCCACCCACTGGGTTTGCAGAATGCGAAGCCGCCCGCCCCCCCCGCCCCCCCCAAAAAAAGAAAAAAGAGTAGATACATATATATATATATACATATATACAGATATAACGCATACATGTGCATGTGTATAATTAAAATAAATTAAGGCTCTTCCCTTCTCTATGCGCATGTCCAATTCATGGCTACGCGGCTACGCTTCAAAACCGACAACGTTGATGTGCTCAACAAGAAAGACTCATTGCATTGTTCGGGTCGTTGCTTTTGATACTCAACGGCAGATCCATCTCTTTGCTCCGCCATCTCCGGCAGAAAGAGTCTCTATTCAGGAAGGATAGAATAGGTCCAGACTCAAGCGTGTTGGTACCTGAAATGCCCACTGGTTGCGCCCGAAAGTCTCAGCTCATGTTTGCTGCAGCCATAGCAAGGCGCATGCATGCGTTGGACCGGGGCATTCTGCTAGAGTACTCTCGCAGTCTGCAATATTAAGCTCAATCGTATCTCAATAGAAGGGTTTTCCTCAGATCGGAATTGCCGAAAGCCTCATGACCCTCCCTTGTCGTCCAGGCTCGCAGACATCAAGCGTGCAGTCCGGGACTTCTCAGCTGTTTCGGGCCCCCGGGCCCCATCATCTGGCGAAGCTAGGGTGAGAAGATGCTCAGGTGAAGCGCTTGCAGCTGCCCACGGGCGGGCTGCAGCGTCAGCTGGTCAACGAGATTGACGCGCTCATTGCCTTAGACCACCCAGCGATCGTGCGGCTCATCGAGTGCCCTCCTCTTCGCTTTCATTAGAAGAAGAGGAAGAGTCCTCGTCTGACACAGAGGAAGAGCGGGCTAAAAAAAATCAAGAGGGCTCTTTGCCAGCTCAGCTCCTCTCTGTTTGTTCTCTCCCTACCTCTCTTCCTCTCTCTTCGCCTTCGCTCCTTGCGAGAGAGCGCCCAGGTACTTCGTGGCCGACTCGGAAGTGGACCCCTCAGCCTTTGAGAGCATTTGTCTGGCATGTTATCCACCTCCTCCCCTTTTAACACAGAGAGAGAGAGAGAGGGAGCATATCCGAAGTGTGTTGACTGTTGGTGTGTTCTTTTGTAAACCACAACGGAAGCGAGGTCTCGAGTGGCAAGAGCGCGCTCCCCTTTCGAGCGTCTCCTCCCGAGGTGTTCTTGGTCATGGAGCTGCTGCAGGGCCCCAGTCTGGGAGAGAAGCTCCGTGGCTCTGCGCAAATTGCATCTGTGAGCCCTAAACGCCCCCGTCTGTGTCTACATGCCGCTCTGTCAGCAGTTCCTGTTGGAGTCCCCATTATGCCGGTTGCGCCGTTCCCCTTGCTTGCACGCACTGCAGAAAAGCACGAACCATGTGCAGGCATTGCAGCACTCGCGCATTCGTGTGTTCGCACTTTTCGGGAAGGTGAACTCGGCCGCTTCTCCGAGACATTCGCGGTGCGTTGCCTTCGTCACATGCTGAAGGCAGGTGGCCAGAAGCCCGAGTGTGTGCGCGGGTCCAGCTTATGTGAAGTTGAGAGTCCGTACATGAGAAGAGAGAGAGAGAGAGAGAGAGAGAGAGAGAGAGAGAGAGAGAGAGAGAGAGGGAGAGGGAGAGGGAGAGAGAGAGAGAGAGAGACCGAAACCGTAGCCATTTTGGCTCAAGTCTGGGGAGGGAACCCGCCCCCCGAACCGGGCTTGAGCCATCCGCGCCGCTCCTTTCAAGTCGAAGCCGCTTGTCCGCCCCCTACAAACCCTAATTGTAATCCTTGTCAGCGGGGCCTGGACCTTAGAAATTTCTTCCCTAATCGCGGACAACCGGGTGAGACTCCAACAGCAACCGCAGTGTAGTACTTTTCGCGTGCCATATGGTGGACAGTTTGTCAAGGCTTTCACTTCGTGCGCATCTGTTACTTGGACTCCTGTTTCGCATTTGAGCGGGAATCCACACGCCAAGCCATGGCCCATACCGCAGATGATGCTGTGGGACTACATCCCGAGCACATGCCAGCACCTCGGCACAACACCGACTGGATGAAATGGGGGGACGAACGCCACGAGGTATCTACCCGCCACGACGCCCACCAAGTCAGCGGGGTCAACCAAGGAGCGCCCCAACAACAGCTGGAGGGCCAGGCACTACGCGATCAGTCCTGGCAACAACCCGGCAGACAGCCCTCGGGGATGCGACCACGACTGGCGGGCCATGTGAAATACCATCGGCCCCAGAAGCATCCAGAGAGATACCCGGCGGGGACAACAACCTCCTGCCGAACCACGAGATGTACGAAGAACAAGGCACCTCTTGGGAGAGACCGTCACCGACCACCCCACCCGAAGCTTTCGAGCCACCGCGGGATACTACAAGTCAACAAGAGGGAGCATGTGAAACACCATCGCCCCTCGACACAGACCTGGCCAACATGGAATGCGCTATATCGGGGAGATCATGTGCAATACCATCGCCTCCCATGGAGATTGAGCAAGAAGGTGTACAGCCCGCCACATCACCGTCTTCAACACCAACGACACCAATAGAAGCTCTCGAACCACAGTGGGGTACCACAAGTCAACAAGAGGGGGCATGTGAAACACCAATCGTCCCTCGATACAGGCCTGGCCAACATGGAGTGCGCTATATCAAGGAGAGCATGTGCAATACCATCGCCTCCCAAGGAAACTGAGCAAGAGGGTGTAAAGCCAGCCACATCACCGTCGAGAAGCACAGCTGAGACAGCAACCACCTTTTCACGTTCCCTTCCCCTCGTGGGTCCCGGGTGCTGGTAGGTGATTGTGGGGGACTTTCGGTTGTTGGGGTAGGGGGACGTTCACTCAACTCGCTAAGTGCTCCCGAGCTGCCAGCCTGTAGCAGGGAGTGCAGTGTTAGGCAACCGTTACCGAACAAACAGTCTTCTCCTTTCCCGACCCACCAAACTGTGGCAAGGGGACATAGTGAGTCCATTCTAGATAGGCATCCAAGTCAGACATGTCCTTCTCCCTCCACGCGGGGTATGGGTGTTCATGGGGGACTGGGGGGCTTTCGGTTATTGGATGGGGGAAGGACTCTGCTTTCCTTCATTTCAACCGGGGAGGGCCAATTCAGGGCGGACATCCTCTTCACTCCACCAAAGTCAGGCAACCCAGGGATCAAGCCAACAGTGCCCTTTGGGAGCATGTTTTTCCCTCCTCCGGCCTTTTCACCTTGCCAACAAGATGGGCAGCAACAGACCTTGGACATTGCGCGCCCCTTGGGGCGGCTCTCTCCTTCGGGAGGGGGCCTTGCGTGCAGAGAGAGAGAGAGAGAGAGACCGAAACAATGAGACAAACAGGAAGGATGCTGTAAAGCAATAGAGCCGTGGCATAAAGTGTCAAAAGATGCTCGTGCCTGGTCAGGATTCTAAGTACCGACGTTGCGGGGCTACGGGCCCGTGCACATGTGGCCCAACGGCAGAGAAGAAACGAAGAGACGGTCATTATTCTGTTCACACTCTCGTTTGTCTTCTGGAGAGCTCAAGCCGGGTCCCCTGAAAGTCGTGCCGGGTTGACATCGGGGATTCTGTCAGAGTCCACGTGCAAAAACAAGTTTTCGAGTTTCGTGTGATGTCTCATGTCTCACAGATCTGCTGGCATGGCACTTGGTCCCAGGCCCTATAGACCTATGAACGGAGGACGGAGGAGCGAGGGCGAGCGACACAGAGCGAGAGAGAGAGAGAGCGCCCTCAAGCCCTGCAGAAGAAGAAGAAGAAGCAGAAGCAGCAGAAGAAGAAGAAGAAGAAGAAGAAGAAGAAGAAGAAGAAGAAGAAGAAGAAGAAGAAGAAGAAGAAGAAGAAGAAGAAGAAGAAGAAGAAGAAGAAGAAGAAGAAGAAGAAGAAGAAGAAGAAGAAGAAGAAGAAGAAGAAGAAGAGCCCGGCAGAAGAAGAAGAGAGGGGGAAGGAAGGCAAGGCAAGCTTGAGAGGCTTGTTCTGCTGGCCATACTTGCATGCACATCTGGTGCGCAGGCACTGTTCTGCTGCCACTGCCATGGTGCGGACGCCCGGGGTGAGCGAAAACGTGTCAACCAGTGGTCAGGTAGTTCGTCTTGTGGCAGTCTCTGTCTCTCTGTCTCTCTCTCTCTCTCTCTCTCTCTCTCTCTCTCTCTCTCTCTCTCTCTCTCTCTCTCTCTCTCTCTCTCTTCGCTCTGGCTCTCAGTGTCTGACAGGACTTGTCCACCCCTTCCAGTGGTGGGATGTGGTACTGCAGGTCTTTGTGTCGAAATTGGCTGCAGCTCAGGCATCGCGCACAACGACGTCAGCGAGGAGAGGGTTGCTGCCCGACATTTGTGCTGGCGTGATACAGACAGCGTTGTGGTTGTGCACGAGTCCAAACTTCAACGATCCCACTAACCTGTGCGGCGCAGAAGATTTTCCGCACAGAAGCACGATGATCAAGACAGAGAATGGGACATGGAAAGCTGTACGAGAGAACTCATGTCGTAGAAAACCAGCGGTCCTTTGCTTTCAGTGACCTTTTTTCTGTGCTTCTTGATCACGAGTTGCAGATTGCAACGTGTGTGGAGCTGCTCAAGGGTGCATGTAGCAGCGTAGCAGCCGAAGATCCATTCCAGAGCACACATTGAATTTGAACACACTGAGCCCACGGGATTCGAGTGATGCGAGGGGGTGAAAGGCTGCGCAGGCTCCACGGCCACAGCCCGCCACTCGGCACCACACGTGTGCTCTGCGAACACTGGCTAATATATGGCCACGGAATCTCCAAGTCAGCTGCAGCGTGCTGCAGAATGCTGCAGCGTGCTGCAGCGTGCTGCATCAGTTTCTGAGACAAGCTTTGCCACCCTGCTACTTTCGACCTCCCTCCCTTGCCAAAGACCTGGCTTCGGAGGAGAACTTCCGCTTTGAGACCTGTCGAGCCGATGCTGCTTTACGCATGGTGGGGGGGAGAGGGGAGAGACAACATGCGAGAACCAGAGAGAACAAGGGGGGCTTCAGATCAGTTTACATGAGCTTGGATGGGTTCAGGGTCTCTGCGAGACACGTTGCTTTCTTGTGCGAAGTGCTCCTAGAGTCCTAGAGGTGGACTTCGGCCTCAGTGAGATGAGTGCTCAGGACGGGGGCACAACTGACACAGATTCTGAGTTGATCTGAGTTGTTGGGGAATCGGGACAAGGTGCCTTGGGTTTGAGGGGCCCGGGTTGAAGTTCATGGAGGGGTTTGCAAGATTTCAGGGTTTGAGAGCCGCGTGAGGCTGCGTAAGGTTGCACATGGCTTGCGGGAAGCAAGTCCAGCCACTTATGGTTGAGTTTATTGTCCTTTTTGAAGGTGCCCTGGGTGCCTGAATACCAGGGTACCTTATTGCTCACCTGCGCCTTTTGGGTCTCAGAACTCGAATGCTGGAGCGCCAAAAGGCAGTTCAACTTGCACCAGAAATGGGAAAACCATCAATCAGGAATGAGGACGACATTCTAAACTTAGCTCAGTTTCCTCTCAGCTTGGTTTGCGTGAGCTGAAAGTGGCATCTATAAGTCAGAGTCCATGCAGGGACTTGGACAGGAACACGGCGGCCACGAAAGCCACATTATTGCAAATGAATGCACGCCCATCCTGCCCAGAAGGCATTTGGCTTGGTGGGTGGGATAGGAGTGGACGAAGCAGGAACAAGACGTACGAGAGACATCAGACTTTCACGCAATGTTTTTGGACGTACGTTTTCATTCTGCAGTATTCGACACGAAGTTGAAAGCCTCGGTTAAGATTGTTCAGAACTGCTGACTGCATGCGACTTTGTCATTATCGATATGCGTGATGTTTTTTGCCAAGGTGATTTGCTCAACTGACTCAAGCCCAAAGGCTTTTTAAAGCAAGACCGCAAGCGAACTGTAGCAAGCGGCGCTTGTGAGGCCATTGGCTGTTGAGTTCAACAGAGCACGCGTGGTTGTCTTGAGACAGCAATAGCGGGGCTGGAAGGAAGAAGTCAAGGAGGCGGATGTGTGCTCCAATGCTAGTTCGGGGTGCAGCAAACGACACAAGTCCACGCAATACTTGAACTCCAAAAGCAAGCTGGAAAAATGCAGGGCGCCCTGTGCATCTCCGAGTGAGGGTTTGTTCCGTTCTTTGCCTTGCTCCGGCTTCTCATGGGCATTCCCGAGAGGAGTCTGCCGCTCGGTCCGAGCACTTCCCTCGTGGCCTTTATGCCGCTTGGCCGAGGGGGTCCGGTGGTATAGGGTCGCTCTTCATATGCGGGTCTTGGAAAGAAATTTTTGGGCCAAGGTGCAGAAGCGTGACATTTGGAGCGTGTGCGGCTCAGCAGGCCAAGGCAGGCCAAGGCAGGCCACTGCTGCAGTCTCCGCCCCTTGAGCACCGCTTGTGCGATTTGAGGTTGGCACCATTTTGTACCAAATGCTGGCAGGCCTCCACTGAGCCGAGCTCTGACTCCGCCCCCCAGCAACCACAACACATTGAAACACACGGAGACCTCACAAGAGAGAACTTGTTCACACGGACTCCGGGAAGGCGAGCGACTGCTCCCTGAGGACCTGTGTGTTTTTTGCGATCCTTTGGCATTGGTGTTGTCGCTTTCTGATGATGCCGCTTCCGAGAGAAAGCGGGAGCGCTTTTCGGACCAGGAGAGTGGCAGCCACTTATCCGAAGCGACGAACCCAAGTTATGCTGGGGCCCAAGAGGGATCTTGGCTTGGGTTGGACAGGTGGAAGCCGCTGTTTTCATACACCCTCAAAACTGTCGAGCTGGGGACGAGGTGCCCTCGCGTTTGAGCGCGCTCCGTGGCGCATCGGCTCAGGCAGGACGTGCAGTGCAAGCATGTGTGCGCGCAGATGTCCACCCCCCCATCCAAACCCGGAAACACCTGAAAAAACCTTGCGGTCACGGCCAACGCCAATACCCAACTCTCAATCCAACGCCCTCAATGGCAAAGTCCAAAGCGAAAACCGTCAACCCCAGGGGGCAGCTAGCATCTCTCTCTCTCTCTCTCTCTCTCTGTCTCTTTCTCTCTCTTTGAAAAGACACAGAGTCTACAATGTATGCAATATTGTAACATCGACTGAATAAAGTGCACAATCTACTATCTCTATCTCTATCTCTATCTCTATCTCTATCTCTATCTCTATCTCTATATATATATATATAGTATATTGTGCACGTGTGTATGTGTATACAGCATACACGATGTTTGTAGCAGTCGAAAACACTGCATGATGCATGTAAACGTTAAGTTTGCTGGTTGTCCTATTGAGAGTTCAACACATCTGCGTGGGGGAGGCCCGGGACCTGTTGGCGAAGATGCTGGAGCCCAGCACCGACCGACGCATCGCGGCACAGGAGGCGCGTGCCTGAGATCCCCCCTCCCCCACGGCCTGGCAGGGTGGCAGAGGGGGGGTGGGGCAGTTCAAAGTTCTTCCCACTGCCGTCTAAAGTGGCTCCTTGGCTGCTGTGCGGTGAGGCCTTGCAGCACCCACTGGTGGTCCAGTCTTACGCTTTGGCGCAATCGGAGGCACTGGAAACTTGTTCAAGTGCATCGCGTCAGGCATGTTCGGGTAGGTTGGGGTTCGCCCTCCGCCGTTCAGCTCTGGGTCCAAGAATTAGCTTCAAAACCTTTCGAATAGGGAGAGATCTGCGCCAGGTGTTTTGTTAAATGTGTAGTGGTTGAGTGTGGGCAGGTGCCCGACGATGGCACGAGCCCGCGCACGGCCGCCAGCGTCGCGCTGGCCAACCGAAACCGACGCCTGGTTCTCGGAGAGAGGAGACAAAGCGCAAGAGACGCAGAAGAAGTGGCACAGAGGGAGCGGAGGGAGAGGAAAGATAAAGAGAGTGAGAGAGAGGGAGTCACATAGAGAGAAAGACAATCAAAGACAGAAAGAGATACAGAGAGAAACAGGGAAAGAGAGAAAGAGGTTGATTGGTGGGGGTGTACGCCCTCTTGTTTCAAATCCGCCACCAAAAGCAGGGCGCGGACTGCGCGGGGGCTGGACCCCTATGCCGCCTATGCCCCATGAAGAAAAGAAAGAAAGAGGTAAAGAGAGAAAAAGAGCACGAGAGAGAAGAACAAAGGCCACGGGTTTCAGCTTCTACTGCAGCTTGTTGAGACACGAGATCCTTCCGACATGTGTACCAGTCATACTTCCGCTGGGGTTCTCTTGTTTTGGGGCTTGCGTACAAAGCGGTCCCAGCAAGCTCATCCGTGCTCCCCCCGACTTAGCCGCCTTGCCTGCCATGCCTGGACGTGGTGCGGGGACACTAGAGCGAGCGTCTGATGACGAAGCTTTGAAACTTCGCACACGGGAGCCCGTTGCTCATGAAGCAGTGCACCCTGTAACCCTGCGATGTCCACGCGATGCGCTTCTCTGGCAATTTGTGCCTCCGGTTCCTGCCGCTGCGCTTCCAGCAGTGCAGGTTCAATACGATCAGGCTGGTGTGGAGCAGGGTCATTCTGTGGCCACTTGCTTTCAGCAGATCCCTCCGGCCTCAGGGATTCCTGGCGCAGTTTCATCCCACTCCATGGTGGTCCTATAGTAGCGGCTTCTGGTTCCTCCTGTTGTGAGCATTGTGAGCCCTGCAAGCGCAGAAACTCTTCTTGGACTGCTCCGGACCAAGACTGGTTTGGGAGCAAACTACGGGGCCCTTGCTTAGGCGTTGGGCTCATCACCCTTGCGTGGGCTACAGCGGCTACAGCGGCTACAGTACGGAGCCCTTACTTAGGCGTTGGGCTCATAACCTTTCGTGGGCTAGTGTCCACCTGTTCACTTTTGCCACAAAGCATCAACAAAGACCAGCGTGCTCTATGACGTCTGCAGTCTCGGTAGTGCTGTGCGCATGATTGTTTTCTAGACCGGTGCCTGCTTGTGGCGTGGACTCCTGTAGACCTTGCGCCACATGATAGCAGGGTGGCTCTGAACTGGGACTCTTTGTACTCGCGAGGGTTTAGTGTTAGTGTTGACGGCTTGTGTTTCTTTTTTATACAGTAAAGCCTCGGGTAGACATCTTGACGAGACCCCAAATACAGCGCGCAGAAGAAGAAGGGAGAAGAAGAGGGAAGAAGAAGAGACAGAAGAAGCAGAAGAAGCGACTTCAGGGCGGCTCGCTGGCTGCGCGCCCTGGACTGCCTCTTATTCTTACGGAGGGCACCTCTGCAAATGGCGTAGTTTCGTAATGCTTATCCTCTGCATGCTACTCTGTCGGAGCTTACGCCAAGTGTTTTGCGCGTGTCTTTCTCAGGTGCCCGCCCTCTGCGCCTTTGCCAGGGCGCCTCGCATCAAACGCCTTGTCTGGGACCCAGATGGCCACCTTGCCCAACCCCGTGCCACTGCACTGCAAGATATGGGCAAGTGGCGCCTCGCACGTGTCGCGGCAGGTTAAGTTATATCAGTAGAAGGTTGCCATAGAAAAAATCAGTTCCAGGATCTCCGCAGAAGACCTACCGGTGCTCCAACAAATCGCCAAAAATCTCACCCTAAAAACTACGCCCTACGTAAGGCTTCAGTTTGTCCGCGACCCCAAAGCCTTGCCTTGTGCGTGAGCCAAGACATGTCGGGGAAGCATAGCTGCAATGAAAGACTTTAGTCTCCACTTCTCAAAATTCCAGCGGAAGACCCAATAGAGTTGCTGTTGATTCTTCAGCCGCTTGCAGTGCACTGCACACCCCCAAACGACAGGTCACCTATCTTTCCCGTTTCGTCCCTATGCTTCTCGGCTCCGGTGTGCCAAATAGCTTGATAACCTGCCGAATCTAAACTGCCCCCAGGATCCCTCGTCCAATGGTTCATTCGCCCCAAAAGCTCCGAATCTTGGAACCGGGTGGGGAGCGAGTACAGCCATCACAATGCTGTCATACTGCTTCCGCGCTGTTATCACACAGTTCTCAAACTGCTTCTGCACTGTTCATGACATGTTGGCTCATGTCACCTGGTTTGAGGCGTTGCTGGTGGCAGCACACCTTCTCGGAGATGAGGCCGAGAGCTTGGACAGGCCAAGGAGCAGAGAAGCAGAGGTTTTCAAGGGGGGCTTCAAGACTAGGCTCACCACAGAAGTCAGAAGCCCCCCCCCCCCCCCTAGTCAACAAAGCACCGAAGCTGGTGCCTTGGCTGCGCAGAAGAACTCAAGTTGAAAATCTATGCGGGCGAGCTGCCAGCCAGGGCGCGGTTTTAACACGAATTCGCGTAGTTGCTCGAGCCGTTTGCAAAGCGCAGGCGAAGTGTTCGCTATGTTTGCGGGCGTTGTTTTCTCGGGCAAATCCGCATGTCGACGTCAGTGTCAACATTCGTGAACAGTCGACGCGGCGGTCCAGTGTATGTTGCTCGAACAGGATTCGGTCACGATCCTTCACAAAGCTTCGCAAATGTTCGCAAGCGTCAATATCGCAAGTGTTCGTGGTCTCGCGCCGGCGGCTCATCTTGCAGAACCCCCTGCGCATTGTTGTGCGTCAATGCGAGCGATTTGCGGACAAACGTTGGTGTTGGCATGCAATTGATTACAATTGTGTGTGCGAGTGTGTCAAGCCTGACAAGAGTCATTGCATTCCTTCTCTGATGCTTTTTTTTTTGAAGAATTTTGTCATTTTGTCCAAAAAGGTCGGGGGCCTGCGCTGGCTCTTCCGATTCCTGGCGCGGGATGCCTGGCTGATCGAGGCGTGGAGCACGATACGCGAAGCATCGATGTGAGGCAAGACTGCTGGAGGCTTGCAAGTCGCAGCGCCGAAAACCTGCAAACTCAAAAGGTGCATGAAACTGGGCATGTAGGTATATGCATTCATAATTTTGACGCATATGTTGTGTGGCAGATATATTACTGATTCGTGGTGCAACTTGAGAACTTGGGGAGAGGAGTCGGTCTTCGAGGAGGCGCTGCGGGAGGCGGGGGAGGAGGTGCCGCAGGACTGTGCACTGCATTGTAAGTGCTTGTCTTCGCTTAAAGGGCCTTCATGGGCCTCCTTCTCGTATTCTATCTTCTAGCTTCTGGTATCCTGGATCCTCGCTTGCCATCTTCGCTTTGCAGCTTTCCCAGGACTTCGCGGCTCTTTTCAGAAGTGCCGATCTGTCAGGCATGTCTGGCGTCAGCCGTGCCACCTGCATCCGCTACAGCTTCCGATAGTGCAATGCAACAAGTATCAATGTGAATGTACTCCCACAAACAAGAGAACAATGGGAGAGGTCAGGCTATGCTTTTTAGTGCTGTGTTACTTCTGTTCTCTCCTTCTTTCTGCTATTCTGAAGAGGCCTCCGTCATCCTGTCAGAATTGTTCTGAGTCATGTCATTAGGCTGGCTGTGCTGCAGATCTTTTTTGGTCGTGTGTTGCCTTTGGTTCTCCCACCCTCCCTCTCTCTGTCTCTCAGATATCGGGTTATGTATGTTCTCGGCCCCACCCCCCGCCCACAAGTAGCATCAACGGGAAGTGGAGGAGATGGGGAGTGGAGCGGGGGAGTGCACAGGGATGCCAAAAAAGTTGCATAGAGTAATTAGATACGACGGGGCCAAGTCTCTTGGAACTCTGTGTACACAGCCCCCTTTTTCTTTTTTTGCGCAGGCTCGGGTGCCTTGAACTTCGTGGAGTTCATGGCTGCGATGATGGCCAGCCTGCCTGAGGTCTACTCGACCCACTCCTCCTTGAAGGCACCAGGGCATCGCCCCGCATGCGCTGTTGGGCTTGTGTGCAAGAGCCGGAGGACGAGTAGTCCAGCTCGATCCTGACTGTAGAATGGCGTGCTCTGACATGTTCTGCTACTGCTACCCTGGATCACTGCATGTTGATTATCCGACCTCCTGCGATCGGGGGTTATGTGGTCCTGGGAGAAAGGAGTGAATTCAAATCCCGCCTTAGCTGTTTACTGTTGCTTAAAGCAGCAACAAGGAGAGAGGGAGAGTGTTCCTGTCAAAGCGTGGAGCTGCGTGGAGAGACCTGCGCGGAGGCGGTGTTCCACTTCTTCGACAGCAGCGGTGCTGGCATCATTCGTGGCGAGCACCTGCACACACTCTTCCCAGCAAGGCCCGGCCCCACAAGCTCGAAAGCGCAAAGAACCTCCGCAATTGAAGCCCCCGCCAAAAGAAGCTGCCGGAACACCTCTGAGGGGTTGTTTTGATTGGCGCGATAGCGCTCCGAGGACTGAGGACGAGTGCGCGCTGATGATCCGACAGAGTTGTGGGAAGGACGGGGCAAGTGCGAACATCAGCGTTGGGCAGACTTCAAAGACTCCAAGACTTCCGCCCATATAGTTGGGTGGCTCAGGATTCAATGAGCTTTGTGGACTTCCAGCGCGTGATGACTCCCGCGAACTGGAAGGCGTCGCACTAGTGGAAAACACAAGACTCATATAATGTAGGACAGCACTCGGCCCGACATGTCTCTGCGCATTTCGCCGCGCAACTTGTTGCAACATCGGCCCTCTCTCAGCCCGGTGAGCGGGCCAAGTGGGCGGATGTCCCGGCTGCCGCCTTATGGACGAAAGAGAAGCTGTTGTGCAGAGCGGGAGAGTGTGCAGAGAGCGTGTGTGCAGAGAGCATGCGCAGTTGCGGACTGCGCAGAGATTGTGAGGATGTGACGAGCCCCGTTCTTGGGGCCAAGGGCTTCAAGGACTGCCCCGTGGTGTGGCATATCCCGGCATCCCTGAGCCCAAGGAGGGTTCCTGAACACACCCGAGGAGCAAAAGATGCGTGGCTCTTCCTCGGATCCCGAACGTGATTGCCAGGCGAAGAAGCACAAAAGTAGCAAAAGTCTGAATCCTTCTCGTTCCAAAAAAGGTCCTCCTCCAAGGTCGCTTAGGTCGCTGTGCTCAGTACAGTTCAACTGAGCTGTGAAAAGGTGACGAGCCGGGTCACCTCCGCGCCCTCTGAGGCGTCGTTCAGTCGAGTTGCCGCACGCCGTAGAGTCGTAAGGACGGGCCAGGACGGGTCTAGCCGAGTCTAGCCATGCGCTGCCCTTCGTCCACGTGTTCGTCTGCATTTGTCTCTGCGTAGCGATTTTGTGTGCGCCAGGTGCTCTCTCTACCTCTCTCTCCCCTCCCCCGGTCTCTTTCCAAAACTCAGACAGGCTTTTGCCATACGGCAGAAGCCCGGCTTCCACCGCGGCGCGCCTGGGCCTTGAGGGCCTTGAGGGCCAAAGCAAGAATTTGCGGAAAAGAGCGAATCCTGGGAGGTTCTTCTTCGGTACGATCGCGAGCAGTATATAATTACGTCCTTGTGAAATATCATGTAATTTGATGTGTGGCGGTGCTCCGTCGACTCCGTCGTCGATCTTTTGAGAGGCTGCGACCCTTCTACGCGGCGCAGCCCGTGTCCAACGTGGCGGGCCGCCTGAGTTCTGCTTCCTCCTTTCTTCTCCTTTCTTCTCCTTTTGTTGGGGCTCTCGTCACTCGTCATATTCGATGTCCTTTCTCGAGAGGTGCTGGGCCTGGCGGCGGGATCCTCGGGCTACGCCCGGCGCGCTGTCCAGCTGCGCTGCACAGAGCTCGCCCCGGGCCTCGGGGGCAAGACTCGGAGAGAGGGAGGGAAAGGGAGAGCGATAGACGCAGCGAGGGGGAATAGTGTCACCAACAGCGGCAAATCACACACCCGGAGCGATTCAGGGCCGACACTAAAAGGACTCACTGGGGCGCTGCCATGGAGAATCGCGCCGGTTAAGTGTGCGCGCTGCCTTTTTCTACCGAGACATTGGACCGCGTGATCTGGGCGCGCCTGTGCGCGCGGGGGGTCCCCCGGGCGCCTCATGCCCCGTAGAATAAGAAGAAGAGGGGAGGGAGGTGCAGGGAGATGTGCAACATTGTGCAAAAGAGAGTGCGGCTCGCGCGGGAGTCTTGACTTCGGACTCACCGTCCTTCGACTAGGGCGACTATAGGGCAGGGCCCGACATCCTCTCAGGCTAAACCGTTTCCACAGAAAAGCCCCTCGTCGGATATGATCTTGAGTAGGGTGTCCCTATCTGAGAGCGGGAGAAGGCCGCAAGGTGTGAGAGGGGGACTCCAAAAGAAAAAGAAAGGCTTTTGCGGGGCCACTCAAAGGGAGTTAAGCGATGCTTCGAGCTCTGCGCACCGCAGCTTCTTCGCGTTTCTCAGGTCGACACGGAGCACGGGGCCTTCTTCTTCATGCCCAACCCGAAGTATCACTGGACGCCTGAGGCGTAGTGGAAGCGTGCGCCCTTTAAAGACCCTGAACTTCTAGGCCGTACGAGCCTTGCTTGATATCAGCCTTGCGAAAGCTGCCATCATTCGTCTAGAGGACAGCTTCGACGTGTTGCGTTGAAGCTGATCCGCCATTTTTCGGGGGCACCATCAAAACCGAGAGGCCGCCTTCAACGACGAACGCAAGGACTGCAGAGTGGAGTCTGGACAGTTTGGACTGGGGAGAGTTTCAAGTGCACTCCATGACGCTCTGAGAGAGAGAGAGAGAAGAGAAAAAAAAAGAGAAGAGAAAGTAAAGCATCCCCCATCGCATGGACTCCCCGCCCCATCGGAGTGAGCCCATTGTCATCCCACAGACGTACCCCTGGGGCTCTCTCTCTCTCTCTCTCTCTCTCTCTCAGTCTGTGTGTGTGTGTGTGTGTGTGTGTGTGCGAGGCCCGCTTTGTGGCCTGGTGGATTCACCCGGACCTTTGCTGGGCCCCTGGAAGTATCCGCCAGTTTGACATTGATGAAACCTGCAATGCCTCAAGCACATTGAAGAGTGCTCTGGACAATGCTGGCGCCTTCCTCTGTCACTTCTGTCACTTTGCACACTTCGAGGCTCAATGTTGCGAGCATGGTTTAAGCCTCAGGGGAGGGGGCTTTCGGGGTTTGCTGCTTGCTTCGTACATGGCGCGGAGCTTGGCGAAGGTGTGCATTCCGAATGATCCCACAATCACACTCTTTCCTTTGAATTTGTTCGCTTTCGTTTTTCGCTTCGCGCTTCGCCACTTTGGCCTCCGCTGTGTTCCGACTTGCTCTGGGGCATCTACACCCATGGGCCGTTTGATGCCGTTTGTGTCGTGTTCCTTTCATGCACGGGTCCGCGCAAAGCAGGAGGCGAGCAGACATGAGAAACCATTTCTTTCTTGTCAAGTTGTCCTTGGCGCTTTTGGGAACATAAGCTTCTCGTTGCCGCGTTGGTGCTTGTGGAGGCTCGTCAACTCCGCTTACTTTCTGTGTGCCGATGGCGTGGGTGGTAAAACACGAGACTCTGAGACATCTCTCTTTGCAAGTGTTGAGACTTTTGGAGAAAACAGCGGCCAGAACTCAGCCCAAAGACATGGGAGAACTTAGCATCAAAAATCTTCCAGCTGCGGCATTTTTCGAATCACCGCCGCGCTGGTCCAGATGCGGGGAGCGGTGGCCAGGTTCGGTCCTTTTGTTCAGTTAGTTCAGTTCTACATCCAAAGTCCCCAGAGAGCGTCGGGGCAAACCCTGCCATAGGACTTTTCAAAGCCCTGCTCTGCTCCCTATGCGGCCCTATGCCCTATGGCCCTATGACTTCTTGGAGACCTGTGTCTTCTCCATGTTCGGTTCTCCGATTCCGAGCTTAGCAGCTTCCAAGGACGGCCGGGACGGCCGGGGCGCCCGTGCGGTCGGTCTCGAGAGGCAAGGATGGCTCTTTCACCTCCCTCCCTCTCTTTCCTCTCTCCTTCTCTTTCCCCTCCCTTCTCTTTCCTCTCCCTCTCTCCTCTCGCTTTCCGGGGGGCCTTGGCTCTCAATCTCTCAATCTCTGCTCTCCTCTGATTCGAAGCGCGAAAGAGGCGACGAGACCGGCGCCGCGGGCCCAGGAAGCAATACTGGGAGACCTTTGCTTTTGAGCGCAACCAGCAGAGAGGAGCTGAGAGAGATGGAGGGAGAGAGAGGGAGAGATGTGGGAGTGATGTGGGGGAGCTGCGGGACAGTAGTCAGGACTAAGAGAGGGAGCTGAGGAGCTAAATTGAAGAAAGCTTGCTTTCTCTTTCTTTCTCAGGTTGGGGCTCCAGGGGATTTCGGCTACTCGGATACGCCGAAGCCGCTGGGGTCCGCATTTTTGTGAGTCGCTCGAAGACTGTTCGAAGCTCGAACCGTCCTCCCCACGTCCCTCTCAACTGCTCAGCTGTCGAACTTCGTTAGTTCAATTTGGTGCTCAGAGGTCCCCGGGCTACCTGCACACTTGCCGGGACCTCTGCGGGCGCGCGCACGTCAGGAGAGCTGGGAGACTTGGCTTTTGAGTTCTTTGTGCCTTGCGTTGTTCGGGGATAGTTTCCTTCCTGCAGGATGCTGGATGCCCTGGTGGCCGGGATCAAGACGTACCTGGATCGCATGCCGCTCCGACCGAATGAAGAATCAGAGCATGATATAATATGGAAGTAGAAATTGATTGAAGTTGGGCAGAGCTGTTTCGTCCCATTAATATGTTCTGGTGCCACAAAGTGTCCTCTCGTTTTTCTCTCCGCATCTCTGGTCGGAGGTTCGGCGGAGATTTGGCGGCCGCGCACGTGTCAGCGGGCTTCCACTACCCGGCACCTGCTTCAGCGATGGTTCGTTTCACAGACTCGGAGAGAATGTGAGGGGAGAGTGCGGAAGAGAGTGAGGTGGGAGTGAGGAGCTTTTAGGAGTAGACTCCAGACAGAGGGAGTCTCGAGTGCCCAGGGGATCCCAGGGGCCGCCAACCCACGCAGGGAATATTAAGGAAATTCAACGCAGTCAAAACACTGTGGATGGAGGGAGCTTAGCTGGGGGTCTGAGGATGAAAGATGCTTGGGCGGCAATGTTCCGGGCAGCTGTTTCGAATCTACAAATTGGCAAGTTGGGCTCCCGCTCTCGGGAGGAAGAAGAGAGGCCGAGGAGAGCGCAGAGGTTGAGAGAAGAGCGGATGAGAGAGGCCTTTTCCGTGTAATTTGATTTTTTTGTCGCGGCGTTGTGGGGTTTGTGATGGTGTGCTTTGCATGTATTTGAGGTGAGGCCTCAGTACAGCACGCTCCATTTGCAGATCCGGGTCAACGCTGGCGACGTGTGTCCAGGCTGGGCCGGGAGAATAAGTCACGCAGAGTCAGTTGACCTGGGATATGGTCATGTGATCTGTGTTTGTCTTAGTTTGGCTTTGTGGCGTCTATTTAACTATGTGGTCTGGCTTTCATGCACGCGGCATGATACTCATTTTTCTGTCGCTGCCTTACAAATTTTCCGAACCGTGCTTCAACAGCGCGGAGTTCCAACGTTGAAAGCAAGAGCAGCTAGGTGCGGCTAGGTCGTGTAGGCCCTGCAGACCATGCTTTTTTCTCGATGTTTGCCAATTTGGTTGGAAAAAACCCTGTCCTCGAAACTGTCATGGCCATTCTTGAATATGTTTTTGAAGTTGACATAAATTTGCTGGCACTTTGTATTTTGTTTGGTAAACACGGCATATGTCTTTATAACATATCACTGTCAGACTCTTTGATTCAACCCATTACCACTTTAAGACTATGTTTCGAACAAGAATGGTAATGCCGTGATAGATTGAAATCAAAAATTATCATAGGGCTCGCGAAATGCGAAACGGTCGTCGCTTTTGAACTTGTGGGCCCACAAGATGCATCACTTTTGGACTTCCGGGCTCACATGGTCTCTGTTTGGGGCCTAGGCTGCCATGATCGCTGTGAGGATCATTGTTGTTGTTGCATGTTGTTGCCATCGTTTCTTGCTATGGTTTTCGCCAGTTTTGCAGCTTGTTTGCCCCTTGTCCTTCCCTCGTCCGTCTTCCTCCCAGCCCGATGCAGCACTTCCCCCGAATCCTTCTCTGAGGCGAAGGCCGCGGCGTGGACCTCTTCAGGACAGATGCATGCATGCGTGCGCGCGGGCGCGCGCGCTGTTGTTGACGCGCTTTTTCTGGAATTAGCGTATTCTCGGTGAGGCTGCAGAACAGGTTGAAGGCCGACCCCGAGTGCTTCCAAAGAGACGACGAGACGCTCTTCTACGAGGAGGGGGACGGGAAAATGAACATGCGACACCGGCGACACCTCTAATGACTCTGACTTTCTGAGTAGCAATGCTCAACAAAGCTGCTGTCACTGTAAAAGCAAGTTGCTCACCAGGGGTGTTGTTTTTGCGTGTGTCACGTCTCCAGGCCACGGCCAACTTGAGGATCGCGCTTCTGAAAGCCTGTGACAAGGCGAACTCCTCGAGAGAAATTTGAGTCAGGGAGCGGCATGCCGGGAGATCGGCTCAATTTATCTCCATTCCTTCCTCGTTCGCCTCTGACTCTCTGACATCTCTGCCTCTGCGCTTTTTGAGAGGCGACTGGCGTCCACGGCATGGGTACGCGGATGGTGCGGGAGGTGGGGCCCAAGTCACTGGTCTTGGGCGAGTAGCTGCACAAGATTGCACAAGCAAACAAGTGGGTTCGAGATGGAACCCGAAGAGAAATTGAAGAGATGGAAGCGGATCCCTGATTGAGGGATCTGGTCTTCTCGCACGCCTAATTCGCGCTTGGGGCAAGAAATGGCCCGGATTCCGAAACATGCCGAGAACTGTCGAGACTTCCCCGCCCATGCAGGTCTAGGGGGCATCTATCATCTAGCGGCCCGGATTCCGAGACATTTCGAGACTTCCCGCCCGAGCAGCCCTAGCGGCAACCAGCGGCCTTAGCTACGACTTTTTTTACAAAGAAACTCAACTCTTGGGTTTCATGTCCAAATTTTTCCAGGCTGCGCGTGTGCTTGCCACACGATTGGAGACGGGTGCTGCGCGTTGCCTTATCTTCTTGCGCGCAGTGGCGCACTGTTGCTTGAAAGGATGTGGTTCACAAATCACTAAGAGGTTGCCATGAAGCTTGTTTTCATTGTGCTAGGCTAGCACCCTTTCAAAATTCGCGGTGTGCAGAGAGCAGTTTGTCTAGGGAGGTGCGAGCACCTCTCCGGAGAGAGAGGGAGAGGTGCGCAAGCGCTCTTCCTTTTTCTCATTCCGGTGAGCGTATTTTGTAGTGGATGCATGTGGTGTAAAGCATCTGCCCTTCATGACAGGATACGACATCAACGGAGGCAAATACGTAGCCACGTCCCCATATATGAAAACACACACGTATGTTTATTTGTATATGTATATACATATATATATATAGTATGTATAGTAGATATGTACGTGTATATCTATGCGTATGCATGTGTGACACACGCACACACATTTTACTTCCGCCTGCTCCCCGAGCCGCGATGCCAGAAGCTTAGCAGCGAAGCCGCGGCCTCGGGCACCAGCAGAGCAACGTGTCGCAAGTCGCGCTTTTCTGTTTCTTTTCGCTTTTGAGAGGGCCCTCTCAGCTTTGTGTGATCGCTTGCGCGCCTTCTTTTGCGTCTGGAGTCCTGCGCTCCTGCGCGTTTGGCTCCCGTTGACTTGCTCGCTCCTTGTGAGGCGTTCCAAAGCCAGCATCCGGCGGCTCTGCGGCTCTCCACGGACTCCGCGCGCGATCCCAGAAGATGAAAGGTAACTTTGGGCGACACGCGTGAGACAACATGAGACGTATCATGAGACCTGTCATGAGACCCATCATGAGACCCATCATGAGCCAATCTCAGCCAAGGTGCGAACCCAATTGTACATATCCTTGGACTTCGCACGCTCACAACGGCTCAGCACTTGTGGAGCGGGAACCCCCTATGTTTGGGTCCCCGCTTAAAAAAGAAGAGCCGAGATTTTGGCGTTTCACGAGGCTTGTACAGAATCGAATCTGCAAAGCGGCCACGCAAAAGAGTATGAGAATTCTTTGATGAGTAAGTAGCTCTGGCAGAATTTCAAAGCCGTTTCGCAGGTGGAATTCAGGGACTGCAGGACATATCAGACCCTCGAGCCGTTATCGAAGTTGACATGCCGCGGAAAAGGGTGGCAGCAGGCGCTCTGAATTGTGAGTATGGCGGGTGAGAGAGGATGGCATCCTAGTGCGGTCCGTGTAACGTCCCGCAGGTTGTTTGGGTGCCCGTCAAATCGCACACCTTGAGGGTGGGGGCCAGGGTGGGGAGATGCTCGAGACCATCTAAACAACTTTTCATGTTCTTGCTGATTATGTGTATATATATATATATACGTATGTATATATATATATACATGTATGTATGTATGCATGCATGCATGTATGTGTGTGTGTTTCTACTTCTTTCTTTCTTCCGGTATCGCTATACTTGCTCTATCTCCTAGTTCACAGGCGGGAGGCGGCGAGACAGAGAGAGGGTGATGTGCTCAGTTGGCCAAGAAAGGGCACCTTTTCCTCATGAGGTGAGCTGCTGGCATGCCAGGCGCAGGAATGAAGTTGTAGACTAGGCCATCTGCGATCCGAGAGCCCAACGTTGGGCCAGCATGTCTCCCTCGCCGGATTTTTCCGCAGAGTTTGGGCGCCAGACCTCGGACTTCCCGCGCCAGACCTCGGAGTTCGGGCGCCAGATCACGGACTTCGGGCGCCAGATCACGCCTCTGCCCGTGAGGTCGACGGCATTTGCGCGGCAAACGAGTCCTTGGGAAGCCGGAGCCCTCAACGTGCCTGTGCCGCGATAGCCGCGATAGGTCGAAGATCCGTGAGATCCGAAATCCACTACATCCAGAATCCATAGGTCTGAAGCCTCCGCGGTCCCCGGCCTCTAGCGCCCCAATGTTTATCGTTTCTTTTTTCTCTTTGTAAGTTTTGCGTTTTGCCATTTTCAGCAGAAAGACTTGAGTTTGAAGATGTGTTTTCATTCTGGGCGGTGAGGACTTGGAGGACTACATCTTCTCTGGCCGCTTCGGCTCCCACGCACACCCAGAGAAAGGCGACGCAGAGGTCGCGCAGGGGGCCGTATGTGTGGACTCCAGTTCCGCCGACGAGTCGGCAACATCTTCAGAGGATGGAGACGAAAGGCTCTCTTTGTGGACATGGTGCACAGTCGGATTGCCTTTGGGTGGCTTCTTTCTGGCTTTCTTGAATGCCACTGTGACGGGCGTCGCCTATGGCTTCTTCCTCGGATACATGGGCTTGGACTCGAATGTCATGATGTCGATCACAGCGCTCATGAAGCTTCCACAAGTGCTGCTTCTTCCCTTTGGCGTGATGAACGACTGCCTTCCCATTTGCGGGTACAACAGGAAGCCATATTTCCTGGCCTCCTGGCTGATCTGTGCTGGCGCGCTCTTGATCATGAGCTTGTGGTCACTTCCCGCCCCGTACTACTGCCAACATCCTGACGGAAGCTACGACACGCTGTCGCCACCCTGCAATCCAAGCATCCATGCAGAGAAGAACTGGTACGTCTTCCCCATGTTCGTTCTTGTTGCAGGTGTGCAGCTGGGTTGCGTGGCAGGGGAGGGCCTTCTGTTGCAGTACTCGCAGCGCGAGCCTCTGGAGTGTCGCGGGAAGATGAAGGCTGAGTTCACAATGGTCACGATGGCGGGCTCGCTCGCGGCCTCTGCAGTCATTGGGGTCTTCATGAACAGCAAGGAATACTTGGGCACCTTCGACTGGGGTATATCCTTCAACGGCTTGATGATGGTGTGCTTCGTCATCGCCGCCTTGTTGCTACTGATCTGCATGGTGAGTGTCCACGAGCCCAAGAAAGTCGAGCGGCCCACGTTCCGCGCCCACATGGAATCGTCCTGGAACTTGATCCAAAGCAAGTGCTTGTCCTGCGTTCTGATCTTCGCCTTCGTCTTCCAATTCTTCGCGGGGTTAAGTACGACCGCGGCGCCCATGGTCCGAAGCCAGTGGGCCGGAGTCCGGGTGTTGCAGCAGCAGATGTTTCAGATGGCCGGGATGTTCGTGATGATGGTGGCCACCTGGGTCTACAAAGTCTACTTCTTGCAGTCCTGTTGGCGGAGAGCCATTCTAACGGCTACTGTGATGGTGACGGTCTTCGACTCCGTGCCGACTTTCTTGGCGATTTTCGATGTTGTCCGAGACCAGTACTTCTACTTGGGCGAGGAGATTGTCGGGGCCGTGCCCACCACGGCTTTGGCCTTGATCCTGAACTTGATGGTCATCGAACTCTCGGAGCCAGGGCAGGAAGGCTTGACATACGGCCTCATCGGCACGGTGATGCACTCGAGTCAGCCGCTGTCCGTGGCTGTCTCCAACCAAGTCTCCTCCTTGTTCCAGCCCTCACTGTCCAAGCCCGAGAACTACCAAAGGGACGAAGAGAGCTTCCGCCGCACCGTGGCCTTGTCCTACACGCTCACCTACCTCTGCTCCATGCTGGGGGCCCTGGCGCTCCCTCTGATCCCTCGCCAGAAGCAGGATGCCCAAGCAAGGAAGGGAAAGGGCCGCAACCGATGCATGACCGCGCTGGTCATCTTGATCCCAACCCTTTCCCTGTCCTACGGCATCACCGTGCTCCTGTTGACCAGCCAGCCCCAGACCGCTTGCCTGCGCTTCGTGGGCGGCCCGGGCTGCGCCTGAGAGAAGATAATTTTTTTCGAGAGCTGCAAAGCAAGACTCGCTTGGCGCTCCAAATAAACGCACGAGAACGTCAGCAGTTCGTTTAAACGTCTTTGAGATTAGCTTCTGCGCACACAACTTTTTTCTCGCAGCTGAAAGCCTGAAAATCCGGGCTTTAAGGTGTTGCGCTGGGCCCTTGGGCTTTCCTTCTGCTTTCCAATCGGTCTCGCGCATCCCGCAAGCTGCGCCGATACTCACGGCAAGAATTTCAACCACTTGGCCGTGACAAAATTTCTCAAAGCACCAGGTACAAAGCCGTGGTGCAAAGCCAGCCACTGCACAGTTGCATAGTTGCACAGCTCCGCTGCATTCGGAGACATGTCGGCGGCTGTGCTTGCGTTGAGTGCGCTCAGCATCTTCATGCTACTTGTCGGCCCTTTCATTGACGGTATGTTGGATGGAGCTCAACCAAGCGCACCCAACAGCACAGCAGTCTTGCTTTTTGAATCGACGTATTCCCTTTGAAGTATTGCAGCCGGAGCATCAGTAGAAGCGAGACTTTTCAACGACGGAAAATGTGGCCGAGCTTCGCTAAGCACTGAGCGCTGGGCACTCCATTCCCCAGCCGGTTGGAGTATATTGTATATGTTACATGGGTGGCAAGATATGTTGATTTTTCCACTAACTAATCCTTGTAGATGTGCCTGCTTAGCAGTTGCAATCGCATTGCAAGGTTCTGGTGCGTGCGGGTTTCCAGACTCAGCTCGATCAGATCTTTTGCTCCAGCTCTGTGCGGTGCATGTGCTACGAGAGCACGAGACAGCACGTATTTGCGCCCTGAGGCTTCCGCATTTGTCTTGAAGTAACGAGCAGAAGCTCCATTCTACGAATCCCAAATCCACTGCAGCAGCAGCGCCAGGCATCTTTCAACTGCTCGGAAGGGCCCTTCAAGTTCTCATTCCTCAAATCAAATCCCTTAACTCCTGCAAGCCCCAAAATTGACCTCTGCAGAAATTCCTGGAAAAGCGTGTTTGAACCCTTAAACTGGGGCTCCCTGAACCGACACTCTCAAAGCACCGAGCATTGAGCGGCTGAAAGCCAGAAGCCGAAAACACTTCCTGGAACAAACGACGGCCGACGGATTGCGACGCCTAAGGAGTGTACATGTGTCCATCTCCCCAACAAGCGTCCACTACACTCCCAAACTGCGAGGCCTCAACAGAAGCCAACAAGAAGCACTTTCTCGCAACAGACTGTCGTGACATATTGCAGTGATGAGCAGAGCCTCGGGTTCGGCGTTTGAGACGATTATCGTGCCTGTTTTGGCTCCAAAAAAGAGAAGTGGCGACCCGATGAGAACACGACGCGCAGGCGACGACAGTGGAATCGCAAGTGGAGTGAGCCGGTTCCCAAAACATCCCTAAAGGATTTCACGGTTTCGAAACCATCAAATGACAACTCAGCGAGTACCAGGTGTGATATGGAGATCTTCCTTTTTCTTGTGGGTCCGTGGCCGAGTCGAAAAAAGGATCCAGCTGGACTTTGCTCCGTGCGTGCTTTGGGAGGCTATTTTGTCCAGTTTGCAGCATCTTGCATCTTGCTCTACAAGATCTGGAAGCACAAGTCCATCTATGGCTTGAGTATTGACACTCAGGCCTCCTGTGCATGGCATGTGTGTATCAGATGAATCAGATGGCCATCACGTCTTTTGATCTTTGTGTCAGGCAGCATACATGCTGGCCGTCGTGGCGCGTTGCATCTGGGTTCGCTCCCCTGAACTGCAGCTCTGTGTGTTTCGGTTTTGCAGATCTCTTGCCTGGCGCAGTCGATGGAGACAAGATTGGTGGAGACGAAGTTTGCGTACTTAGAGCTCTCGATGTCAACAGCCACGCCCCCAGATGTTCAGCCTTGTTGGGCCGTCTGCCGACAACGTCTGCGGACTCACATCCATCTTTGAGGCTGTAGCCGTTGCTCTTAGCTTCATGTGCTACCAGCTGCAGCACACTGCCCCCAAGCAGACACATCCTCAGCTCGAGATCGTGCTCTGCTGTTTCATCGGGTGTGGGATACGATCTCCTTGTGTGAACTTTTTCTCGCGCTGTTCAGCTGCCATCGAGGTCCACCCCTTTTCTGAGAGTGCTCGCGACTCAAAGAAGAGTGGACTCGTGTTTTGAAAACTGTAGAGTGTCGACAAAACTCCCTCTCACAAGGCTTTGAAAGCTTACAAAAGATGCTCTCTTCACCCCCCGGAGGTACGCCACGGCTCCCGCGGCCTTGATCCTGGCCTTCTTCTTCCATCCGGGAGATGAATGGCCCGCTTGTGCGTTCCGGTGTACTTGGGGGTGCGTCGAGTTATACCTTGTGAGAGGCTCACGATGCAGATACTGGTTTCCTACACCATGCCGGGCACTCGGGGTTGGGGCGGTTGGAACCCAGAGAAGCGTGAGACAGCTTGAGACAGACACGGTCGAGACACGGTCGAGACGGTGGCCCAGGTTTCAGGAGGCGTTCGGGCTCTTGCCACAGCTGTGGCTGATGAGGAAAATGCACGAGGCAACCGAGGAGCTGCACGAGCTGCTTGGGGGGATGTGGGAGAATCACGATGGGAAAGGTGGAACCATTAACGTCCCATTACGCCTCGTTCTCAGCAAACCGATGCAAGTGCCTCGTGTGGGCTTGATCGTCTGGGGGAGATGTCGAGAGCACGTGAGGTTGGCCTTATTGTGGCCGCTTGGTTCGCACAGAACGAACCTCCTCACTCGCCACACGCAACACGACTCCCGAGTTTCCCATAGCCTTGCAGCTAAGAGTCTGAATTTTGTGCGAAGGTTGCGCGCTTCATCCGGATGTGCTTCTGGGGCAAAATGTACTTCTTGGGTTGGCAGCCGAGTCTTCGAGATGCTCAAGCCCAGCCTTGCACTGTGTGCACTGTGTGAACTGCGCCATGTCCAGGTGAGCACTTCTTGCAGCTCTTCTTTGCAGATGCACTGTGCTTGGCATGTGCTTGAACATTGGTGTCGTGTCCTCGCGACCAGCCCCACATGAGCTTTCCCTGAGCTCAGTAAATCAATGAGGTGCTTCACACATTACTTTCCGCCGACTACATGTACCTGTGGTGCAGGACAGTCGGCCGCGACCATGTTTAAATGGAAGACAGCGCGTGCAAAGCAGTACTGTAGGGCCCAGTGGGCACGCGAGGGCAGAGACTTGCAAGGAAGTTGCAGTATGGAGGCCGCCTCATCTACAGCCAAAGTGCAGTCAAGGCTTCAGTCTGCAATTGCAGTCTGCAGTTGCATGTGCGTTGCATGTGCGTTGCATGTGTGTTGTGCTCATGTGAGTTCCTGTGGAAAGCAGAAGTGAGAGTAGCGGTTGCCGCCCCAGGTTTGAACTGGAGAGGCGATCTCGCCCGAGACTGGCGTCACACTCTGGCGATTCTTAGATGCGGCCGGGAAAAAAGCGCTATGGAGGTGACCGTTCCGCGCCTGCCGCATGTTCCTTGTTCCAACAGACAGGTATTTCGTTCAAGCTTATACTAGCATGTGGCGAGAGCGGTCCCAGCAGAATCAGGCGTTGCCTCGGCCCCTGCGGGTCAGATTCGCAGCCCGGGGAGTGTTCTCTGACGCATGTTCAAGCCATTCAAGCCGGCCAGTAAAAAAGGCATGAGCAAGAAGAAATGTCGCCAGGCTCTTTGGCAAGCAAGGCTCACAAGGCCCCGCGAAAAGTCACACAGCGTTTCCAGGGAGGCCAAGCAGAGCAGCCTCACAGATTGCAGCGCCTCTCAGAAGGAAACAGAATCGAGACTCCAGTGACTCCAGGGAGACTCCATGTTCAGATCGTGCAAGAATCGCATTGGCCGCGGTGACCCATCTTTCGTCGCAGGCGATTTCGCTGTGTTCTTGTTTGTTTTTGTTTTAGGCTTTCGAATCGGTAACACTAAGAGGGTTGATGTAAATTTGTCATGTCAACATGAATGGCCAGCTTTTTATTGAGTGTCGAAGCGAGTCCTTATAAGTCGGGAGAGAGAAGAGTGCTGATCAGCGAGGGTGGCTGCGGAAATGCAAGGGGAACAATGTAAGAAACAAGACCTGATCCGACCAAGTCCGGCGCTGCAACGGGCGGCTACATGCATGCAAGCGTTGAATATGCGTACACCAAGTCAACTGAAGAGCATGACGGACAGCAGTGACATGTTCGGGCCATGTTTCGTTGTTTGATATGTGGTGTCTGTGGTTGTTTCAGTTTAGGGGCGAACTTGAGCTTGGTTTGCAGCCCCTGATCGTGATCGGATTCGTTTTCCTGACCACGGGTAGTCCACTTAAAGGCCAAGCTTTGAACGTTTCGCCATTTCTGCATCAGAGACCGGGGAGAAGGAGGCGGCGAGCTGCGCAAACGTGACTGTTTGGTCATCTTCTTGTACCTTGCGTCGGCAAAGGCACTATCTTCTCAAGACTTACGTTCGTACGTTGCAAGGGAACTTTTCGCGTGCAGCTATTCGGCTCGCAGTCCGCAAGCATGAGAAAGCACCGAACATGAAGAGGTTATAAGACACAGGAAGAGTCATATAACAAGAGAGTCGTGCCACCAGAGCTCTGTGACACTGTGTGCCGACAGTCCCCATGACCTGCCATCCCTGAGCTCTCCAGATGTGGGGCCGAGACTGGCAGTCACAACCGGAGTGGCCGGAATGGCGTGACCAAAATGGCCCGCCTTCTGGATCTTCAGCGTTTGCTTCCTTTCCCTCTTCTCAGGCCTGGACATGGGAAGGCTTTGAGGGCTTCGGAGGTGCAGGCCCTGCAGGTGCTGGAGGTCCTGGGGGTCCTGCGGGTGCCACAGCCCTCCCGCCGCAGTCGCTGGCTTTCGCATCTCATGCCGCGAGTTGGTCACCGTCCATGGTCTCCAACATGATGCTGATGCCATATCCGTGCCCTCAGCCTTCAGAGCAAGTTGAGCAACATGAAGAGAAGAGATATGATGGCACAGTCAAGTGTTTCTATGGTGAGAAGCACACGGGCCATGGCTTCATATTTTGCCCAGAGATTTACAACCGAACAGGGCAAGACGTTTATCTGCATGCACGACAAGCGCACCGCTGTGAGGTGGGTGATGAGGTTAGCTTCACTGTGGTCTTCAATTCCCGAAGAGAGCCGCAGGCTCGTTCTGTCGTGAAGAAGCAGGAGGAAGGAAAGTTTCTATGCAAAAAAAGGGAGGAAGCCGAGAGACAAGCGACCGCTCTACAGCAGAAGCGTGCAAGACCTCAAGCCGTCGAGCCGCCATCTCATTCGGGCCATTCGGGCGGTGTCATGACGGAAGAGCAGGCTAAGAAGTTTCAGAAGTCCCTCAAGGGAAGGTGACGAAGAAGGATCGCGGAAGGATTCTGAAGAAAAGGGGACCATGTCTTGGTGCAAGTGTCAAGCACTCACTGATGTGTGATCAAGTACCGCCAATTCGAATCACAGATCCTTGGGCGCCCTCGCGGCCTGCAGATGTTTCAGCTCCTTGCGAGTCATCTAGTACTAATACTCACAACTCACAATTGAGGAATAATATTCACCATCTCATAGCGCGGTTGGCTGCACATGAGCAACATGTGCACAAAGACGATTGCCCGCCACATATCACCAGCAAGCGTTTCTTCACTTAGACATGCCCAGCACACACAAGTGTGGCCCTGTGGCCACGCGCTTGTGGTGTAACCGCACCAACAAACCCCCACTGCGGCACACGCCATATGGGAGATGAGTGATGGGCGCGCACCGTCTTTGCCTCAGTTCCTCAAAGGTGGAGTGCTGCGGTTACATGGCAAGTTGCAGCCCACGTCGCGCACGCCCCTGTTGAGTTTGTGGCTTAGTTTGATCGCCCTGGCCGCGTGGTATGACCAGCAGATAAAGGCAATACCCATATTTTGTCTGCAGTCAACTGAGATCATCAATGAATCAACGGCAGACTCGTCCCAGCTTCGTAGGCAGTTCATGGAGAGCTGATTTGTTTTTGGACTTCCTTTTCGGGGGAGGCGCGGCCGCTGGCGACGAAGGCCTGGACCTCCTCGTTCCTGGCGGCGTGCAGCTGCGTTTCCCTCTGAGAAGCCACGAAAAGTTCAGTGAGATACAAAAAGAGAGAGCAAAATTCAGAAAGAATGAAAGGGAGAGCTTGAGAGAGTTTTGAAAGGGAAAGCGGCTTCGGAAAGCCCCCCTAAGGCTGTGGCGCAGGCTCTTCGGCTCCTCGGAAAGCGTTTGAGCGCAGATTGAGGGGACTGTCTTGTGATTTCGTTGATCTCACTATTTGACGGACTTTTGTGCGACACCTGCTTTGATTCGGGTTTTGATGTTTGTGACACGCCCGATATTTGTTAGACCTTCGGACAGGGGACGGAGGGGGTCCCAAGGCGCCGGGCCTCGCTGAAGGAGCTGGTGAGCTTCGCTGTGCAGGCCTCGTAGTTCAACCGCGCATGCTCCACAAGACAAAGTGTTGGCTCCTTCCTTTTCGCCCTTAGCTGGGAGGCAGCGCCGCCCTTTAACCACTTCTGGTTCGACTTCCTCGATCGTCGCGTTGGGTCATGGCCCCAGGACAATCGCAGAAAGCGTCGCGGTCTCAATGATGGAGTTGACTCCAATCGGCAAAAGCAAAAGCCCCCGCACTGCTCAAATTGGAGCACGCTTGGAATGGGGCCCCAAGAAGCATCAACAGCGAGGAGAGTTCCTTCTTGAATGATCTCTAAAGAAGAAGCGAACCCATCCAAGAGCAAAGGGACCATGTGCATCCATGCCACGTTTCGGAGACAAAAGCAATGTTAGAACTAGGCTGAAAAAGAATTGAATTAACAAACATTTGCTGAATTCCCTGTCCTAGTTGAGATACTTTGGAAGACTGGACGAGACTGTGTGCTGAACTCTTGTGGGCACATGCCTGTCCACTTTCGAAGTATACTTAGCCGCTACAAGCCTTACTAAGCGGATTCCGTCCAATTTCACACCTCGGATGAGCCCCGGCTGAACATGCTCCTGTTGGGTCCGACCTGAACCACGGTCGACGGAACTACGGAACACTCCCCACAAAAACTTTTGGCAACCTTTACCCATCGTGAGCTGAATCCTCGTTAACAAATGGGCTTGACCTCGCGGCTCTTTCTTGCAGTGCCTCGACGTATGAAGCGCAAGCCGCTAAACCGCTGAACCGGCCGAAGAAGGTGCATCTACTTTGTTGGTATTGCCTGTCTCCGTCCTTAACCAGGGGACCAAGAAGCGGCATGTTTCCAGCTAGATTTCGCTCCTTTATGCTTTGATCAAGAGAAGAAGTTGCACCCGTACATTTCGTGTAGCGCATGCGCGAAGAAAAGCCATCTGTAAGCAAAAGCATATGAAATGCGCTCGCTGTCTTAAAACATCGAGGTCGTCCATCACTTAGTAGAATACATGACGTGATCGCAAGCCATTCATTCTGTCGTTTTGCCCCTTCCACGGTCCGGAACAGTTTGGTTCGAGGCCAGGCCGGATTGTGCTGAAGACCGTCGTGGACGGGCGGGGATATTACTGGTATGATATGGGTGCGGCAGGGGTGTCCATCCCTTCGCTTTCCCCCCACAAACGACGTCCCTGTTCGTGCTCTTCAGGACCAGGCCCTTTTCCGACCCGTGATGATTCTCTACAGCTTCGCCGCGGCCCCTGTGTAGTTATGCCATGGGGCGCGTTTTGCCAGGAGCACAAGTGCGCCAGGTTCTTAGCGGCTTGCTGAGCGGCAGGAGCTGGAGGCAGGTTCGGAGCAACTTCTTGAAAAATGGTTCAGGCACTTCTGACTCTGACTGGAGGGTGTGCCGTGGTGCATCCAGGCAGGTCCGGGAGACAGTCCGCCACAACCTGCTCAAGGCGTTTGGCGCACTTGCTTTTGGCACCAGATGCTATAAGTTTGTTGTTTCGGGGAGGATTTTTCCTGTCATGCCAAGTGGAAGATGCTCTTCGCTTGTCAGGTGGTCGTTGCTTCGTGGAAGGTCTGGCCTGCAGCGATGCTTCTGACGCACAGGTGCCCGCAGTGTCCACGCAATCGTGTCAGAGTTGTGCCAAGCTTCTCCCCACGCCCCCTTGCTCTCGTGCACTTGCTTTCTGCAATGCTTGTGAAATTTGTGTTGACACACTCCGTGCAGCCCGTACCCAGCGTCATCCCCAACGAAGGTACATTCCCACACACTACCAGTCTGAATCTCGGCCCGGCACTCCACCCCCAAAACTCGGCAAAGTCCGAACAGAAGTTGAACTCGAAAATAGCCTCAGCCGAGGTCGACTTTCACTGACGTCCTGGCTTTCTTTTGGGACGCCCCCAAGCTGCAAACAGGAACCGTGGACGTAGCGCGGCGTAGCGCAACGTAGCGCCGGGTACGGCCGCAATCTGTTGAGTGCAGGTGTACGAGAGCTCAGCGATGAGTGATTGACCTGAGAACCATGATCAGCCAAGCCAAAAGCTGCCTTTGCGAGTGTAAAAGACCGACTGCACGTGAATGCATTTTGACGAGCTGTCGGAGCCAGCTTGGAAACGATTCTTCATGCGAAAAGCCTTCAGCTAGTGCCCACCGCGTCAGTGCTTAGTGCTTGTCGATGTCTTCGGAGATACTCTCATGGGGACATGCAGGGGAACATCAGGGAACGCTTCAAGAGATGTTGCCAAGCGAGGCAGGCGATGAGTGTTGTCAACGGACTGTTTTTTTGTGTATTCTCGTGCTTTCTTCCTCTTCTTGAGCGACAAGACATGAGCAGATCAGGTTAGTCCATAAGTTTCTCATATTTCCATGTGTTCATTCATATATGTTCATTCATATTCCGAAATTAGTGGAGATCCTTGGTGTCACCGAGAATCTCTGTCAGTGATGGCTGGACATCTCGTCAGCCGAGCCAAAATAAGTCGAGACCATGCCATCTTTGCAACGAGCAATTGTAGGCCCAGAATCCTAGACGCACAGTACCCTTCCCCCCCCCCCACCCCCACACAAAAATAGCAAACCAAACACAACAGGGTCTCTCTCGTTGCCAGGGGGAGAAGGTTTGCAGGGAGCAAGGAAGCGCGAGCAAAGCGCGTGAGAAGCACCGGCTCAAGACCCAAAGGGAGTCAGAGTCAGAGATCTTGTCAGGACTGAAGTTCTCAACAAGTTGCGGAACAGCACAATCAAGGGCGATAGCTCTTTTGCTCACACCAACTTTTGCTCAGAAGGGATCCAGACTGCAAAACACGACGTGGAAAAAGCTGCTTAGAACTATCCGCACATCGCAGCAGCTCTCCGAAGCGATGCCGCCACTTTCGGAGCCCGGAGAAGCGGAGAACGCGGAGAACGCGGAGAACGCGGAGAACGCGGAGAGCACTTCGGAGAACCTGGTCCCCTCCGTCCGACGAAGCTTCGCCTCGATCTCCTCGTCTCCGAAGTCTCCGAAGCTCCCGGAGAAAGGGAGCCTCTCCAGGATCCTCCTCTGTTTGGGGAACTCGCCCAACTCCTCCTCAAACTTCTGCTGGTCCTGCTCGCCGAGGTCAGGCTCCTGCTGCTTGGAAGCAGAACTGAATTTAAAGGCTAAAAGGTCTCGCGCCTCTTCGTCCCGCTGCCCTTGGGTCCATTCCATGATTCCATGATTCCATGTGACTCCATGTGACTCATGTGACCTTCTCTGAGGTGGGGGCTTGCTGTCCTTGGGGGACGCTCGGCGGAAGTGAGCAGACAGTCGAGAGTTGAGGGTTGTTGAGGGTTGTTGAGGGTTGCTGCGCACCGCAGAGACAGGACTGGCTCCGGTCTCTTTGCGAGCCTTGGCCGGAGGAGGAGGACAGAGAACAACGTGAGCCATGCCGCCATGCCTCTGAAACTGAACATTGACTGCTCTTTTTGCATCTTTTGCCAGACCCCCAGAGCTGCTTTCCTTTCGGAATCCCTGCGGCCCTTTAAAGTTGACGAATGCGACCCATAAGAGCCATGAGCCATCAGTCGATCTGTTTGCCCCAGGAGCCTGGCCACGCCCGCTTGCAGCGGCTCCACGAGAAGCGGCTCCGCCGGGGGCTTTGATTCGAGAGAGCGTTGGGCAGCAGTGAGGTACGGTGCAACAACATTTGCTGGCTTTGGATTGCCTTGCCTCGCCTTGCTTCGCGTTCCTTTGTGTCCTGTCACATGCTCAAGTAGAAGAGTATTGCCAGTTTCTGCGGTGCTAAATTTGTCACTCCAGTTTGTTTTCTCGCACCTCTATACCGTATTATACCGTCTCCACCCGGACTCTACCCTGCTGAGAAGCCTCTGGTACCTCTGAGGCGATCGGGAGGCGGACCGAGCACAGGCGGCGGCGCGGCAGCTGGCCGAGGAGCAGAAGGCAGAAGTGGCAGAAGCAGGGGAGAGAAAAACACACGAAAAAACACGAAAAACGGAGAGCTCAAATCTTTGAGTCTTGGAGCGCCACTGCCCTCAGAGAAGTCTCAGAGCACCTCTCAAGCTCTCTGTGTGTCCATTCTCATTTTGCTCTCTTCCTGTCTTAGTGACACTTTCCGCGAGGCCCGCGAGTGGCAGGAGGAGCTTGCTGGGCTCCAAGGCAAACGTGCCAACCTCGAAGGCCCGTCTCTGTCTTGGTCTGTCGGGAGGTGTTTGAGCTTCACTTGCTGGCATGTTTGGGTCAGGTGAGGAACTGGAGAAGGATTGCCTCTCATACTTTGCCTCTGCGGAGATCCTTTTCAAAGCGCAAGAGGAGGTCCAGGAACAATCTCCAGAGGTGGTGGAGATGCCGCAGGAGGAGGTTGAGGCCGAGGGCGTGTGTTGCATTCGGGCTTGTGCTGCCTTTGTACACGTTGGTTTCTGTCGCATAGATCGCGATAAACATCGCGATGCTTCGCGATACTTCGTGATTTGGGTCGCAGTCTGAATGGTGTGCAGTGTAGAAGCTGGCGCGAGGAGGCCCCGCAACGGCATTGGCAGATGCTGGCACCTTGGCGGCACTGGACTTGCAGCAGAGCGCGAGGGCTCAGGTTAAAGGTTTCAAAAACTCGCTGGTGGAGGAGCCTGTGGAGCAGTGGCTCCACGCGGTCGAGGGCGGCGAGGGCTGCGAGGGCGGCCCTTTCCGCTCCATCGGCGAGAGCCCCCTTTTGGGCGCCTCGGGCGCTTCGGGCGGTGGCCAGGCCTTGGAAAACTTGGCCTCGGCCCTGGAGCGGAGCGCGCGGGAGGCGCAAGGGGCCCTGGATCTCCTGGAGGCTAAGGCCAAGGAGAATGAGGAGAAGGGAGAACGAATGAAAAGTTCGCAAGCTCGGTAGGTTCGTTAACGGTGGGGGAATCAATGAGGAAATAGGATTCGAGATCCCAGCGCGCACTCATGCCCTAAGGAGCCGGAGCAGGAGAGCTTCAGCGATCGAATCGAGCAGCTTATTGCTAAGTACGAAGAGGACAGCCGGGAGTCTTAGGTCTTAGGACATCCCCCGCAGAGTCTTCTTGAGCTCTCTCATGACAATAAACCACGGCGCGGCATGGGCGGCACAACCCGCAGAAACACACAGCAACAAATGCAAAAAGGCGAACGCTGCTTTTGGGTCCCTATATTCAGCCATAAGTAGTACGTACCGTACCAAATAAAACGGACCCCAAAAAACACACAAATTTAGAGAACTACCCATGTGCAGTTCATGCCAGTACATCTTCACACCATGCAGATGTCTTCACGTGCTTCTGCAACTGGCTGTGTTCTTGTTGGCTCTTCTTCTGTGTCCTTTTTCTCCCAGGATGTTTCTGCCGAGTCTGCCGAGTGCAAGGCGTCACCAGAGGCACAGGAGGATGCCCAGGAGGCGCAAGAAGCGGCTCGGGTCCAAGAGCTCTCGCGGCTGCGTGGCCTGGTGGAGCTTCTGGAATCCGTGCGGGAGAAGCTTCGGCTCTTCGAAGGCGCGGACCAGGCGGACCCAGCCCTCCGCCTGGTGCTGGCGCTGGCGGCGGCGGAGCTCGGCGTCGGCCTCCGGGCTCTGGATGACGGCCTTTGCCTTAGCAGCTCCGGCGCCGGTGCCGGCGTGCCGTTCTTTCGCCGCGACAACCCGTTTGCAGGGCTCTCGACTGCGGACGCCTGCTGGGGCCTCGCGAGCAGCGCGAGCAATGGGAGCAATGGGAGCAATGGGAGCAATGGGATCCCCCCGCAGCGTTTGCTGGAGATGCTGCCGATTCGGCGGTGGAGCTGGCACTGGGTGAGGCAAACCGGCGTGGGCTGGTGGGGACCTCCCTTACTGGACCAGGTTGTCACAAGACTTGCCCAGGCCTCTATGGCAAGGCTGCGCTCATCCAGCCAATCCAACCTTCACGAAGGCAACGACCGTGACGCCGATGTTTGGGGCCGCGCCGCTGCAGAAGATGAGCAGGTCGCGCGGAAGTTGGCCGTGGACGAGGCCGTCTTCTGGTCTGTAACCTTGGGTGCGACGGTTCCAAAGCTGCGCGCACTCTGCAAAACAGGGCTTTTCCGAGAAAGCAGCAACGGCTCACAACTTTGGGCGCTGGTGAGCCATGACAAGGCAAATGAGCCCTCATTCCTGCGGAAGAATGCCTTCCGGCTGCTGGAACTGCACCGGTTTCACTTGGCAGCTGCCTTGTTCCTGCTGGCTGGAAGTTGTGAGGAGGCCCTGCAAGTAGTCTCCAGACACCTGCGAGATCTGCAGCTCTGCATCCTTGTTGCCCGGGCCCCGACTCGCCAAAAGGCCCTCCAACAGGTCCTACGCCAGCAGCTCCAATGCTCGAAATTCTCAGATCCATGGCTACAAAGACTGCTCGCTTGGCACGGGACCGCCAACGGATGCCCATGTGACTGCACTCACCCGCAGGCAGGAAGTGTCGCTGACTCGCTGACGGCAACTGCGTTTAGCAGAACAGCAAGTGAAGCACAGCAGATCCAGAGAGAGGGAGAGAGAGAAGCATCACGCCTGGTGCCAGGAACCCCTTGGAAGAGAGAGAGAGAGAGAGAGGGGGGGGTTAAGCAACCCCAACCTGAGCGGCTGCTGTCTCACCCGACTGACTCGGTGGAGCACGCCCGCAAGGGCGACCCCCTGCTGGGGGTTGAGTGCAACGGAAGGAAGGAAGGGGGGGGTTAAGTGCGCAGAAAGAAAGAAAGAGAGAGAGAGAGAGAGAGAGAGAAAAAAAAAAAGAAAGGGAGCGAGAGCGAGAGCCAGAAGAGTAAGAGTGAGAGAGGGTAGCAAGTTAGGCCGATTACCGTGTGGCTCCCGAAAGTGGAGCGCTGAATGGGACCTTCCGTGTACAGCCCGTCGATATGTCCGCCAGGCCTTTAATGGGAAGTTGAAAGTTCAGAGACGGATCCGGATGTCCATGCGCTTCTTCTTTGTCCCTGGGGAATGTTGGGGCACCGCTCAGGTGGGGAGAAGCCGGGGTCCACTCGTCGGGGGGGGGGTCTTCACCTGCTTCTAATGATACAGGATCTAAGAGGATTGAGAGGCGGCCTGCGCAGCCCGACCTTAAGCAGAGACGAAGAAGCGCATACAGCCAGCAGAGTGTTACGAAGCCACTGCCGCGACGAAGGAGGCCGCCCAAGAAGAAGCCGGCAAACCACAGGAAGAGGAGCCGCCATCCCGTTCTGCGCCTTGGCTTCTTACATCTTACTCTTTTGCTTTACACGACTCGGAGAGTGTGCTCTGAGTTGTCTCTTCTGGTTCACTCAGTGGAATTAACAGTCCCATTCACTGCTGAGACCCGAACCACCACGAGGTAGTACATTTTGTGGAAAGTTGCGCTGACTGAAGCTTCCAAGCTTGCTGTTGTCAAGGCTCTCTTCGACAACTCCCTGCGTGTCTCTGTCGAAGCCACTCTCTTAACAGAAGTCGACCGACAGCTTTCTCTGCGTTAGTGCACATCCAGCCCGACCTTGCCGAATGGCCATGCGTCGCAATTCGCTCCAAAAGATGCGTGTGCCGTGTGCCCAAGACCCATGCATTGAATGCATTGCATGGCTTGTGAGAGGGACTCTGGTGTTCTCGATCTGCCCACATTGTGGGAGCTTGCTTCGATCCTGGCACCGCGAGCGCAAACGTTTTGTTCGGGCCACCTACTACGGATATCTCCTGGTTCTGCATGCAAACTCCCATTGGAAGCCAACACTGTAACGTACGACGAGTGCAGCAAGTGCTCAGTGCAGCGGGCTTGTCGACGCAGCCTGAGTGCATGTCTCTGTGTCTGTGTGTGAGCATGTGTGTGTCTGTGTGTCTGTCTGTCTATCAGTGTGTATGTGTGAATGTGTGTGTGTCTGCCTGTGCCTTGCCTGTGTCTGTGTCTCTGTCGCCTGTGCCTGCGTGTGCGTCTGTGTCCCTGTCCGTGGCTGTCTGTCTGTCTCTGTGTGTTTGCGTGTGTGTGCGCGCATCTTTGTCTGTTTGACCCCTGTGCCCGTGCGCGTGCGTGTGGTGTTCTTTCTCAAGCCATGAGAGACACCGGTGTGCACGGCTCTCTTCGCTGCATCTCGGCTTGAAACAGTCGGGCCGCTTCGCATTGCACTGAAGAGAGGGCTTAGCTCGCTTTCAGTCCTCAAGGCAGAGGAGAAAGAGGCGAAGTGTAGAGAGGGAGCAGCTGGAGAACGGAGAGCAAAACAGAGAAAGGGAAGAAGGGGATCGCCGCGAGCGGTAGCCCGGTAGCAGTAGTAGCGGCGGCAGCGGCCAGCGGCCAGCGGCCGGCAGCGGCCGGCAGCGGCGGAGGTGGCCCAGCATGGCGCGGCGAGCCGGAGCCGGGGCTGCCGGCTTGGCCTCGCGGGCCCTGGCCTCAGCAAATGGGATCAGAGGAAAGCTCTAAAAAAAAACAAGCACCCTCGTTTTGGAGGCTGAGAGTCTTAGAGTCTTAGAGTCTCAGGCTTCTGGGCACAGGCGAGCTTGAATCGCCGCCAGGTGTCAGGCTCGGGAAGTTCCTCCGGGGCCGCCGGCAAGGTGGGTCAGAGGCGGGGAGAAACTGAACGAGGATCCCTGCTTTGTTTCATGCCTTCTGCTCGCGCTCACCAGCTTCCAGTGGATCACTCACAGCATGAAGTCTGCAAAGCATTCAAACCCGCTAGGCCTGGCACCTTAATCCCGAAGCCCTATTAGGGCCCTAAAGTCGTAGTCACACCAGAAAAATGACGCCGCTCACGTGTGGCGCCAAGGGCTTGCGCCAAGCCGAAGCCGCCGGAGTGACGGAGTGACGGAGTGCTTTTTTCCAAGAAGAACCAAGCCTTAGCTGCTCTCCCGGAGTCACTCCGGACTATCCTTGTGCACGAGCATGTCGACCAAAGTCTCGAACTCTCGACCCTTGCCCCCCGCGCCCGCGGTCCCTGTCCTCTTCCTGAACATGCAAATATATGCAAATTGCACAGTTGGCAGATGTTGGCAGATGTTGGCGGTGCACGGCTGGTCGACTTGCACCCCATTCGGGCATTGACACCGACTCTGAGTACGTACATCTTGCCTCGCCTCGTTTCCCTCTCGCACCTTCGCGCCCTCGCCGATGTGGAGAGATGTTGAGAGACCACTGAGAGACCACTGAGACCAGTGAGACTCAGACCATGCCTCGGAGAGGTCTTCGGAAGACGGGGCCGCTGCTGAGGCGGAGCAGCAGGGACAAAGACGGCAAAGAGAGTGCAAAGGGATTCGAAGGTTGTTTAAGGGAAGAAGCAGAACACTCTGGGGGAAGCAATGGTGGCCACCCTGCGATATGTTGAGGCGAGCATGAGTACCACCAGCACCCGGAGCACGGGGCTTTCGGACGAGATCCCAAAGGCAGGGTAGCGAAGTTGCGTGGCTATGGCTTAGGCTAAGGAAGCAGAGTACCGTGTCGCTCAGTCCGGCTCAATCTGCAGGAGGGTCGTGTCGGGCGTGGCATGGCGAGGCAAAGCGATCGATGTGTGAGCGCCAAGGACTTTTCTTGCTTAACGCATCGGATGTGTTTTGCATCGCTGGTGGAGTGCTCCTTTGGCACGGTCTGGCAGTAAGAAAGTGTAAGAGCAAATATATGCGTAAATTCTTCCTCTGTGAGATCTGAGTCATGTGTGGCCGAGTCCTTTCTTCTCATTGCTGGGAGCTGCAGTATGACGGAAGCAGTATATCTTCTTTGACCCAGAAGACGACGATTCTCCTGTGCGGAGGAGCGGCGCACCGCCGTGTCGCCTTTCCGGTCGCTCCCAGAATTGCACCCGCACGAGGCACGCGCGCTCCAGGGAGACAAGAGTTGGTGAGTTATAGGGAAGAGGAAGGAAGAGAGCACGAAGAGAGAAAGAGAGAGCTGCTGCCCAAACTTGTTGTCTCTTTTTCTTTCTCTGGATAACTCAGAGGTCGAGCTGAGGGTCTCCGTGAAGGACATTGTCACACAACCGAATGTTCTGAAAGCGTATTGAGATGTGAACTGAGAGTGATGCGTGAAAAGTTTGCAGAGCAGAGGACCTGTCCCGAGACGTGGCTCCAGAGAAGTTCCGGTCCAAGGCCAAAAGCGTCGGGGGCTTTGTCTTCGGGCCTGGGCCTCAAGAAATCCGCAATGCGTATACGGGTGCTCTCTCTCACTCTCTCTCTCTCGCTCTCTCTCTCTCTCTCTCTCTCTCTCTCTCTCTCTCTCTCTCGATCTCTCTATAGGATGCGAGGCGCGCATTCGGATCACACAGACGTTCTCACAGGGTCTGGCAGTTCTGAAGTATCTGAAGCGCATGAAGTGCTAAGCGACCGAGGCTGCTGGTCTTCCCGCAGGGTACCAAGAGCGCCCCGGAGCATGCGCGGAAGAATCGGCCAGGTGCGGGGTCGGTGTTGTGTGAAAAGAAGACCGGCAAATAACGCACCACAACACAATCACATCATATCAGTCATGTGAGAGAGAGAGAGAGTCATATCACATTTGGTTCGGTATCCTCTGCATCAACATTCGTTTCTTCCTCTACTACCTCGTCTTTTCTTCTTTATCTGCCGGTGGGTCGTGAGCTTCTACAAGCTGACTGGCCTTCATTCTAACAATACTGTAAGTGTTGCTATGTTCGGCAGTTGAACTCTCGCAGTCGGCTTCGCCTGTAACATCCGACATTCCCGAGAAACGCGAAAGCATGAAGTCTGAAAAAGGGAAGGGCAGTACCTTTCGTGGTGTTGGCCCAGTCGTCGCCGAGGATTTTCATTTCATCAGCGTGCCCCTGTTGGTGTGTGTGTGGCCAGGGTAACATGCTTCCCTGATTTTCGTGATACTTTGTACCACCTGTTTGCTTGTCTATTTTTCTATAGTTTAAACACTCTGGGCTCTATTTCTTGCTCGCAGGCAAGAAGGAGGAGGAGGACACGGAGAAAGCCAAGGCACGGCGCAGGGACAACGTCAAGACCGCTTCTTCGGCAGCAAGTAGATATGTGGTCGTAGCTCTGCCCTTTCTCTTCCAGAGAGCAATGTCCAACCCCCTTGTTCCATCTGGTTCCTCACTCTCTCTCTGTCTCTCTCTTCCTCTTGCAAGATTCCCCTACGAAGAAACAAGGAAAAGGAGAAGTTGAAGGCAGCGCTGCTCAAGGAGGTCCCAAAAGAGAAGGAGAGGGACAAGGAGAACGACAAGGAGGGCAAGAAGGACGATGGGAAGGAGGCGGGGCAGAGCATCACATGGAGAGATTGCTGTATGTGAGAGACTCCACAACTACATGCAGGTACTTGTATCTGGAGCCTCAAGTCTCTAGTGGTTCTTCATGTATTTCTCAATCACAAAGATAGCAGTCACGACGCGACACTCCATGGCAACCCAATCGTACGCGGGGATGGTGAGGACAAGAAGGACACACGCTGGATCTCCGCGTTTGTGGAAGCCCGGCCCAGCGAAGACTACCCGCCGCATTGGTACTTCGAGGACGTGCAGTTCCTGGTGTCGCTCATCAACTTCCAGGACGTGTGACATGGAAGTTGTGGCACCCAGATGAGATGTGTGGATGATGGCGGGTACGTTTGGGGCGACTTGGCTCTCCGCTTGCGTAGAGAACCGGAAGAGGCAGAGAGCGTAGAAGTGTGGATTGGAGCGCCGTGATGGCTCCTGTCAAAGACCTTACTCCAGCGCGTTTTCTTGTTGCAGCCTGGCAGAGAGGACCTGAAGAAGTCCATCGTGAAGCACGACAAGCACACCTTCTCTCCGGTGGAGTCCTCCGACGGCAAGGCCCGGGCCGAGACTCGGAGAGAGGATTGAGAAGAGAGCAGGAGGGAGGGTTGAGAAGAGAGAGACAAAGAAGAGTCCGTTTCAGGGTTAGTTTCAGAGCCTCTCCTCTTTTTGTTGAGCTATTGTTGGTTTCTTTGCAAGAAGTGACAAGAGTTCTGATATAGCGTGTGTGGTCTCAGCGAGGCGATCGACCGGGGCTGGCACGACTTCGTCCACTGCGACGAGGCGACGCTGCGCTCCAGCGGCTTCGTGGACAAGGACGACACCGTCTGCTTCCGCCGCTCGGCACAGCTCCCGCGGAAGGATTGTGTTTTTCAAAAACAGAGCTTTGCTTTTGCTCTTGCCAACTTCTGGGATCCTCATTCTTTCTTTCTATAAGATAGGAGTGTTTTTGAGGCAGTTTGAAAAAAGTCGGAGTTCACTTCTTCTTCTTCTTCTGAAAGAAAGAAAGAAAAGGCGCCTCCGTCTACCTGGCTGGCGGGGCGATGAAGGTGAACTCCAAGACCAAGTCGCGGTACATGAGCCTCAGTATAAGCCTCAGTGCCTCCATCGCTTTTCGAGAGTGTTCGAGCTCTTCTGCGCGCTCATCTGTTTGGCCCCATATGGCCCCACATGGCCCTAAAGAACTCGATCCACAAGGCGTCGCAAAGATTTGCTAGTCTGTCGGCCGATGACCACACCTCTCTGAATACGTTCCCCTGGGTATTGATTGCCCATTCTTTTCAGGCAAGATCGACCCGGGCTCCTACGAGCGCCCTGGAGCAAAAGAAGGGGGGATTCTCGGGATGTCTCTTTGAAGCTTTTCTAACGCTATGCGACCCGCCTCGGCCCGGCCCAGCGCATCCGCATGAGCATGGTGATTCCGCAGCGCCCCAGTCGCTGGACCCCAAGCAATATAGGGTTGGGTTTAGGGTTTCGGGTTCAGGGTTCAGGGCTGCGGGTTTATCGTTTAGGGTTGAGGGTTGGGTTGAGGGCTTAGGGCGCAAGGTTTATGGTTTGGGGTTTAGTCGCTTTTGGGTGTTTAGTTCAAGGTTCAAGGTTCGGTTCGGCTTGGACAGGATTCGTCACCTACTGCTCACACCAGTTGAGCCACGGGGCCCCAAGCAAAAGGCAAAGGGGGCGCCTACGGGGGGGCACCCATTCCAGGCAAAGGCAAAAAGAGGGGGGGGGCTCGGGGCTTAGGGGGGTGCCGGTTCTCACAACCGAAACACCTTCGGCCCGAGGCCTGGGCGGATGTGATGCAACATTTACCTCTTAAAAGACCGGCATCCGAACCAACGTGTCCGAAGACATGTTCGAAGTCGCGGCATTTTGAGGCGGGCGCCGCAGTTCTTGAACAGCCTCGTGCAGATTTGGTACCACCTGGGGTACTTCCGCTCTGCCAGGGTCCCTGCATCTTTTGACTGCAGTCTCGCGTCTCTGGCGTCCTGTCAGTCCTGTCAGTCCTGTCTTCATGCTGAGGCAATCTACAGCGCCTCCAACCCCTGCCAGCTGTCCACAAAAAAGTCCCGTGTTTCCTGGCCGCAAGCATCGTTTTTCAGCACACCCCAAGAGTCCACGCTCCATTTGTTTTTGCTCTTGCTTCTTTGTGGCAATGCCGCTGGGCAAGGTTCTGCCGGCCTTGCGAGAGATCTTTGTGCGGCTGCAGGCCCACGGGCCTCGCATGTCTTTCTGCAGCTTATAAGAAAACTGCATCTCTTTTTCGCATATTTTTCCACGAATTCCCACATTCATTCCCAAGTTCCCCTCCATGTTACATTCCTTCTGCTCAGCACCGGACGCTTCCGGCCTCCTGCTCGGTGCTCTGCGCGGCCTTTGGTCGGAAGGGCTGGGGCAAGGTCTGCAAGGCACCGGGGCAGCGCCTCTTCTTTTGTTACTTGTTGCTATTCTCCAGGCTTTTTTTGTAAGATCTCGCTCTCTCTCTCTCTCTCTCGCTCGCTCTCGCTCTCTCCACATACCTCTCTCCCTATCCACATGCTTCTAAGAGGTGTCTCTCAATTTGGTGGCCGCGGCAGGCAGATCCAGACGTCTTCTGCCAGGAGGTTTTCTCGTGTCTGGAGTCCGAGCTCATGCCCACGGCAGAGATGCTCAAGGAGACCACACATTGTGACCTTAAGTGGCTTGTGGCTTGTGGTGTACATTTTCTTTTTTTGGTTGCGTATCTCTGCAGACTCGCACTTCGCACTACTCTAGTTAGATCTTGGCGAGTGGTCCTGGGCCAGTGCCTCTCTTCCTTCTCTCGGCCGTGCGGTTGCCTGGGTTGGCTTCCTCTTCGCTGTTCCTGTTTCGCTCTTCTTCTTCACAGATTTTTTGCAGACTTTGCGGAGGCCGAAGAGGCCGCGGTGAAGGCGGCCGCAGCCAAGGCCAAGGGCGGCAAGGCGGCGAAGGCGAGGCTTTTGAGAGATGTCCGACGATGAATATGATAAGTACACCATGATATTTGAATTGACAATCATCGCTTGTTCGAGCTTTTCTTGGACAATTCCTCTGCCGAGGCGCTACCACGCGTGGTTGAGGTGCCCGCAGAGAACAAGACGCTTTGGCAGTCCATCCAGGACATGTTCACCTTCGAGGCTGGGGGGAGGTTCGGCCCGGGAAGGAAGCCATGCCAATGTCCAACTTCCAACTGCCTTAGCAGAGTGACACGACACCTCTTCTTTTCTGAACTCACCCTAATCACCATAAACCACAAACCACACGCTCCAGTGGAAAGGAAGTGGGGAGGGGGGGGGGGGGGTCAGAGGCACAAGGGATGCTTTTTTTGGGTTAAGGGTTGGAGTTGGTCGTTGCCCAACGCTACCCGTCAGATGTGTGGACCCACATATCGGAAGTCATAGAGTTGCAGAAGTCATAGACAAACGGGTCAATCGCGCCTGAAAGAGGCCGATTTCTTCTCCTTCCTTTGTCAAAGAGACAGAGAGATTGGAGGGAGCTCTCTCTCTCTCTCTCTGTCTCCCTCTCTCTCTCCCTCTATCTCTGTTAGGTCTTTTTGCAGCATCTGCAGCTTCAGGTGGAGTGGGCGGCCCAGGCCCTGGAGGGCGACTTCTCGGATGCCTGCGTGCACACCGGGCCCTGCTTCACCCTGGACGGGGCCCCAAGAGCAGAGCAGAGGATTTTTTGTCGAGAGCCAGAGCCAGAGACAGCCGAGAGAGTGAAAAATCCCTTGCAGCTTAAGTCTGCCGCCTGCCTGGGGCCCTTTCTGCTAGGTGGTCCGAGGCTTCGCCACCTTGGAAGAGACCTTGGACCAGTACTTCTCGCCTAAAATCATCGAGGACGGTTCTGGACTTCGAGTGCGCACGACACGAAAGTTCCGGCGCACGTGGCTGGGCCTTCAAAGCTCGTACAAAGGCGTTTGGCGCTTTTTTGCACTTTTGCATGATTTGGGGATCAAGTTTGACCGCGTAGAGTAGAGAGGCGACTGAGTGCTTTAGGCCATCGGTCCTGCAGTGGTACCTGAAGCGGGGCGACTACGATTGCTGCACGGGTCTCTCGGGTCTCACGGAGACCTTCTTGCGCTTTCCGCGCCAGATCGACTTGAGCAAGTGCCCTGGAGGAAGAGTCGCGACTTTTGTGAGCTGAAGTTCAGCCATCCAGATTTCTGAGTCTTTTGGATGGCGCGTCCAAGGTACGCCGAGGGCGGGGCCCTCTACCACCTGTATGCCATCATGGTGGAGTGTGACGACCACTACTTATCCTACATCCGGCCCGAGATGGAAGGTGGGGTTGCAGAAGCCGATGAAAGGTTCAATGTTGTTGAACTCATGTCCATCATGTTCTCACGAGAACACTTCTTGAGGTGACCGGGGACAGTGGTATCGCTTCGATGACCGGGAGGCCGGCGCGGCGGTCTGTGGCGTCTCGAATGCCACTGCCGTGGACGCCTCCTTTGGCGGGGAGGAGTGGCTCTGCGTGAACTACCTCTACGGCCCCTCTGCGGTGCTCAAGCGGCCGCGTGAGTCGAGGGCCTCCATGCTGCTCTACCTCAAGGAGATGCCAATGATGCCTGTTGTTCACAACATGTTTCCACATGTTGCTGTACTGCTCTCTGCGATGCTCGAGACAAGAGCAAGCAAATTCTAAAAAATTGCCAGGGTTCCGTCGTGACCCAGTGGAGAGTATGTCAGACTCTACTGTCTATATGCCCTCATTGAAGTAGGAGTATGTAGGAGTGGACCTCCGGTATACGGTGTATGTATACGTCCACAGTCACAAAGAGGACAGCGAGCTCGGTCAGCTTCTCCGAGAACCGAAGCTGCCGAAACTCTGCCCAGAACTGCAGATGCCTCTCCAGCGCGGTGAGCACATGCAGGCCCCGCTATAGATAGGGTTGCTTCCCTTTTGAGGGGTCTACTTACTTAAACAGTTTTGTTTTAAGGGAATCCGGGAGCTCTGCAGCCTCCAGCCAGTTCCTCTCTGAGGCGGGCAGCGTGGAGTTGGAGGCCGCGGCGGCCGCGGAGGCCGAGCTCCTGAACGACCTGCACGCCGAGCAGCTGAAGGAGGCAGCCAGGGGGCTCTCTGCTGCTCTCTGCGGAGTCTGCTCGGCTTCTCCCCACGCGTTCCATCCTTCCGTTGTTGGGGGGCAGCCGGGGGCACGCGCACATGACGAGGTGAAGAAGAAGAAAGCCAAGCAGAAGAAGAAGCAGAAGGAGAAGGAAAGGAAGCACCAGGTGCGCTTGTGCCACTCTGTTTCTTTTTGAGCTTGCTTCGCTGTAGATTCTCTCCTCCCCCAAGCGGTATGGTGACTCGCTGTGCTCCACTCTGTGGTTTTCCGCGCCGTTCTAAGGTGCGGCCGGAGGAGTCGGGTGGATTCGAGCTGCCGGAGGCGCCTCTCCATCGCATCATCGCATACCTTTGCAGCCCAGAAGAGCGATGGGAGGCCCAGGACGAGGAGGATAGCGAAGAAGAGGATGAGGACGTCCATCTGCCATACCACGCATAAGTAGACCTCTGAGCCAGGGATTGGCCGAGAGTTGCCTTTGGAGGACGAGCCTTCCGAGGTTCCCATCGAGGCCTTCGCTGGAAGTTCGAAGCCTTCGAATTCGTGAGAATTATGAAGTTCAAACTTTGACGTTTTGCTCTTGACAAATAGACCTGCCTCTTTAAATGTGCGCCTCTGCTATGGCAGGTCCCCGACAACGAGGCGCAGGAGTCCGACGAAGAAGGCGCCGTTTCCTTCAAGTGTGGCCAGGGCTTCTGTCGTTTTTCTTTCTCTGTAGTTTCGCACAGCTACGCAAAGTTACTTCACTAATATTGAATCCTTGAAGAGGCTTCGAGGAGGTTCTGCGGGCCGCCCGCGGAAAGAAGCGTGGCAAGAGCGGCAGCCAATTGGGGCAAGGCCGCGGAGCGTAGAGCGCTGACTCCTTCCCCCAGCATGTAACATCAAAAAGAAGAGAACTCTCGAGTGCAAGATAGGCGGGGCGGGGGGGACCTCTCGGGAACGAGACAAGCGTCTAAAAGTGGGCGGACGCTGCAGGAGAGGCGATCAGCCGCGCCTCCAGTGTCACAGAGAGTGCCGTCGAGCGATTCCTGGAGCACTTTGAGGAGGCACCCTCTGAAGAGATTACAAAGATGGAAGCTTTTTTCTTTTTTTTTGATAGCTATAAGCGATAAAGATAGTCAGATAGTCGTTTTTGTGAGAAGCGGGTCTGTAACTCTGTGGCGAGGCTACGAGCGGGACTGGCCCGAACGGCTCCTTGCAGTTGGAGACGGAGGCGGGGGGAATCTGAGCCTCAATGAAAGTAAGCAGCGCACAGGGTCCGGAAGCGTGAAGAAGTAACTTTTGTTCATTCATTCACTCTTTATGTCTTTCTTTCTTGGTTTCCTTCCTTCCTTCCTTCCTTTCTTTCTTTCTTTCTTTCTTTCTTTCTTTCTCTCTCTTTCTCTCTTTCTCTCGCGCTTGCTCGCTGACATGTCAAATTTGCAACCGTGAAGCTCTCTCCGGCTGGTACGCATCATACTGCGGGGGTGGAGGGGCGCCAGAGCTCCAGAGCTTGCTTTCTGAGTCCTTCGCCTCTTCGTTCCCCCCCCTCATGGCCCATATCCCTGCTGTGACAGCTTTTCTCCTGCGCTGGGGCGGCCGGGGGTGTAGCTGCTGGAAGCCAGCAGCGCCATGCGTGAGCACAAGTGTGAGAGCAGACACGTGAGTGCATCCGTGCTCGGCAGGCCAGGAAGAAGAAGGGGAAGCAGAAGAAGAGGAAGGAAAAAGAACAAAAAGATCGGAAACCCCAGGAGCCGCGGAGTTTTTGGAGTCATTCGGGGTCATCGGGGGAGGGCCCCTCTGCGCGAAAGGTGCGCCTGCTTTTTGTTGTTTCCCTTCTGTCTGCACTCTGCAAGGAAAGGCGGGAGGACAGCGACGAGGACATCAAAGTATGCTCCCTCCCCCTTAGTCGGAGCCAGAACTTGTAGAGGGAACTTGGAGTCCGCCTCCGTGTTTGAAGTCTGTGGCTTCAAGACGGGGTAGCTTCACCTCAGGAAATCCTATCACCCGGAAGTGCCGAGCAGATGGGGTTGTGGGGAAAGGGGATTGCATGGCCTACCGATGTTTACCGCTAAGAAAGTATTGCCGATGTTTGCCGTTCAGAAGTGCCCTATAGAGATGTAAGTTGGGGCCATCCTCTTCTTCCACCTCGAGCTTGCGCGCTTGTCATGCTAGTTGACGCTTGTTGACTTGATGAGAGATTTCTGGTGCTTGTGTATGACCACGCCCTGAGACAAGAAGGATCTTGTGAACGAGCATGCGGAGCCCCCAGTGAGAGCCTCAGTGGACCCTGGCTGCCCTTGACGCTTGAGCTGCCCCAGACGACAGCAGCTGGGGATGAGAGAGCTCTTAAGAGAGCTACGGTTTTCTAAGTCAGCCGTGTGCGGTGCCCATGCCCCGAAGCTTCAACCACACAGTACACACTGGGGGGGCCATACGGAGGGCTCTCACTCGGAAAGAGGAGAGAGACACTCAGCTGAGAAGAGAGACTCTAAGAGGCTTCTCTCCCGCTCAGCTGTTTTCCTCTAATTGAAAAGCCTTTTCTGTCAGTTTTCTCTCACACAAGAGATCTGTGAGTCTCTCAGAGCTGCCCTTGGGTTTTGTGCCCTTTCCTTTTTTGGAGAGTTCCTTCTCCTCTCTCTCTTAAACGCTCTCAGGAGCCCAGCGAGGCCAAGGACGCGTCGGGGCGAGCGTGTGGGAGAAGCGGTTTGATAAGACACGTGCTCTTCAGCTTTTCTTTCTGCAAGAAAAAAGAGACCTTGAACGGAGGGACAGCTGGAGGGAGTTGTGGAGGGGAGTGTTGCGGGGGGTTTGCATTCTCTTGGCATCTCTTGAAAGGAGCCTGGCGAGCCAGCCAAGGGGCAGCCAGGGACCAAAGCCAAGGAAGGGGCCAAAGAATCGGCCAAGCCCAAAGAAGGTGGGGCAGGGGCCAAGGGGGCCACAGGGGCCAAGAGCAAGGCCGAGGAAGCCGAGGCACCCAAGGCCGAGGCCCAGCAAGCCTCCCCTCAGCGCGGTTACCCGCAGCCCCAGCAGCCGGCGCCCCCGCAGCCCGCGCCGCGGCCCGCGCCGCAGCCCGCGCCGCAGCCCAGCCCCCCCTTAAGCCGGCAGCCGCAGCCGTCCCCGCAGCAGCCGTCGCAGCGCGCGACGAAGCAGCGGCTCCGAAGCTTTCACGAGCCCGAAGCCGAGGCCGAGGCAGGTGACGGGTGACGGGGTGACGGGTGACTCAATGTAGATAACTCAATGTGACTTGCAAAGCCGATAGCCTAAGCACTGTACACTTTTCATGTAACCCCTGTACACTGTGCACATCCACTCTCACTGCGGCTCGGAACGCCTGCATGCAGGCGCCAGAAATTCGAGACGCGTGGCCCGACTCCAAAGACGAAGGCCCCCCGTGTGATGCGTGGTGATGCACGGGTGCGGATGTGCGTGGCGGATCTAGTTACGGCGGGGTGAAGGTGCGGGGACTTTTCCGCCTGTGAACCGAGAGGCCTGGACCAAAGCTTGACGTCCTGCACGAGGTCTTCAAGCAGCACGGACCTTGCGGCGCGTGGTAAAGGATGGGGTGGGGTGTTGGGGGGGGGGGGGGGGGGGGCCGAAAGTGAGAGAGCACGGACTCCAGAGAGGAGACGCTCAGGGAGGGAGACGTCAGGGAGCGAGCGAGTGCATGCGCGAGCAGGACTTGAGGAGCCGGAGGGCGACGTGGAGCCCCAGGAGCCCGAGGGCACGCCGACGCTGCGCAGCACGCCCGCTGCGGCCGCACCCCAGGCCGTGTGAGTAGTTTGAAGTCTGTGACACTCCGAATAGTTGGAATCGTGCCGCTGTCGCCCCCCCCGCGCGAAAAGAGCTTGGACTCCCGAGGTTGTTTTTCGTCGGCTCGTGCTTTGTTTGGGGGGCAGGTTTTCTGAACTTTTTAAACAGGGGAATGTTACGGAATGTTTTGTTTGGAGAAGTTTGGTGAGGCCTCGTTGCCTGGCGAGCCGCCGGACACCTTCGCTCCCTCAGCGCCCTCGGCACCTTCGCGCTCAGTGCCCAGCGCGCCGAGCCGGGCGCCGGTGTCCACCGGCCTCTTCCAGGCGGACCGCCAGTGGGAGGCCGCTGAGAGAGAGCTGAGAGAGCACGGACATGCAGAGCATAGCAGAGCATTTTTCCACAGCAGTTAGAGTCACAAAGAAACCGCTGTAGAGCAGTGAGGGAAACGCACGAGCAAAGTGTGTACGTTTCCTGGAGCGGAGAGAGATTTCCAGACTCGAGGCATTGGAGGGGGGCACGCTGGCGGCCGTGGGCCCAGAACCTTTACTCTGCTCATCGCGGCAGAACATGCAGAGATATGCAGAGTCAATGCGGTAACATGCCTTGAACATGCAGATCGCGGGTGTCTCCTTTTGGATCTCAGGTTCAGCGTGGCACTTGCGTCTGGGTCCTGCAGCTGGAGAGCCGAGGGCTGTTGACCGGTCACTGGTAGTTCCTTCACGACATTTCAGAGACTACTGAGACTGCGCGCAATTGTGGACCATTCAAACTGCTGCCTGTCACGGCCTACTCGTACAGCTACAGCATCACTCTGTGTTTCCTTGCTTTGTGTTTGCCGTTTGGGTTGTCTTCAGCCTCCACGGCAGAGAGCCCCACGCGGGCATAGCAACAAACCAGGAAAAGTCAAGGAACTCATGCGCCTTCACAAGACAGGGATGGGATAGGGATGGGTTCTCATGAAAAGAATATGCTTGCCTCGTCCTGATGCAGCTATGAGCCAAAGAAGAAGTGGAATCGGTGCATCAGGCTGGTTCGAGCCAAGTCGTGCACTGTGACAATGATGAAAGATGTGATTCTAGTTTGCATCAGCTTGCTCTTGCATCTCCAATCTCGTAATATTCTCCCATGCCCATCCATAAAATCATCGCTTGAAATATAGGTCCAAGCCATCTGAAGTATTCGCTGGTGCCCGTGGTGGTGTCGCCAGTTGTGTTGGCTGTGTTCATCTCCCGTTTCTCGACCATGGAGCTCCAATCTTGAAGGTGTTTCTGCTTGTGCTGTCCGACCTCCGCAAATTTGCCTGCAGATGATCCCAGTCTCTGACCAAGTTGTCCCATAGCCAAATCCAACAGTGCCTTCGTCGAAGGTTCCACGGCATTCGTTCGGGCATGCTTCAACGATGTGTTCGCAGAATTGCCAGACAGTACCCCGTCCAAGAATGTGCGAGCTGAAAACTCGCACAGCATTGGCCAGGCTCCATTCTTCACGGCCGCATTTCCAGCCGATATGGTCCTTCAGTCTTTCAGCTGCTGCGGCTTCGTAGGGTTTGGTCCACGAGACATCTTGAGCCTGCACTCTTCTGCCGGTCGGAAGACAATGTCAACACCTGATCCCGAGCATCATGTTGTAGTGTCTGCACCCTTTGTTTGTGGTCTTGTTCCCGCGCCGCCCTCAGAAGCAGGGGCTTGAATACTGAGCTATCTAGTCAGTGTTCTAGCAATGATAATGAACACGCAATGAATATTTTCATGAATATGTGCAAAGCTAGGTAAACGCACTTGCATGTTTCGAGAAAGCATTATCTGACCACAAACGGCACCATTGACCTACTGAAACCTAAACTAAAGAACATCAGTATCGGAGATTCGACATAGATTCATGGAGAAGACTCTGGGGTAACAAACCCTACATCATTGGACCTTCAAGTCATATGCTAAAATGTACACGAAAATCTTCTCTGTCCGACATTGCAGAAGCAAGACAACGGCTGGGGGAGGGGGCGGTCAGCATGTATGTTGGTTATATGTATGTATGCGCGCGCGCACTCGTGTGTGTGTGTGTGTGTGTGTGTGTTGTGTGTACAAACATGTACAAATTTTGTGAATGAATGTTACGTAACGGGACCCAGATAGACCTCAGCGACAGACACACAAAAAGCGACACAGAACCAACAGACAAAAGCGGGCTCAGGGAAGTTCTGGACGGCTGCTTCTTGTTTCATGGGTGTACCAAGGCAAAGCCTGCGCGGCCACATAAACTGTAGAATGAGCTGCTGCGTAGAATGAGCCGGATAGAGCGACTGGTGAGTTGTTCCTCGTGTTCGGTGAGTACTTGCTTTTTGAATGTTCCCCCGTTCGTTATTTGGCAGTCGGCAGATGCTTGGAAAGTGGCTTCGGTTCTTTCAGTGCCTGCCAGGTTCAGCAGCTGAGAATGTTTTGATGTAGCTTTGTGCTCGTGAGGACCCCAACAGTGACTGGGCGCTCGGGCAAGTCTTCAAGGAGACTTTGGAGGGCCTGGGTATGCCTGGGTTATAGCGAGTCACCAGCTTGTGCTGGTGTTCTGCAAGGGTCTCGCAGAATCCGTCGGTTAGAACACTGTTAGGGCCCAGTTAAGGGTTTGGGATGGTCCAGCGCAAGGCGGAGGAAGAGCAATGATCAGCCGATGCGTTTTAAAGGTCGCCCATGGTTCTGCGATGTCGAGCGGTGATCGCTGTAGCGGGGCATCTTCTAGAGGCAGACGAGCAAGTTCCTGTGTTGACTCCTGCGCAAGAGCCCGGATCATGAGTCGAGGACTGGTCGATGCAGTCAGATGCTGGCTGGGTCCCGCGCTGTGTGCTGAGGGAGGCCTACTTCCGAGTGCCACTCGGAGGAAAGTCGGAGATGGAAATTAACCTTGAAAAAGGGGGAACGAGATTTACGAGATGCTCAGAACCTCTTGGGAGAGAGTTTGGGTGAGAGATCCGGGGTTGATTGCACCCACAGCTCCTGAGGTACAGCCCCTACGACCCCTCGCACCATGCGGAGGCAGGGGGCGACGGGGGCGAGGACTTCCAGAAGGGTCTCTCCACCCGTTGCTCTAAGTCTTGAGCTTCTCTTGCAAATGCTGCGTGTCTGGAGTCTCGAATGTCTCGACTTACCCGACCCACGACAAGAGTCAAATCGTGACCCGAAGCATTGTGAGGTGTAGTGTCTGAATGTCCACAAGCAGGGGGCTTCCGGGATGAGTTCTTCCGGTTCTCTTCTCATGAAAGCCATCTTTCACTATTTCTCACTTAAATTCGGCATTATCTTTGACTCCGGAGGTCCAAGCTTTGGCCTTGAAGCCGGGGGACTTGGTGACCGTGCAGAGCTTCGGCAACGGCTGGAGCTACGGAAACCGCGTTGGGCCAGAAGCCCAAACAACGGGAGACGTCCGAGAGAGGGGAGGATCCGAGAGTCGTTCTTCAAGGCAAAAAAAAGATACACGGAGAGAGAGAGAGAGAGAGAGAGAGAGTGAGACAGAGAGAGAGAGAGAGAGACACCCTCTGCAACAGTTCGGCCGGCGCTCTGAGGCCCGGCAATACCGTGGAGGCTTCGGGCTGGTTCCCGCAGGCCTTGCTTCTTTTGCCCCCCCCCCCCCCCCCCTCCCCACCCAGATTTTGCACAACCACACAATCTCTCAATTGCAATTGGAATTGGCGTGCTCCTGTGCTTGCTCGCTTGCGTGCCTTTCTTCTCTCTCTCCCTGCGCTGCGAGACCTGCATCTTCCAGCCGCTCCCGCTGCAGTGACACCAGAGGCTCATGGCAGAATGCGACCAATAGCCATCAGTGTGTGTGTGTAGCTGCACGAGAGGAGTGTGTGTGTGTGTGTGCGCGAGATACGATCCAGGTCAGGATGCCGTTCGTCTTTCCTCAGTCCGGGAGTTTAGTGGGAAACCGCACGCCTTCACCGATGGTTCCTCGCAGCCCGTCACAGCGTGAGTTGTCGTGGTCCTCGCCGACACGATGTGAAGCGTAGAGCGAATCTGCTGCTCTGTTGACTCTGTTGTGCTCGGGGTGCTGTCCGTGCCTAGCAGGGCCTGGCAGGGCCTAGCAGCACCTAAGGCCTCTGAGGATTGAAGGTCACAAGAAAGGCCTTTTTCATCGTTCCCTGTGGGACCTTGTCAATTTTCTGGCACCGAATCACTCAAGGCAACCGAAAACCATAAGAAAAAATAGGGCCAACGAGCACGCTACCACTAAGTCGGAGAGTGTGCTATCGGCTACCGCGTGGGGCTACATGGGCCGAATGAGGACAACTCAACTCGCAAGATGCGGTCTCGCGGCTAGAGAAATTTGACGTCTCAAGGATGCGTAGTCCAATTTCCCACCTAAGCACTTGCCGAGTGCTGTCTCTGCGCAGAGGATTTCCTTGGAGTCATGCGTTCCAGTCCTGAGACTATCAGTGACTAAGCTAAGCCATTAAATGGATTTAAATGGCCGAGCCGGTGAGGTGCCAAGAAGAGACCCTGCAACCCGACAGGCCATTGGCAGCCATACGCGCACGCGCCGGCCGTGCGCTGTTGCAGCCCGAGAAGAGCCCACGGAGGCGTCACAGAGGCCCCTGGCGCAAAAAGGCGGAGCGTGGGCCGCATAAGGCTTCTCTTCTGTTCTCGCTGCTCCTGCTCCGCATTCTGGCGTCCTGTAGGATAGGAAGGCTCCAGCGTGTCTAAGTCAGGATGCCCAGGTTGGGATGTGCGTGATTGCTTGCTTGTTGAGTGGGCAAGCAATACATGCAACACACACATATATATATATATATGTTGTCGCATATATATATGTCAAGACAAGATATACAGAAAATTATGTATATCTCTATGTGCATCTTTCATAAGCTCTCAAGTCCACCTACCGGGAGCCCCTGACTGCAGTGGTAGTGCCCGGCCCCGACACGTCTCAAAAAGGCAAATTTGGGCAGATTCCTTGGTCGGGGGTCATAGACTCCATGAACTTTACGAGGCTGCGGAGATATGTTTCAGCTGCGTAAAACATGGAAGAGAGTTGTGTGTGTGTGTGTGTGTTTGTGTGTATCAGTGTGCTGTGATCAATTGAAAGAATCGCGAGTTTCATTTCGCTGAGTTTGAGTTGAAGACCTCTGCGGAAACCTTTCTGCCCAAGCTCGTCGTCCGTCCTTGGGGCGGAATTGTGGAGCAGAGCTGCGCTTTTGGAGCGAGGCGCTTGGGCCTCGGATGGGTTTCGAGCATTCAGAATGTGATGTTCGTGTCTGCTCTCTTCACCTGTTTTCTCTCCATCATCTTCGAAGTCTTCGCGCGCCATCATGCGAATTTCGTAGAAAGCACAAGTATGCAGAACGCATCCTTAAGCAGGTCAAAAAGCCAGATTACGCGAACTCAGGACCCAACCGGTTTGAAGGGGAGGCCAAAAGACGGGGAGAGTCCACGCTCGTGAGTTGTTGGTCGTGTGTTTGGTCTCCTGAGCACTTCAACATGCGCGTGGAGTTCGATAGGCTGCAAACTGCACTGCTTTAGGTCAACATCCTGAACCAGTCGCAGTGTAAGCTGTATGATGTCTCAGTGTCGCAGAAGACCCTGGACACAATCCTGGCAGATGTTTCTCGTGTTCAAGGGTCTCTTCATGAGCTGGGCGTGTTGGTCTCGTTTTCGGCTGCTCCTGACGAGACGATGAGAGCTGTCGCTGATAGGGCGTTGTGAACTTGCTCATGTGATCTGGTGCTGTCGTGGAGCGATAGCGAAGTCGCATTCCCGTCTCAGGCAGTTGCATAGCGTGGGTTCAAAAAAAGGGTCACAAAGTGCTTCCTTGGGTCATGAATTGCTTTGGGGTCCCAAGTCCTTCCGAGGCAATGCGAAGCAGAGGCTGGCCGCGCGCCCAAGAGTGGCCTCTGTAGGGTCAGCTGTTGCCGGTTGCTGCAAGTGGCGGATGTCTCGTAACACAATCCACAATGTGAGAGAGAGAGAGAGAGAGGTGAGAGAGAAAGGTGACTGTAGAGTTTTTGTCCACAAGCACTTCGTTGCTCAGGGGGAAACCGACACGGCGTCTCACGAGTCGGGCACGACCTAGCGGGGGCTCCCTGCCAACATGGCGGGGCAAAAGATGCGAGCCCAACTGATACACAGCCTGTCGCTTCCGTTCACACGCACCTAACTCAGCCTCGGGCGTGCCCAGTGCGCGGAGGGGCTTCCCCAATGCCCAGCAGAAGAAGAAGACAGAAGAAGAAGACGAAGAAGAAGAAGAGAGAGAGAGCGAGCGAGCAAGCAGGGTAGTTTCTCCGGGTAGCTGGAAACAGAAACTCAAGTAGAGCTGCGGAGCATTGCATAGCCTTTTGAGGGGGAAAGGTAGAAAGCCAACCCGTTTTGCAGTGCTCTATTGACTATTGACAGCATGGTGAAGTCTCCATGCATTTCATTAGGTGGTTGTGCGCCACCCTCACACGTAGTGGTAAGCTGGTTCTGTGCCGCCCTCAGAAACAGGGCCTCGAAGCGGGGATAGCAGAGTCCCAACACCACCACGCGAAGGCGACAACTGCGCAGCACAGGAAGTTGGGGATTGCAAAAAGGCTTTCACCACAAACAAAGCAGCGCAGGGGCGCAGGTTGCAAATGGTAGCAACCGGCAGGCCAGGCCAACTTACCCGACCTTGGCCACTGACACCAGGACCAAGCAGTCGAACTTTGTTCTTTTTTGTTTCCGCAAAAGAACAGGCCAGGGGAAGAAGGCCGAAACACCCGAAGTTTCACCCATGTGAGTGTATGTCTGAGCTCCTCTACCCTCCTAACTGTTATAAGGTCCGCGAGCCCACACCCCCGACGGCGACGGCGGCGGCGGCGCAGCCGCTCCGGCCGCTCGGGGACCCCCCGGCACGACCGGCACGACCGACGCAGCCAGTCCCGGCGCCGATCGCGGTCCAGGCTTCGGCCGGATCCAGTGGGCCTGGGATTAAAGAGAGACGCGAAGTGATCAACACTCCTCGACCTTCTTGATGCAACCTATTCCGGAGTTCTCTGGTTAGTCTGGTTTCAGTTTCAATTGAGGCGCAGCCCTGCACAGGTCCAAGTCCAACCCAAACGATCGCAGACCATGGATCGAGCGCGAGAAGGTGTGCCGATCAGATCACTGATCCACGTGCTTCAGCATGCAGCATGCTTACTCAGCATGCCTGTTGCAATTGGGTTGCGATTGCCCTGTCACGCTGTCAGGGCGGCGTGAAGCTCTTCGTCGGTCGGCTCCCAAGGGAGGTCAACAAGTGCCTCGGCCGAGTCTGCATGAGTCACTGTGAGGCATACCCAGTCCAGAAATTGATTAGAAACAAACATCAGCAAGGCAGCACGAACGTATGTCTGGGCCGAATGGGTTCCCGCGTGCGTTTGTGTGTGTGTGCGTTTGTGTGTGTGTGTGTGTGTGTGTGTGTGTGTGTGTGTGTGTCTGTCTGTCGGCCTCGTTGTTGGAGCCTCAACTTGTCCGCGCGTGTCAACACATGCGCTGACACTGCAGGGATATCGTGCAGGTCTGGGCCAACGGTTGTGGTTTTTTTTCGCGTGTCATCATGTCTTTACTCTGCGTGCCCTGTCCTGGGAGCTCCTTTGGAGCAACCAGTTGTGTTCGCAACGTCGATCCTTGCATCCTTTACGCGTTTTTGCTTTTTGTACGTCTTGCATCGCGCGTCTTGGCGAGACGACCGAAGCGTTTGGTGTCCGCATTCGGCTTCGTGGTTCAAACCAGATTTGGGTGCACTTGACGCGCCTCATCTCACAGTTTCTTGCACTTGCTTATCACGAGACAAGAGGGAGAGTCGCGAAGTTCGTGATGAGGACCCAGCTCGAGGAGTGCTTCCATGAGTTCGGAGAAGTCCTCGAGGTCTTCATCATCGCCTCCCAGGTGGAGCCTGTCGCGCAAACCACAAAAACACCTGAGCCGAACGTCTTGCAGTGTTCACTTGGCAGAACCATTACGGACAAATTGTGACATATTCTCGGCTTCGACTTTTCAGGCTGCCAGTGGCGTGGGCTGTGCCTTCGTCCGGATGGCCCAGTCCGGGCCTTGCGCATGGCTTGGAGTTGCGATTGTGACGTGGGAGGGGAGATCCCAAATGGTGAGCGCTCAAGAAGCCTTACAAGCTTGATATTTTTCATGGAAGAAGACACGAACCACGATCTGACGTCTTCGTTCTGAGGCGGCGCCCCCAACTGCAGCTCCTTCAATGCCCATGTCAATGTTGGCGCTAGTATACCGCAAGCCACGCGCTAGCTATCAGTCCAAGCAGTGTCGGCAGTACTTGACTCGTCCTACAAAAAACGACTTGTCTTCCCGGCTTGGAAAACCGGCGATCCCAGTGCTTGAGTTGTACTACAGATCAAGGAATGGTCTTCCCGGCTCCGGAAACCGGCTCTTCAACCTCCACCCCATTCCATGCTTCGTGCTACCTAGACTCCCACGGCAAGCCCCGGCGGATCTAAAAACATGTTGGCCTGCAGGGGATGGTTTGACATCAACTCGCAAGCTGTGCGACTCTTGAAACTGAACGTAAGAACCTATAGAATACAGAAAGACTCCCACACTATAATGACTGGACTGGTTTGAAGTGCTCATTTGCTACAGTATGTCAACGTGAGTTTAGATGTGAGTATGCACTTCGCTCTTGGACATGAGGCGGCCCCCAAACTACGCGCATTCCGCGATACATCTTGGATGAGCGGCATTTTGAGAAATGGCCAGATGGCTTCTAGAAGGGGTTACACAAAGTTGTCTGGGGGTGGCGGTTCGGAGAAGCTGCTGCACAAAGTATCCTCGACAGCCAAACACAAGAAGCAATTCAAAGACGGAGAGGGTTTTCGGGAAGATCTCTTTCCTCCGGTTGTTTGGGGAGGCTCTATCTTCTTGTGAATTCCAGGATCGACGCCGCCGAGGAAGCCATCTCGGAGCTTCACGAGCAGCGGGTGCCCATTTTGGTGCGGAGCGGCTGCGGCTCTCCGAGGGGTTCTTGCGGGATCTTGCGGGTGTCTGCACGAGCGTGTGCGTGTGGCTGCATAGCTCTTCGTTCCACTGTTACGTTCATGGTATTCCTGTTCATTGCTCCCCATCCGTGTCCTTTTTTTGTTTCTTGTTCTGTTGTGTGGACAGTCAGAAGGCGCAACATTGCGCAAGGATGCGCCGATGGTTTGCACAGTTTGCACACCAGGTGCTGATCCCGGAGCAGGCAGACCTGGGGCCAATGCAGGCGCTCGGGCGCGTCAAAACAGAAGCCGGAAAGTCCCCAGTCTACTTCAAAATGTTTATCGACACTCTGTTCTGACAGGTTGCCTTCGCCAAGGGTGAGGCGATCCGTCTTGGCCGGACTCTCGGAGATGTCGAGTTGCCCCCTGGTGCTGGCAGTTCCTGAATATTTCAACATGGCTGCCGATCCGAATTCTCCTCAAGAGCCCAGATCCAAAGGTCTTGACGAGAAGGAGGAGATCTTGCCAAGCTTCAAAGAAGCGAGACAGAAGGTTGCTCACTTCTTGCGCGCTCTCATGGAAGCTTAGATGAAACCTGACATGTCGAGCTTCGAGACCTTTCGGGGAAGCATTGCATCTGCTCGGATTTCACCCCACGGATTTCGGCAACTTTTCTAGGTTGTGGAGCACCACGAGAAGAAGCAGTTCTTCGAAAAGATGCAGAAACAGCAGGAGGAGCCACAAACAAATGAGAGCGAAGTATCTGTAGAGCTCTACATATCTTCATATCTAGTCCTCTCGCCCTCTTCTCTCCCTCTCTCTCTGTCTCTGTAGGTCTATACAACGTTGGCCTCTTCGGCTCGATGCGCGTGGTACGGCATGTGCTTCAAATTGAAAAATCCCTCTCTGGTTCTCTGAGGAGCAAGCCAAGGCCTGCCGGGAGAGGGCTGCGTCGCCTTCCGAGCGCCGGCATCGGTTGTTGTTAGTGCCGGACTCTCCCTCCTTCTCCTTGTGCCTCCCACTTGCGCCTCCCCCGCTGCCTCTCGCCCTCTCTCTCTCTCTCTCTCTCGCTCTGTCTCTCTCTCTTTCCCCTTCTCTGCCTCTCTCTCTCGCAACAGTTCGGAAAATGCTACGTTGCTTTGGTGACCCTTGCATTTCCTGCTGCACAAGTCCGTTTTTGCCAATTGCGTGAACACACGTTTTCGAGGGTGACGTGTGTGCGCTGGCTGAGCATCTCTTCGTGATCCCAACGACTACTGATCTAGGCTTCCTTTTTTCCAATCCGTGTGCGTGCAGCCACGTGAAGACTTGCAAGCGCTGCGTAGTCCGCGACTGACCCAGTCCAGCAAAGCTTGCGGAGCGAGAGGTGGAGCCGGGATCAGCTCCACGTAGAAAGTGGGAATGTTCACCAAGCCACTGCAAGTCCTTCATCCCGCATCTTGGACGACCTCACCCTGTTTACCCTCTTACCCTCCAGATGGCCAAACTCCGAACTTGATGCGTCAGTGCGGCGAGCTAGCGGGTGTTTCGCGGTCGGTTTCGAAACCTCATCGACATCATCGGGACCCGCTTTTCGAGACATTCGAGACATTCGAGACCTAGACCAGCTAGTTTTGCCACTGTTGAGCACGGCCTCTTTGAGCGTTGGCCGCCACAAACCCAGTTCAGCAGTGCCAGGGATCCCCCAGAAAGCGCTGGTGCTGTGTGGATCTCTGCAGTGTGGTAGTGGGTCGGCTTGAATGACGATGGCAAGACATCCTGCCCTTCTGAACTTGTCTAAGTGACAATTCTCCTCTCGTTATGTTTCGTATTCGTGTAAAGACAGTTTGTCTTGTTTCGGTGCAAAATCGCCCTCAGCTTTCCCTCCCAATCGTGGTGGAAAGCAAGCCTTCGGGATGTAGATAAAATCGAGGAGCACAGAGCCTTTCGTTTGTGTCGGTGCCCAACATTCTGCGTCACGCAACCAAGAGAGAGCAAAATCACTCCGATAGGAGGAATGCTGAAAGTTAATATGCAGCGTTGGCCAATTTTCGTGTAATGTTTACATGGTTTCAGACACGGTTCTTGTGCATTGGCCATATTACTGATTCCGTGTCATGTGATGTCTTCGCTGCTGCCGCTATGTTTCTGGAATTGCGGCGTGCGAAGTTGTCGTTTAATTACAATTGCAGGGCAGGTCAGAAGCGACGTTGGGGGACTGAAATTGTGTTGTTCATGTGCCTGTCCCTCTGCGTAGTGCTTGCGCACGAGCACGGTTCCGTCAGTTCCCACCGATCACGCCCCGTAGGAAGGTCGACGGGCTTGCCCCTTTAGCGTTCTTGTTTGTTGCACAGTTGGATTCGTGTGCGCATGTATGCGTTCAATGAAGATTGCATGTACATCAGATCGTGGAGTATCAGCATGCGCTGATGATGCAGCACCAGGCACGGTTTTGGACAAGAAGACTTGAGTGTGAGACCAGTGCAGCCAAAGTCGCGACGCTGGGAATGGTGAAGCAGTGAAGCCCGAAGGCAATGCTGCAGCAGATCCAGGAAAAGCCCCGCGAGGCCATGGCTGGAGATGTTTGCAATCTTCGAAGCTTCGGCTGGGGACATGAAACGCAGGAGCTCGTGACGATTGTCAAGGATGGCCAGCGAAATGGCGGTCAGCCTTTTAAGCCTCAGACACAGAGTGATTGTTAGAAAACTTTCCAAGCGCGCTGCATTTTCCCGGCATCTTCCTGGCAAAAGGCTCGGATCCTTGCAGAACCCCGCAGACCGCGGAGTCCGCTCTGTTGTGACAGTGGTCTGAGTACTGCCTGAGTACAGCCTGTAGACCACGTAGTGACATGTGTAGTGGAGGGATGTGGTGGAGCGGTGTGGTGCCGATGTGGGCGCGGGCGCGAAGTGTTGCGGACTTGTGGCAAGCGGCACTCAGTTTTTGGATGAGCAATGTATACGGCTCCGGCTGGACTGCGGCTGGACACATGCAGTCTTCCATGATATTTTAGGGGCTCTTCGTTTCCGGCTTGGAGACAGTTCCACCATTCATTGCGCAACACCGGTGCCTCTTCTGCCCCACACGTGTCCTCCCACAGCTTGGGTCTGAGACCGTTCGAGCACAATCCGTCTACGTTGGTTTCAGTCTTGCACCGCCCGCCCTCCGAAGTAGGAGTATCGGCTGTTTGAGTGCGCACACCATATCTGCCTGCATATAGCTGCGTACGAGCGCGTGATCGTGCTCAACCCCTGATGTCCCGTGTCCTTCGTTTCCGTGGCTGAGGCAGCGGTGGTGGAGCTTTTGCGATGCTGGGTGGTGGAGTCCTCATGCGGGAGATATGAAAGGCTAAAGAGAGATGCTGAGATGCTTCATGATTTTCATGAGCCTTTCCGAGAAGGTTTTTTGTGTTCCATGAATGTTGGGGTTGAGTTGCGCGCAACACCCGCAGAGGTCCGGCTGCCGAGACTACGACCCGAATCACCATGGCAAGGAGGCGCTGGCGCACTTCGTCTCCGCACCTCGGCGGATAAGGAACGCCGGCAGAAACCTCAACGAATGAGAAGGCACCTGAGTTCGAGTTCGTTGCTTCACACACTTTCGCAGCGTGTCTACATCAGTCAATCTCTATGTGTTTGCTGGTAAGCCTGTGAAGATCTGCGAGACACCCGAGGTTGCAAGCACCGAGTACGGCCCATCCCCCAGACGTGAGTTGTTTGTTTCACAGATGTTTTTCGCCCACGTTAACTTCGCTTCGAAGTGTCACCTTCTCGCCTTCGTCGAGTTGTCGTCTGGAGGTCACGAGCAGTGGTTCAAGTCTCGCTTCCCGAAGCTCCCGGCGCTGCCCGAGAAGCCCAAGGGAATGCCGGAGCCAGGAGAGCTCTTCGAACAGTTTTTACACGAACGGGGGGGCATTTTTGCTGAAAAGCGGATGTTGTTTTGTTTGATCTGCGGGTCCTGAACTTTGCCGATGCTCAGGATCACCGGGCTTGATGCCGCCGGCACCTTGGGGGGGGGCCCTTTAAGTGACCTTCCTCGCCAAGAAGCGTCGCCAAAAAAGAAGGAAGCTGCAAGAAGGGAGTGCCCCACCTGAAGTCTCTAAGTCTTCTAAGTATCGCCATTGCAGGGCTGCAGGACTCACGCTGGGGTGTGACGCGGGGGCCTGGTCCCGAGGCCTCCGCCGGGGCCGCCGCACGGGGCACCGCCCGCGCCACCGCTTGGCCCAGGCAGCGAAGAGAGCGAAGCCTTCAGCGGCTTAAGCGTTTAAGCGGAGATGGAGTTGTGGGCTGGTCCGGGCTGGTCGTGCACGCGCTCCACATGCCCTCGCGCAACATTGGCTCACTAGGAGATAAGGAGTGTTGCCTGGGGACCTGTCAACGGAACAGTTTCACCGGTCTGCAGAGCGTGACAGTGTAGTGGCTGCTCAGGGCTGTTTTTCAATGCTTTGAAGCAGGCCTGGCTCGGCCCCCGGGCGGCCTTCCGGGCCTTCCAGGCCCTCCGGGCCCGCCGGGCGCCCCGCCCGGCGCCCCGCCTCCACATCTCCTCCCTCCCCATCCGATGCACCTACCGCCCAAGCCCCAGAACTCTCACATTGACATTTTCCATAAGCAATGTAATATAAAGGTTATAAAGGGTTTGCGATGTGGGTGAAAAAAGTGAGAAGCGTGTAAGAGAAGCGCGGTGAAGCGACCCAGGCCCGGGATGCCGCCCTTCGGGCCGCCGCCAGGTGCAATGCCGCTCCTGCCCGGGTGCGCCGCCCCCTTTCTTGATCTGTTGCAGAATTGTGAGGGTGAGAGAGAGAGAGAGAAGGAGGAGGAGGATCCCACCCCAGCAGCATTGCGGGAGTCCGTGTTTCACCTGCAGACTACCTGCAGACTGGATTCGCGCGACGCATGTGCCTTCCCGGGCGGCCTTCTTGCCAGGGTTCAGTAGAACAGCAAAGGCAGGAAGGAAGGAAGGAAGGAAGGAGTAGGAGGATGGCTTCGAAGCAGAAGTGAAGCTTGTTTTCTGTTTTCTGATTGGCACCCTTGGGCAACACGCATTGGTGTCCCACCCCCTCCCCCACGACCCCCCCCCCCAAGTGCAAGCCAAACATGTGCCACCCCTTAAGTGACCCTTCCTGTGCTTGTCATCTACAGTTAAGTTCTTCCTCCTTAAACATCACTGGCAAGTTCCCCACTTTCTGCGAGCAGTTGAGAAGTCCACTTTCTGCATTCGTGACTCTGCTTACCTGCACCAGTGAGTGAGTGCCCGAGTGTAGCTTGAGATCAGTGGCCCATTGCTTTTTTCGTTGCCGATCGCAGGTGCCAAGTGCGTAGGCCATGCAAAAAAATGGTGCTTGAAGAATAGGTTCCTCTTTCCTCCTCATCGTCATCGCAGTTCCAGCAGTTCCATTTGATGTCTTGGACGCTAGCTCGACATTCTTGGGTCTCTCTCATTGTACCCTCGCTTTGGAAAATGTCCGGAACCCCAGCCCCGGAACTGAACGGGCTTCAGAATCCTATACGGTCAGTCTTAAGAAGAGCTGGGGCGGGGGGGGGGGGGGGAGCTTTGTCGCACAAGAATACAGCGGCGTGAGCATCTTCAGAATTACAGAGCCGTGACAGCGTGGTCGCCCTGGTGTGCAAAGATGCTCTCATAAATGTGGGGCACACAGTGACACAGTGCAAGGGCCTCTGGGCACAGCGCAGATCACAGCAAGCCAGGATGCCCCCCTTCCCGGGACCTCCTGGCTGCGGCGGCTGCGGCGCGCTCATGCCAGGCGCGAGAAAGCCAAAGCGAAAGAGCTGGAGTCTAAGCTAGAGGGAGGGTGCGAGACAGAGAAGAGAGAGAGAGAGAGAGAGAGAGAGTCTTCTTTTCGGCAGAAGCCCCGCACCCTCAAAGTGAGAAGCCCCGCCATCCCATCCTCTCTCAAAAGACGACGCTGAGAGAACTCCCCCTGTTTTTTGCAGGAAGCGAGATCCCCGCAGGCGACGGAGGTGGTGGTCGCCCGGCTCCAAGCGAACGCGCTGCCCAGGACACCAGAGACTCGCACAATCTCGCACAGAGATTGCTACACCGCAGACTGCGCACCGACTGCCACCAAAACACCTTTTAAGCCGCCGTGTGATGCGCGCCATGATTTTGGCCTCTGAGGCCCGCGCCGCCTCGAAGGCGCGCGCCGCCGCATCGCTCCTGATTTCGCTCTTTTTGCTCGCTCTCTCTCTCTCTCTCTCTCTCTCTCTCTCTGTCTTTCGTTGACATGCAGCTCTATGCTGTCTATGCAATATCGACTGGGGTATCGAAGTCTAGCCTCTTGAGACAATTCTCCCCACTCTCCCCTTCGGAGCATCTCAGCAGTATCAGTATAGTCAGACTGCCATCTAAAGCAACGGCTTCCCCACAGCTTGCGGGCCACGAGCACTCGGGCAGCCGGGAGCTGTGTTCTCAACGTTGCGGTACTGAGACACCTCGCTATGTGTGTTCACACGTTTCGGCTGGTCGTAGATCGCCCAATGTTGGAGTGTGGTGCGGGGAAACATTGGAAACATGGGATCATTGAGTACTTGGATGATCAGACAACCTCAGACCAGCAAGTCAACGACATTTTTTGTTTCAAGCATAGCTTTTGCGGTAGTACACATTGTTCTTGTGATGTTAGAGATACGTTGATTTGTGCTGAATGCTCAGTATAATTAGATCACATCAGTTGAGAGGGATATTGTCATTACTAGCAAGGTGAAGGCCGTCAACTGCACAAGATGCCGCAGCAAAAAGCATGTTGGAGAGTGCGGCTAGGTGAGCCTCGACGCATCCGCATCAAATGCCGAGCGAAGAGGAAAGAATACAAGAAAAGGACATCGCCAGATAAATAAGAAGCCGGAAGTCCAAGAATTTTCTGAGCTCGTTAGACAATTGTTGGTGAACGATTAATGTGTGGACAGCTGTTTCATGCTAACGCAGAAGGTTAAAGTTATGATTCAGATACCTGCTGATGACAAACCGCAACAAACAAGCACATTCTTCTTATGCCACAGTGGGCGGTTATACATTGTGTTGATTGGAGAATCCAAGAAGCTAATGTGATGTTGTATACCCTTAACCCCAGACCCTGAACCCGATTCTACAAGGAGCCCCTCGCCCAGTAAGAATGGCGCCCAGGTAGATGCAAGCATGATTGCATGAGAATGCTGGCTTAGCTTAGAATCTTCGGAGCGTAGGAGTTGATTCCGAGGTTGGGCTAAATTCAAAGACAAGGGATGCCGGATTGCATTGGCGTGACGGCTCTCGAGGAAGGAAGGAGAAGAGGAAGAGAAGGGAGGTTAGTTAAGCTGAGTATAGTGTAGATGTATTGTTAAGAATGTGTATATTAATATGTGTTTAGTAGGATAGAGTCTCCTCTCTCCTCTTCTCTCTCTCTCTCTCTCTCTCTTTTTCGGAGGCGCCGCGATCGGGGCCAAGACCCTGGCCAAAGCCGCGCCGCAGCAGCCGAACCAGCCCCTCGGGGCCCACAAAAAAAGAGGAGAAAAGAGGAGAGAAGAGAGAGTAAGAAAGGAGAGTGAACGCTAGTGCTGGTAAAGGTAGTAAAGCATGTTCTTGTTGCCTGCTCTGAGGTCCTCGGACTCGGGCTCTGAATCGGAGGCGCGCCGAGAGTCAATTGAGTCACACGACAGGCTTTCTTGCTGCAGACATGTATGTTACTGTATCTTCTTCCTTTTCGCCAAAGAATTGTGGGCATCGCTCCGCATCACTGCAAGCTCACTGGGTAGTGCCTTGCGTGTATTATAGAGCAAGGTAATACGAAAGAAGTGCAAGTAGCTGCTTGGGTGACAAGTTGGGGCATCCTTTGGCCGCGCTGCCACTAAATCCGGTCACCGCTCACAAGAAGGCTTCCCGGGCGTCTGCTGTATGCAGTTCACAGAATCCATTTCACGAAGCTGTCGGAAGGCCTTCTTTTTCTCAAATCGGTTTGAGTAGTTTTCTTCGATTCAAGACAACCGGGTTCGACTCGGGGTGGCCCAGATGTAAAGTTGCCTTTGTTCTACCCGATCAGACGCTTTTGAGACACGTGGACAGATTTCCTGTTAGACGGAAAGCGTGGCGGAAGGACGAAGATATCGGTGCGATCAACGCCGACGACATCTGATCTGTGCTGTCACTGTGGGCTTAAGAGTGCTTATGCAGCTGAGGGCCTTTAGGGAGATGCCGAGATGCCTCTGCGATGCGCAGCTCGAGGAGAAAGAAAGAGTTAATTGGGGGCCACAGCTCCAAAGTGCAGCAGGGGGCACTTGGGAAGTCTGAGGAGGCGACGCCCCCCATGCTCCGCTGAAGAAGAAGAAGAAGAAGAAGAAGAGGAGAGGGAGGGAGGGAGAGAGAGACCAGCAGCTCCGAGCGACATGCGCCCAAGAAGCCTAACCTGCACTCTGTAGCCTGCTTCACACGCAAGCATTGCCGCGAGGTGCGCATGCTCTAGCGGTTGGGCAGTGGCAATGCCAGTCGTGTGTGCGATTTGCGCTTGGCGCGATGACTGAGGAATGCATTGAATGCATGTCTTTGTTGTTGGTATGCTTGCCTCGCTTCTGAGAGTGAGACAACGTAAGGTGATTGACCCTCGAAATGAAAGCGAAACAGAAGTTGCGAATCCTTGAGTCGCAGTGTCTGCACCTGGTGTGCATATGAGGGAGATTCAGATGCTGACCTTCTTCGTCCCTCATGGTGGGCCGGTGACTGCGCAAACTTCACTTGAAGTGCAACGACGGCACCCAGAACAAAATCCCAGTCTGTCGCCAAGAATGGACAACCCCAGCGTTCAAACGAGGTAGACACATGCCAGGCTTCGAGAAGCTCTCGGGCATGTAGCAGTAGGCCTCGCGTGCGTCGTGCGAGGACGGGACCCCTTGATGCTGTTGGAGTGCGGAATTGGTGAGGGAACAGCGCGACGGCGCGACGCAGGGTCCAGTGCGAAGCTGACAGCACCCAACGTGCTCACAGGGCACATTGCCATTCCCACCTTTTCATTTTTGCATATTTTTGCTTCGTTTGGGCCCTCTTTGGGGTTGGGATTCGGGATGTGAGGCTTCGGTTAAAGTGTCTGGGCCCTCGGGCTGCCCTCTCAGGCTGCCCTCTCAGCCTCCCCTTTGCCAGTTTTCCGAATTTGCCAGCGCAACCTTAAGCGCTTCAGAAACCGTAAATATGAGCTGATGCTGATCTTTAAAAGAAAAGCGCGCCTGAAACAACAAGCCCTTCGAAATCCATGGTACGAGAACTGCGCGTTTGCCATGTTTGCCGCGCAAAGCTTGCTTCTGTACTGCTGGTGTCAGGTGGAAAAAGGCAGAAGCCTGGAAACGTTAAAGCCTCTTGGTGCTCACGGCAGCACATCACTTTTGAAAACCGAGAGCCTGATTCCGCTGCCTGGAAATCCCTGATCCCTGGACAGAGCGCATCGCTCTGCTTTCTCTAGTTTTTGTCCCAGAATACACTGAGTCCTGCCCGGACCGCGAAAGCAGAGCGCAGCGAGACCCGTTTCTTCTGAAGCACATGCCCTCCCATCCTAGAATGCTCCGGTTGCTGTCGCTCCATCCGTCCATGTCCTTGGCTCACTGTGCATCATTTGCAAAAGACGCAAGTTGCTTCCAAATTCTCCAGTCACCATAGTCACCACTAGAGTCACCACTGGAGTCACCGCTAGAGTCACCACTAGTCACCACAGCCAGTCACCATCGAAGATATATAGAGTCTTGTCGGTGTACCCTGGGACGCTTGGCGACGGTGACTGTGCCTGTGGACGTCGTCGCAGACGTCGCCCCCCATGCGCGCGGCCCTCGGTGTGCCGCGCGCTGCTGGGGCTCTCGGAGCGGACCTCGGAGAGCCGCGCGCAGCGCGCGGGAGGTGAAACCAGGTGTGGGGGGCGCTGAGTGGCGCGCTCCACGGAGACCTCGGCGCTGAGGGCACCTGAGGCCGAGCGGATCGGATCCGCCGGGTCTGGCAGTCTGGCAAGTGTCATGCAACCCAGTTCCCTCGGCACGTGGCACATGCAGTGGAGAGAAGCTAAGTAGCCTGCTGCGCAGTGTGGAGGTGCCATGAGCGCCGCTTCTGGTGGGTCCGCCACGAGCGCCAAGCGGGTCTTCAAGAGGACGCAGTAGCTTTGCTGCACCCGCGCTCCCTCTCCCCTCCCTTTTTCAGTGAAGTCGGCCTAGCTTTGCTCTTCTCCTTTTACTCCTCTCCTTTTTGCCCCTCTTTCCTTGAGGCTGTGTTCCTTCTGGGTCCGTGGCGCTTGTAAGCGCGGCGCGGCCTGTGCGTTCGCACATGGAGAGGCACTCGAAGGGAGAGAGCCGGAGACATGGAGCTCTCGCTGGAAAGCCCAAGAGACACGAACACACATTGAGCGTTTGGAGTCTAGACGCAGTTAATCATGATTGTTCACAGTTTTTCATTCATGACACACACACACACACACCCACACACACACACACACACACACACACACACACACACACACACACACCCACACACCCACACCCCCACACCCCCACACCCCCACACCCCCACACCCCCACACCCCCACACCCCCACACCCCCACACCCCCACACCCCCACACCCCCACACCCCCCCACCCCACACCCCCACACACCCCACCCACCCCCACACCCCCACACCCCCACCCCCACACCCCCACACCCACACACCCACACACCCACACACCCACACACCCACACACCCACACACCCACACACCCACACACCCACACACCCACACACCCACACACCCACACACACACACACACACACACACACACACACACACACACACACACGGAGTTACAAGGTCCATAGAATGGTTACTGGCGAAGATCTGCTAGACGATGAGGATGGTGTCCGAAGCATCCTGATAATCCAACTGTCCTGATGTTTCAAGATGACATGTATGCCAAGCTCAAAGCCGCAATCTGCAGCACCGTCCTGAACCCCTGCATGAACTGTCAGGAAGACATGTATGCCAAGCTCAAAGCTGCAATCTGCAGTACCGTCCTGATCCCTTGCATGAACTGTCAGGAAACCGCTCGATAGCATCGGTAGCTGAATCATCTTCCACACCAACACAAGCGTGCAGGAGCACGAAAGCGCCCGCACGCACGAAGGCGCACGCACGGACGCACGGACGTGCACGCACTCACGCATGCACATGACGAGCTACTGGTATTGCCCTGGCAGTCTCAGCTGCGGGAGACCCCCGACTTGTCAAAGACAAAGATCCTTGACTGAATCTTGAGTTCTCCCTGCTCACGCTGCTCAGCCCTGCTCTCCCACATTTGCCTCATGTGCCCGCCCAAGGATCTGCAAGAATTTTCAGACGGGCACTTGCCAGCACCTTCGCCGCAGGCAAACCCCGGCAGGACAAGGCTTCTTTAGTAGCCGTAATCCCCCTCCCCTAATTCTAAATCCCCCCCCCCCCCCCCCCACAATTCTAAAATTCGCTCGGCCGGAAAATATTTCAAATTAGGCGGAACCTAAACCCTAAAACCTGACATGGCCTGGGAGAGTTCAGGGTTCAGTTTGGGTTTGCTTAAGCCCTAAACCCTAATTAAACCCTCTGAGCCTCGAGCTCTAAACCCTGCAAATCCTCTGAGCCATAAGCCCTAAACCCTAATTGCCTTGCCGGCCTTGTGCGAGTGTGAGAGCCGAAACCCTAGTTGACAGCGCCAATGGCTCAACTCAAGGGCGGAGGCCCTCGACCCCCCCCCCAAAACAGGTTTAGTATTGGGCTGGGTGCCGAGAGGGTCCGAGAAAAATATTATTCAAAATTGGGGTCCACATTCGGTCAGGCCGCACTTCTTTCTCTAGATTGCAGTTTGCCGGTCCCTGCGCCGTCACTAGCCACTAGTCACTAGTCACGAGTCGCTTGCGCGGTCGATATCGTACGTTATCTCTCAGTTAAGATTTCATGAGTCATGAGGTTGAGCGAGCTGAGGTTAGGCGAGCTCTGCAGCTTCGCACATTGCCGTGATGAGCTCCGGTCGCTTAGGCCGAAGCGAGCCTCTCGGACAGGAATTCTATCGTGACAGTTTTGTGCCCTTGTGATGCGCAGACGTATCGTCATGTAGTCATAGGATGTAACTGCAGCGGCCTGTATCATTTGTCAGCGCGTACTTGGCTTCGCCTCTTGGCTTTATGGCTCGATGCAACATGTCCAAGTCTAGGCCCGCGACTGCACATGTATTACTGTATGACAGTGTGGTCTAGCACACATTCGCCTACTTATGAGGGTGGCAAGGTGCGCAAGGAAGAAAAACACATGTGGTCGCGGAACAGCCGCCCTCGTGCCACCGGGGCTTGTGTGTACATATGTGTACATGTAAGCTTGATGTGGGGAGGATCAGGTCCAAGAGTGACAGTCATCAAATTTCTTTTCAAGTCCCGAGGCATCCTCCAGTGTTCTCGTGGAGGTGCCGAGATCGACCAAGGTGAGAGAGGGATCCGAAGAGGCCAGTTCACGAATGCAACATCGCAGATGAGACTTTGATTTGACGAGAGAACACGAGAGACGGCTTGTTGGAGGGGACTTCCGACGAAGTGCTCTGAAATTGACCTCTTCACCCTGGACCTCTCGACAAAAAGCACCCTGGGCTCAGGTGCGCCAGGGCGGCGCCTCAAGCTCAAGCGATCAGAATGCTCAGGAGATGAAGGCTGCTGGTCATGGCCTTCTGTTTCCGCTTCTCATGGACAGGTGTGAGAGCATGAAATCCACAATCGGACCCCCCCCCCTTAGCCCCTCTTGGCACTCCTAAGAGCCATAGGCTGATGCGCCGGTTGTGTACACTGTGGTGGACTTCGAGAAGCTCGGCGACAAAAAGGCATGACAGAAAGAGGGGGAGGCGACGCGCGTCGCAGAGCTTTGCAGAGCTTTGCAGAGCTTTGCAGAGCTTTGCAGAGCTTTGCAGAGCTTTGCAGCTTCCCATGGCCTCAAATCAAGAAGGCACTTTCCCACAGAGCCAGAGCTGAGGTCCGTGGAACGTGTCTGCAACCAGCTCATGGAGCAGGCAGACCCAGGGTTCCAGCGCCCTTCTCAATCCTTTTTAGCGCATGTTTTCCGAAGCTTTTCCCTTGAGCAGGAGGCGGTTGGTCTGGACAGCTGGGACGCCTGGGCGCCAGCAGCGCATGGCACCTTTGGAGGGCTGATTTTCGAGCTCTGACAATGAGAGGGAGGGGGCCTCGCGAAGCCTCGCTTTGCACCCGATATGACTTTTACATGCTCCTCTTTTCAGCGTAGTCTTAATGACTTAATGTGAGTGTGCGTCATGAGCTGCGGGCTTGTAAATCAAGTTGGAGCTGGGTCACCACCAAGCTGGGTTTCGAGAGCTGCTATCTCAAAGGATCCTATAGATACCAACACAGCAAGACTCATGCAGGTACACGTGCGCACATACGCGCACGCACATGTGCAGCCACATGTGTCTCTTGTGGTTTTGGTTCTGGTCAAAGCTGAAAAGCCGCATCTCAGCCATTACACCAAAGCAGTTGAAGCAACTTTACAGAATCATGGAAGACCAAGGCTTTCCGAATAGACTTTTCAAACACTTTACAACAACCAAGGAACCGATGAAACCGTTGAAGGGTAGGTGTAGCGATCCCTTGTTTTGCATAAGCGTTGTCCAAGTGTTGTGACCCAGGTGTAAATTTAAAGAAGGCTTTCTTCAATTTTGTTGAAAACTCTGGTGGAAACCTCAAAGTTTTCCCAGTTGTGAACCAAGGTTATCTTGAAGTGAGGTGTGAACGCTCACATCTTCAACCCAAAGGATAGAAACAAAAATCTGCTGTTTTCCATAGATCAATCGTTCACATAGTTGGTGTTTGTGACTAGAGAAGTTAACCGACTTCAATGGGTTCAATCGAATGAAGCTTTGGTTAAAGAGGGACCCCCCGCCCATTTCGCGGTTTGGTCCATGGGGGGGGGGGGGGTGAGCATATATATATATATATATCAATAAATAATACATATACATATATACATGGCCATAGCGGCCATAGCGTGTTATAGGTACTTTTCTCAGCGTTGAGGGCTCCTCCCTGCACATTTCCTATATTCTAAGATCCGAAGTTTTCTCCTGGTTGCCACAATACGTGGCGACATTTGCTCCAGGCGGACCATCCCAGTGTAGCCGAAGAGTCAAGAGAGTCAACTCAGAGTTAAGGAACATTTGCTTGGAGGAGACTTAGCAAGCACGAGGTAGCAATAGCACAATAGCTAAAATGTCCGTCCCTGGCTTGATTGGTCTCAATATATGCTAGTCGAAGTTCGAAGATGGACTTCCGACTCGCGTGGCATCTAATAGTCTCAACATGTCTCAGCTCTCATTCGCATGCTGGGCGGAAGTGGGCAGAGCCCTGGAGCGCACTTTCTCGCGCGGGAACCCTAAGAGATCTGTGAGAAAATGAGATGGCTCTCGGATGCTTGCAACTGGGACTTGCTGCCACGATTCCTGTAACAAGCCACGTGCATCACGCAGCTGAGATCAATCAAGCCCACATCAGCATGTGTTGGCGCCACGGCACTGGCAGTAGTCAGGTCAACACCACGGGTTTTTTGCTTCATGTGCAGCGTGCATCTGCAGAGAAGGGCCCCTAGAAGGAGGAGGGGTAGAGTTTTCTATCTGAACCTCCGGCATGGAGCAGCCGGGACGCGCGCGCGTCCGTGTCACCGGGGTGGTGAAGAAGGGCGAGGCGCAGGCGTGGAACGGAAAAGGAGAGCAGAAGTAGAGGAGAGAAGGGGAGTCTAAGCGAGGCGAGCTCAAGCCCCTGCAAAGAAGCTTACATACAAAAAAGGTGGATACATGTAATTACATGTACCATATAATTGATATTCAGACTTTCTGTGATTCGGCTAGAGGCCTGGACGGAGCCGCGGCCCGCGAAGGCCCCGAGAGAGAACGAGAAAAAGGGAGAGGGAGTTGAGAGTTGAGAGAGCGAGAGAGAGAAAAAGAGAAAAGAGAAGAGACATGTGGTGAGACGAGTGGGCTTGCGCCACGTCTGGATTTCGTCGAGGGAGAGAGGAGGAGCCTGGTGTGCAGGCCTATAGCTTCGGATTCACCGATATCTGATTCGCTTTGGTGAGTGTTCCATCCAGTCCTCCGCCGGGCGCGTGGTTGCCGCTCCAGCCACCGCAGTGGCCAGTTCAACTGCGGAGGGCGTGGCTGAGCTGTCCAAGGGATGTTAGGGGCGAAAGGCCCGATAGGCTTCACAAGTGACATGTTCAGTGGTGCCACTGGTGATCACCCACATGGTTGAAAATGGTGAGATCAAGGTCGGATGGCAAGTAAGACTCACCATCGGTTCTGAGTGTCTAGCTCTAGGTGTGACGTGCTGAAAGCTGGATAACCTGATGTTGGAAAGTCATAATGCTGGGCTCCGATTTACAGGATGCAATGATACAGCTGTTCCTGAAAGTTCCTGAAGTTGCTATGCATGTGAAGCCTGAAGATGATGGACAACTGTCCGTGAATCCGAGTGGGGTGAAGATGATTGAAGATGCCAGGTTGCCGATATGTCTGTAAGACCTATGCAAGACTTCAATTGAGGTGTTGTGGAAAGCGTTTCCATGCTGGGCTCATTGCGGGCCCATCTAAGGCGAGAGTCGTTCTCGGCCAGGCTCAGGGCGCGCAGGCACGCCAGGGCACGCCAGGGCACGCCTCATGCCCGCCACACGCTCCCTTTGCGGTTTCCCCCCCCCATCCCTCCCAAGCCCTCCGAGGTTCTTTCACCCTCCCCGGCACGGTCAGTCGCAAAGGCTTGACTTGGGCTTGGATTTGCAACCTGCGAAAGTTCTGTGACTCAGTGAAGTCACAAAACTTGAGAGGTTCTTGAGACTGCCACGCGAGAGCCCAGCCCCGTCGCGGCGCCCACAGCGCAGCCGGGGTGCCCACTTCGAATTGCGCGAGAACTGCGTAGCAGGGAGCGCTGGAGAGCGAGCGAGAGACGGCGAGAGAGAGAGACTTTTACTTGGATTTATGCTGGGCGCTGGTGCACGGGGGAGCCCCCAAGCCTTCAAGAGACCAGACTGGCAGGCCAGCAGAGGCACCCTCCGCGCCCTCCGCGACTGCCTCGGAGGCACGGAAGAGGCCGGGCGACAAACGAAAACGCGGAGACAGGCAAGCGTGGCAACGGTCAAAGATCCGCCGATATCCACCGGTGCTTAGCTGCTTGTGCAGAGAAGCAACAAAAAGGAGAGGAATTCGCATAATGAGCTTGTCGCATTGTGGGATTTCAGGCTTCTGTTGAGTTTCAATTGATTTCAAGGAGCAGCGAGATTTGATGTTTGGGGCCTTCTGATTCTGCTTCGGAAGTCTCACAATTCATACAACAAACTCGCTTTCAGCAGCACTGTGAAAAGAGAGGAAACGTCATCCTACTTGTGGAGCGTTCTCAGGGCCAAGCCTGGCAAGTTGGGGGGCCCATTTTTTGTGATTTAATTCAGTTTCTTGCCAGCTTGTACGCTGTGTATTACAGGACCATACAGGACCTATAATAGGTCCTAAATAGTCTCCGCACATTTCCCGTGAGTTTCTCTTGCACGATGACGTGAGTGGATCTCCAGGCCGATCTCGGCGACCAGACCTGTGATCGTGCGATCCCGGTCCAAGTCCAAAGAGCTCCCGGTTGAGGAGCCCTGCAGGGAAGATCAGGGAAGAGAGTCGGGAGGGAAACGGCTCCAGCGGATTTACAAAACGGGGCATTCTCCGAGAGGCGCCTGCGCCTGCGGCGGCCCAGGCGGCGGCCGCGGCTTCCTCGGAGCTCCGCGCGCGGGATGCGCAGCTCGCGCAGCTCCAGAGGGAATTGGAGGACTCGAACTTGCAGCAGAGTGTCCGCGTCTCTGCGAAACGGAGCTTGGAGCTGCCTTGCCTGTGAGAGAGGGAGAGAGAGAGAGAGAGTGTCCGTCAGAGAGGAAGAGAGTGCCCGGTAGGAGCAGCGGGTGGAGCACCTGGCCCAAGAAAAGCACTTGGCTGCCGCGAAACAGGAGCTGGGACAGCCTGGGAAATGTGTGAGCATAGCGCTCGGTAGAGTCGTGGAGTACTTAAAGGCATCGCTGTTTCTTCCTCTTGCTCTCTCTTTCTTTCTCTCTCTCTCTCTCTCTCTCTCTCTCTCTCTCTCTCGCTCTCTCTCTATCTACATGTCTCTCTGTCTCCCGGTTTGAGAGAGGAGAAGTCTCTGCTGGAAGCCAGGCCTGAGAGGGCAGCCTGAGTTTGAAAAAAATCGGCAAGAAAAGAGGAGACAAGAGTCACGGCAGAGAGAGAGTCAGAGCAGAGAGGATGAGCTCTCCCTTCGAGGCTTTCTTTGGGCGTTTCTTTACGTTATTTTTGTGCAACAATATGCGTGTGTAACTGAAAGACGCGACAGGTGTCGGGAACTGGAGGTGGCGCTGCAGGCGCGGCCGCCGCGCTCTCTCCCTGCCCTCTCATTGAGGGGCCTCTCTCTCTCTCTCTCTCTCTATCCCTGTCTTTTCTTCTTTTTCTTCTATCATTCATTCTCACATATATATATATATGCACATATACATACACAGAAATACATATATATATATATATACATACAAATTTGGAATGCCTTCTCCAAAGATTGGCAGTAGGCGCGTGCGGCGGAGCTGGAGGCCGCCCGCCAGGAGACGGCCGATCAGTCACAGCTCCGGGAAGCGCTGGCCGCCAGGTGCCAGCTGAAGTGCCCACTGTGCCCCCTCCCCCCAGCCACCCAGTTACATTTACTCTTATGATTGTGTTGTTCTTGATACTATTCTTCTTGTGATTGTTGTTCACTAAGAATCTAGATGTTTCCAACATATAAGGTGGTCTTTGCTTCAGCATCCCGTGGCTTCACAGCTGCAGCAGGTGCCAAAGCCTCGAGAAGCAGCTGAGCCACGGTGAGGCACATTACGGATGATGAATGGGGGGGGGGGGGAAGGGAAGGGAAGGGGGCAGGGAAATGAGGGCTGTTTCTGTCTGAGTCTGAGCTTTGCCTGTGTTTTGCGACGCCAGGTGCAAAGGAAGGTGGGCTGGGAGGATCCCGAGAGCGATGCCAAGGACACCCACAAAGCCACGCGCCCAGGGCAGCCTGGAATCAGGCCCAGGGCAGATCATTTCTGCTGTAAATTCCTTTGTCACAGAGGTCACAGCCTCAGCTCCGCTTAGGATCGGCCGGCCACAAGCCAGTCCGTGAACTCTGGCACCCTGGTGAGCACCGGCCCCATCTTTGCCCTCGGGAGCCCTCAGAGATTTTCAGAGGAAGAGCCCCTTCTCTCGTCACTTGGGGCACAGGGGGGGGGGACTTGGGGGGGGCGGCGCGCTGCAGGCTTCGAGTCTGCCGCTTCCCATGCTTCCCTGATCTACTGCAGCAGCGCCAACTCCCTGAGGAGCGCGACGTCATGCGACTTTTGCACTGCACGCCAATTCGAAGCTTAGACTGAAGCCTTTAAGGCAGAAGCCAAGGTCCTCTGGTCCTTAAGCCATTGCTGAGTTGAGAAGCAGGTCGGTGGCCGAGTGGGTCTTCCCACTCCAGAACCGCATCTTGCCTCCAGAGAAGACCTACGTGACCCAGCTGCAAGTTTTTGAGAGCAGCGACAGGGTAGAAGTTTTTCCCCACCTCCGGTGGTGTGGGGTTGTTGGATTTTCATCTCAACTCTTCTCCTCACCCGGTCTACTCCTAGAGACAACCCCCAAATCCCGAAGGTGGGGATGTTCGAAGTAAAATAATTCTTTTTGTTGTTTCTCAATAGTGTGGCATGCGAGAAGTACGAGAACTACTCTCTCTGAAAAGCCGCAAGAGAAAGAGGGGGGTGCGGGGAACAGAGAGTCTTGCGGAGTTCTGACATCTCCCGTATGTTTCTGCGCCTCCTAAGGACCGTCAGCTCTTGGTACCTCGGAGCTTGGAAGTTATGAGAAGAGCGGGAGAGAGGGAGAGAGAGCGACTGTTTGAGTAAGAGGAACATAGAATGCAACACTCAAGATTCTCTTCCGTGTTCGCTCTCACCATGTTGATCTTTTGGATTCTTTGGAAGGGATCTGGGCAGAACTTGGAGAGCTCACAAGCTCCCCTCCTTCTAAGGCACCAAGCGACCCACGGCGGCAGTGGCTGGAGGCACGATCCAGAATGCACGGAATGTATTCTATGTTTGCGCACATCTTCTTGCTACTGAGTTTTGCTGAGCTTTTTTTGAGTGCGCCTATTGCAATTTCCGGGGTTCTTCTGGAAAGGAAAGTCCATGTCATGTTGTGGTTGCTGCTGCTGCTTCGTTTGCTGTCGTCGTTGTCGTCGTCGTGGTGGTGGTGGTGGTGGTCCATGGCCCACCCGGACAGTCATGCACGGCAGCTTCAACAGTTTTTGTGGGATTGATGGGTCGTCTGTAAGCAGGGACCCTTAAAGCGAGGAGCCCATCAACTCAGGACCGCTCAGGGCCTATTTGCAGAAAAAGTGGTGGTGCGAGCAAACATCTGACGAATTAGACGAGGCAGTTTACGAGCAATGTCTCATGGGGAAGAAGTCAGCCGCTCAGCGGCCAAGCGATCCCTTGCGGCAGCAAGAGCCAGCGATTCTTGGAGCTGACGTTGTTCTGATCTTTATAAGAAGTTGTGGTCGGGGATGCCACTGTGAAGTAATCCCTCTTGTTCTCTGTTGTTCTCTCATTCTCATTTCGTCCGGCCTGCTCTCTCAGAACAATCCGGGGCAGTCCCTGGGGCAAAAGCGACAGTTCGACATGCCATGAAATGCCCAGCCCTGGAGAAGCCTCAGTTTTAGCATGAGGCAGGTGTAGACGTTGCAGAGTATGAGCACTGGTGCCCATCGCGCTTCAGCAGCGGAATGTACAAGTTTCGGTGCACCACTGTCCACTTATCCGGAGAAGCATTCTCTGGTGTCCATGTCAGCTCTTGTGAAGTTTCTTGTTTGGCGCCCTGGCGCAAGGAGTACATTCAGGGTTCCCTGGTGTCGCATCGACGCCTGGCAGGGAGAGTGAAAGACGCAAAGAGTGATGGGCAGCGACGAGCAGTGCTCACCAGTGCGCTCGTTGCAAGCTGTCCCAGCATGATTCTTGTCGTTGCGCGACTCTCAGGAAAGATGTACGACTCGGAAGAGTGGTGCTCGCCGCCGCAGATTGAGATCATTCGCATCTCCGAGGTCTTCAACCCGATCGTCAACAACGCCCCTTTCTGGCAGCATACGATTTACAAGTTAGAGCCAGTGGCTATCATGTCTGATTTCAACATGGCACAGCCATGGAATAGACGTTAAAAAGCCTTTCCAAGAGCATGATCCCCCTGACGTGACTTACGCTTGTTCGCAAGTCGGCTCACCCCACAAACACCTTTTGTCGGAGAAGCGAACATCACGTTGCGGCGTCGACCTTGTCGACTGAAGGCCTACTACCAGCAGCTTTCTCAGATGCAGGAGGCCCAATTGACACAATGGTGTCTGAAAGGCAAAGAGGAGCTGTTCCCAAGCACTCACCGCAAAACAACCCCCCAAATCGAAGCGGCGCAGACATGTGCGGAGCCCTTCTTTCGTGTTCAGGAGTTCGGATTCGATTGGGTTTCCGAGGGCAGAAGAAGTAGAATAGGCCCTGACAAGGCGTGTTAATGCACAGTTTCCCGCAGCTCCGAGCAGGTCTGGGGAACGGATCGTCAGCCTATTCCGGAGATGTCTCGAGCGATTCCCATCCGAACAGCCTGGGACCGCAACCGGATGAACGAGGCAAAACTCCCAGTCTCAGTGGGCTCACTAAGCACTGGGCTGTCCTGAAGGAAGCCAGAGGTAAGAGAGCGAGAGAGGCGTGTGAAGCAGATCGGAAAGCGTGCTCGAAGAGGTTCTGCTCTTCCACGGCTGCAAGTGGGACTCCCTCTTCGGGATACTGCGCCGGGCTCCTAGAGAGAGGGAGAGAGAGAGAGAGAGAGAGAGAGAGAGAGAGAGAGAGGGGGCGGCCCTCCTCAATAGAGGGGGGTTAGGTGCGCAGAAAGAAAGAAAGAAAGAGAGAGGGGGAGATTTGAGAGGGAGAGAGCGAGCCCAAAGAAAGAAAGAAGAGGGAGTGGGACGACACGCCAGTGGGATACCCCAAGCCGGGGCCACAAGCAGAGCACGACACCCAGCCAAAGAGCTTTTCTCGAGCTTTTTCTGGCCAGCGCGCACCTCTGAAGCCGAATGGCTGGGGCAAGTCCTGGCCGCCGGGCGCACCTTTGAGCCAGAGAGCGACAGAAACACGTGGAGACAGAGAGAGAGAGAGAGAGAGGTGCTCGCCTCTCTTTTTCTCTGCAGGTGAGGGCTTCGACCCACGCCTCGGTGGCATCAACACCGGTGCCGCCTTCGGCATCGGCTGCTACTTCACGACGGCCCCCCGCTCTCAAAGAAAGGGGGGGCCAGGGGGGGGCGGAGGTGAGAAGAAGCTAAGCAGCTAAGGACCTGAAGCTTGAGTGCGTGTTGGTAGCAGTTGCGTTTTGACAACTGCAACTGTATACGGTGCCCGAATGTTCTTCTAACATGTTGCGTGCAAGCAATGGAGCCACAATATACCCTTCAAGCTCAGTGAAACGGCAACCCGCGGTTTCAAGCGCCCAGACTCACGGTGTGGTAAATGAAACTGTCACGGGCGCTCGGCGTTACGCTGTCGCCCTCTCCCTCGAGAGCTCTCCGTTCCACTTTCTCATCCGAGAGGTGGCCTCCAAGGCGGATGCGTACACCGAGCGCTGGGAGGAGTGGGAAGGCAGCTCCTCCAATACATTCGATGATCAAGTGTCGTAATTTGCTCTTTGCAAATAGTGTTTTAAAGTTTCAAGAGCCGGTTCTTTTGTTGTGCTTTCGGCCGCGTTGAAGTGTTGCGGGGCGGCCTCCGTGGTCTCCAGGGCGGCCCAACTGCGAGATCCCGGCGGATTTGCGTAGCTCGGCTTTAAATTTATAAGTTCTAGCATTTCCCTGCACCTTCTGCAGAGGATTCTATTCTGCCCTCGCCCTGGTCATATTTTTGGTCGTCTGCTTTGCTGTGAGCTGGCCCATGCTGGCCCCTCATTTCCACCGAGGCTGCCTCCTCGTTGCGCGGGTGGCGCTGGGCGAGGAGGGAGCAGCGTTTTGTCGCTTTGTGACTGAGATCGGAAGTTGTGTAGTAGCTCACTGCAGACGGCAGTTAAGGATTAAGGGGGGCGACATTGCACGACGGCAGAGACGTGCAAAAAAGCATGATGACTGCTGAAGTTGTGAGATCTTTGAGCTCCGCGAAGCCGACGCCTCCCTGCGGCGGCCACCCACCGGGGCGGCCCCTGGGCCTATAAAGACCCGACTTTACAAGGCAATTGATGGTAATTGATGGCAATTCATGAGCCATATTGAGGTCCATTTTGTGAGAAAAAAGGTCCAGTCTGAGAGCCGCGCTGCTTCTCTCTCAGGCCGATGTGCGTTGTGACTCAGTGCTGGGCCCTGGCCTCAGGGACCCAGCTCCGACACAACGTTTTAATTTCCTTTTTTTCACAGCACTCAAGACGACTCAGCTCATCTTAGCTCAGCTGAACTCTCAGGTGTGCCCAGATCACGCGGCGGCTGCGTGGACTACGACGAATTCGTCATTTACAAGCAGGAGTCCAGCCTTGCGAGAGAGCAACGGCCAACAGCTCTTCTCGTCCTCCATATGTCTGTGCATACTTGTGCCCACTGGCCGCCACTGGCCCTTAGCAACTTCTGAAGTAACGGAACGCAATGTGAGAGCACCCTGTTCAGGCACAGGCCACGTCGGGGGCCCAGAGGGGCAGGTTGCGCGAAGTGATGTGTGGAAAGGGCGACAGAAAAGAGATGGAAGAAACGAAAAACCCGAGCGCAGCGGCGCAGCGGCGCAGTGGCGCAGCGGACCGACATTCCGAAGCTGAGAGCTGCCAGAAGCCAGGCGGAGTGCGGGGGGAGTTTCTGAGAAAAACCGAGGCCCCAGTTCATCGTGGACTACAAGCACCTGGACTGCTGCACCTGCCGCAGCTGCATGCGGGGCATCGGACCGTGAGGGAAGCTCCCGACATGGCACAGCTGGCACAGCTGGCGCAGCTCTCGGGTCTTCTCCAGTCTACTCCGAGCAGAAGTTTCCAAAAGAAAAGGAAAATTCCACGGCCAGAGCCCTGCATGCAGCTCTTCGTTTCTGTCTCCTTGTTGCCAGGGGGGGCGCTATACGCTTGAAGGCGAGCGTCTCTTTTTCCCCCCGTACCTGCAAGCAACCATTTCACAACATCATATTGCAACTTCTGTACGGCAAGGGTCCACATATGAGGCGTACAAAGCAGAGCTACACACGCCACGCACAGAAGATTTTTGTTATATTCATGCTTAATTGTTTATACTTAACACTTATACTATCTTATGCTTATCTCGTTTGTGTCTGTTTCTTTTCTCATATATAGATTTTTGTTTAATGGCAGAGGAAGGCCCCCAAAAAACTGCAGATGGGGATGGCTTCTTTGGTTGCCGCAACCACGTCACATACTTTGGCCGTAGCGAGCCGGAGCTTAGTCGCCGGCTAGATTGCCTCACGCAACTGCGAAGAGTATTATTTTCTGCATTTGAAGTGCTCTAAAGACTCTAAAGACTCTAAAGTCTAATCTTTTTGTGGAATGCACAGCTACTATTCTTGTGCTTGTCTGCTATGTTGTTTGTTGCTTGACTTGTTGCTCCGTTCGAAGTTTCACGCACCTTCCTCGGGCCTCTTCCGCGATCGCTCGAAGCGGCGCGGCGGCTTTTTTTAACAGCGGCACTCGAGAAAAAACGGCGGAGCTGCTGCGATGCCCCCGCATCCCGCATCAGGGTCTCCTGCCTTCTCCATCACCCTTCTTGTCCCATCCTTGGGCCACTCGCACTTCAGGGCTCAGGTGAAGCTGGTGGAACTCCAAGATCGTTTGAGCTTGCGGTTCGCATCTGCTTTGATCTCACGATTGCCGGCTCGTCTCGCAAAAGCCAATCGTGTCGCAACATCGTGTCGTGGCAGTGTCGTGGCAGTGCTGAGTCGAAAATCCGTCTCTCCCAGTGCTTTGGGCTCGGCGCAAGCGCATGCGCCTGACACGAACCCCCAGATGCGGCTCCCGACCTTCTAGGAGAAGGCGTGGCGGAGGCGGAGGGACATTGAGGGAGATTGTGCAAAAAACATGTGACGCTTCACAGGAGAGAGCCAACTTGGCCGGAAAGACGGCCGGGGGGCCCCAAAAACTCGTGGGGGGAGCACTTTGGAGCACTTCTCAGACTTCTCAACTTCTCCCCTCTTCTCTGCTTTCTGCTTTGCTCATCTCCTCCCCTCTGAGCCATCTCATCTCTCTCATCTCCGCTCTCTCTCTTCTCTCTGCTCTCCTCTTCACTGCGCTCTTCTCTTCTTTTGTGCTCTGTCTCTCTCGGTCTGTCTGGCTCTGCCTCTCTCATCCTCTCTCTCATCCTCTCACCCCTCACCCCACGAGGCGCGGGCTTTCCTCCTGGGCGGCGCGACGTCGGCCCGAGGATCCTCGATGGGCTGCGCACAGGGCGTCGTGTCCAATCCGGTGCGCCTTTAAGCTGATACTGACGCTCACTGCTGACGCTCACTGTTTTCTAGGTCGAGTTTCCCTGATCTCCCTGACCTTCTCACTTCTCACCTCGCCTTCTCTATAGGTACAGCCTGCGGCGATGGAACCGAGCAAGTCCATCGAGCCTGTGCATCAACAGTCAGAGACGTCTCTGCCTTGAGCCCAGAGACGCATAAGCTTCCAGGGACCCGCGGCAGCCTCTGGTTTGAAAGCAGCTCTCCAACCTTCCGGAGTCCTTGTGTTTGCTCTGCTTGTTTCGATGTGTCCTCTGGCAGCAAATCACTGCTTCGCTTTTCTCATGTCAGTCGGTGCAGGATGCAACATGATGGAACCCAAGTAGTATAGCACCTACTGATGCAAGAGCTCGACAAGACCCCCTCGCGCACACGGAGCCCATGAACTCGGTCAGGGGCTCCCAGATTTGGGAGCTAAAGACGGGAAGCCACAAAGCGATGAAACAGGCCTCACGTAGCTGTGAGACAAAAGTCAATTGGTCTTCTATTGCCGCGCATCCTGCCCCAAAAAGCACCAGGGCACAACGCCAAGAAGCTTCCATCGGTGGTGCCGGGGTCAATTGACAGCGGTGGCTCTCAGAGCTCCCCTCTGGCAGAGATGCACTGAAGTGATCCTTAAGGCGCCTTAAGGCATTGTCTGGGGCAGTGCTTCAACATCAAACGTGGCGGTCTTGGGGGCGTCAAGACTGGTTACTCGGCATTCTGACAAGCGCGACGAACATTCCGAAGCCAACGTACGTCCACGGTCCACGGCCGGCAATGCCTTTATGTCGCCTTACTGCTGGGCATGAAGGCTCGAGAGTGAGCGCGTGTGCTTCTCTGTCCTCTGTAGAACATCTGTAGCATAGGGAAGCCATGTGAAGGAGAACGATTCACTCATCACAGGAAACTCAGCCTGGAGAAATCCTGCCGAAAGGAGAGCACCAGCTTGCAAGAGTCGCGCAATGGTGCGTTGTGACTCGTTGACTCGTTGTGCAAGCTTTGGTTTGTGTCGTGTTTTTTTGAAGCATTGCCTCTGCTGAGGTCGCAGCCGTCCGCGAGCCTGAAGACACCGGATCATCCGGAGCGGAAGGTGAGTTGGGGCCCTCAGAAACGATACTCACACCGAACAGAGTCTGTCTCTCTCTCTCTCTGTCTCTCTCAGGGCTGGAAGCACTCTCTCGCTCTCTCCCTCTCTCTCTCTCTCTCTATCTCTCTGCCTGAGGAGAGAGATCCCTCTCTCCCTCTCTATCCTTCTCCCTTTTTCTTGTCGTTTTTCTTGTGTGCTTCGTTTTCAGAAGAACCAAAGAGGTTTAGCTTCGAAGAGGCCAGAGCAGTATCGACACATGCCCAGATGGAGCTAAGATGAGTTAAGGCAGCGATGGCTCACCCATTGTCTGGGCCCTGGGCATCTTTTCTTGGAGTCGCTTCTGAGTGGTTGCCTTCCGAATCCGAAAGGCCGGCGAGGAGTTTGTTCCGAAAGTCTCAGCTTTAGTCAACGTGAGGTCATGGGAAAGTACAAGATGAGCATGTCCAAGCAGGCGCGCTCTCTAGAGCTCTTCTTCCCAAGACAGCTCTGCGCAGTTCTCAAATTTTTTGCGAATCAGTGTGCGCTGGCGAGGACATGATGGGAGAGGGTACCTCGAGCATCTGTAGAAAAGGCGTGTGCATGGAGTCGGCGACTCGCGAGGGCTACAGGTGCACCGCATGTGCACCGCATGTGCAACGGGTGCGTGACTGCCGTGCTGTGGTGCTGAGGACCGGCACCGAAGTGGCCATCAAAGTCTACAAGGCGAGTAGGGCCCGAGATCAGGGCAAAAAGAGGGCAGGGCGCAAAAGAGGGCAGCGACTTAGGCGGCTTTGCTCTTTTACATCCATCTCTCAATGTCAATGTACGGAGGCTTTGAAAGAGACCCACAAGGGCGAGGACGTGCGGCTCCAGAAGTTCCGCAGGCCTGAGCTGAGCGATGCCCTCTATTTATATTTATATATATATATACATGTAGTGGCTTCTGCCGGCCCCATGCCAAAAGCGGGAGGAGACCTGAGGCACTCAATTAAGCCCCTGCGGTGAATCGTTTTGCAGTGGCGCCAAGCGCAACAACACGAAGCAAGCCACTGTTACCGCGCGTTCGCATCGACTTGCGCCACCTTTATTTAATCCAGGCCACGACGCATGATTTGAAAGGCCACAGAAGCTACAAGTGGCTATATAAGCTACTCGCAGAGCAGGAGGGAAGAGACCTTCTCCAAATCCGAGGACTTCCAAACCCAACCACTTTTAGATCATGCCGGTCCCTTAGAAGGGATCCAAGCACTTAAGAATGCAAATGCCAGCAACATGCCGCTGGGCTCCCACATTGGTAAAATCCCAGATAGTGCACCTAGCTTGAGGACAGAAATCCCCGCCAAGTATCTCTCTCCCTCTCCCCCCCTCTCCCTCTCTCCCTCATTCCCTCCCTCCCTCTCATCAGTGATCGCAGGCAGATAAGCGTCCTGAAGATGCTGCAGGAGCCTTTTGGAACAGTGCGCGTGCCCCGGAGGGCGGGAGGGCGGGAGGGCGGGGAGTCCACAGTCTAAGACTATGGAGCCCTCATCGAAAGTTCAGCAAACCTCACACCTCTCTTTCCACAACAAAACGGAAGCCCAGCAAAACGGTTTGAGGTCCGACGAGACGCTCTGGCACCCGCAGCTGGCAGCGGTGCGCGCTTTCTCCAGAGCTGGGTACGGAACGGGCATGGAAGGAACAGAAATCTAATCAAGATGGTTAAATCTCATCTCGAACACGCCGTGACAGAACAGCCTTAAAAAAAGTTCTAATGCGCCCCCCCCCTCCCCTCCCAAATGACTATACTCTTGTTGAAGGGGAACCTGAACACTCTGGCAGACGAAGCCCTCGAAGCTCTTCATGTCCTTGTTGGACTACAGCAAGGACAAGAGCCGCGCGCCCGAAGACAGGAGAGTGCCGTGATTTTCATGGGGCTTTGTTTTCCAGAGGAGTTGCCTGACTTCCCTAAAAAGGCCACTAATAATTTCAACCCGGATGATTTTAATTTTGTTATATTTCGCATGAATGAAGCGGAGCTCAGCAGAGCTTCTCAAAGCAAAGCGTCTGGGGGCCCATGTCTTGGGAAGTCCACGGAATGGCCGCCCCTCGCTTTCAGGTGGCACTCCAGCTCCGGATCCTACGGCCGGGGGGCCCTGCAAAAGATGCAAAGTACCTGAAGAATATATCAGAAAATAGCAAACAATCACCGCATAGTCGTTTCATAATCTACAGGTTAAGAATATGCTGGTATTCACTCTGCTTGTGTTCGGGTCTTGCGGTGGCGAGCCAGTCCGGGATGTGGGACTTGAGGACGGCGTGATGTACGTCATCACCGAGTTGGCTCAGCTGGAGACTTTGAGGGTGACGGTGTGGCGGTGTAGCTTTCGCTGCGTGCTCGATGAATGAATAGTTAGCGCTTGCATGCGCAGCCTCGGGGAGGTCCCAGAAATCAGCCAAACCCCCCCAACATCGGTTTGAAGCTCCTCCAAGGCATCTGGGCCGGTCCCACACCAGAAGGGGGGCGGGTGGTGTGACAGAAATGCGGGTTGGGATGGGTTGGGTTATTGGGGAACGAGCCCAGCGGTCTGCTTGTTCTGAAGACGCCTCTCGGCCAAAAGCCGGGTCTGAACAAGAAGACATGCGGCCGACACACAGAGCCGTAATATCGAGGAATCGAACATGCGACCATTGCAGTGGATTTTAATAGCTCTTGAGCCCTTGTCGGCTTTGAGCCCTTGGGACCGTCGGCATTGGCAGATGTTGAGCAAACTGAGGTACAGCCTGAAAGACTACCTGGCGCTGCGGCGGGATCAGGGGAAGAGCCTCTCGCCGGGGCGCCCAGCCGGCTACCTCCGGCTACCCGAGCCGAAAGTTTGAAGAAGAGCGCGCAACGAGAATGCAGATGGGACGGTGTGAGGGTCGGACTCGGTTTCGGCTTTGGGAAGAGATGGAGGGGAGATACATGAGCGTGGAGGCCGATAGGCCCGAGAAGGGGAGAGCTGTTCGAGCAGTTCTATTTTGTTGCTAGTGTTTGTTTGTATCAAGAGGTAGCAAGAATGGTAGGTGAAGTGATCAGATAAGAGCTAGGACCGAATTAGGAGTCAGAAGCTGAGATTCGTGACTGCCGAGGCGGGGAGCAGTGAAGAACATCAGCAAGGAGCGGGGAACAAATAAGACATGAGGAGATGAAAGGGTTTGCTGGGTTTGCGGAGGCAAGACTTTTCTCACGACTCACGACTTCAAATGGAAGCTGTAGTAGTGGAGCTATAGCGCTGCATGAGATGGTTAAGGCGGCAGATCAGAACGGTGGCAGTCGCGTTGCGCGTGCTGGACAACAGGCCATCATCCTCGTCGTGGCGGGTCTGCACGCCAAAGGGCCCGGGGGCTTAAGTGACAAGTGAGCTTTTGAGTACGGTGCGCTTGAGAGATCGGTGGCGGGGCGGTGTGATGCGATTGGGAGAGTTCTCTCGCTGGGAAAGAACGGAGGCTGGTGCACTTGGACCTGAAGCCAGAGAACCTGATGATGTTCAATGGCCACGGGATTGCAGAACAGAGCCTTCTCTCCCTCTCCCTCTCCCTCTCTCTCTCTCTCTCTCTCTCTCTCCTCTCTCTTCTCTCTCTTCTCTCTCCCCTTCTCTGTCTGAGACTCGCTCCCACTCTGACATTCTTTTTCTCCTCCCTCATTTGGCCCCTTGCCACTTTGTGAGGCATCTCAGTAATTTGCCTCCAGCCTCTGAGGTCGGCTGAAGCTGATCGACGTGGACGGCTGCGTGCCCTGCGGCAGCGAGGTCTCGATCCAGGCCCCCTCTCCCCTCTGCCCCTGTTTTCTCTCTCTCTCTCTCTCTCTCTCTCTGTCCTTTGCTTGCGAACTTGGGGCACAGGACTCCTCCATCTCCTTCTCCCCGTGCTACTGCGCGCCCGAGTGGGCTCGGGCCTCAAAGAAACATCCCAGCCAGCATTCTTATAGCAGTGAGAGACCTCAGAGAGACCCGAGGCGCGGTTCCTCATTGAGGAGACCGAGTGCAGCGCTTGGAGAGGAAAAATCTCGGAAGATGCGTGGCATGCAGAGAGAGAGGAAGAAGAAGAAGAAGAAGGAGAAGAATAATCAGACAGTTACTGTAGAGAGTCCGAGTTCGAGAGGGGCACAGATGTTTGGTGACCTGTGAAGGTCGAAGATCACCGTGCGCCCGCATCTAGATGTGGCGGCCTGAAGCGGAGTGGGCAGGTCTCACAGAAGACCATAGAAAGCCCGGAGCCCCTTGCAACCATCCGCACGGTCCGTACATTAGGTCTGGAGCGTCGGAATGACCATCTGCGAGTTGGCAACTCTGGATGCCCGAAGCTGAATGGGACGCATTATTAGGTAAAATCAGGTGCAGAATGCCAGTTCTGTTTAAAGTTTCGAAGGGGTAAGAAGCTACTCGGGCGAAGCTCTGTACCCTCGGCCCTGGGGGGGGGGCAAGAGGGGGAGGGGGCGAAGCGCAAAATTGGTTTTGGAGCATCAGACGCATGAATGGCATGAAGCGCATTGGGAAACGCACATGTGCTACATTCTGTTCACATGCATACATCCACAAGGTTTGCTTTGCACTTGGTCCGTATGTGTGTGTGTGTGCGCACGTCCCTGGCTGGCCTGGCTGCCCGTTTGTATGTGCGTGTTCGTGTGTGTGTGTGTGTGTGTGTGTGTGTGTGTGTGTGTGTGTGTGTGTGTGTGTGTGTGTGTGTGTGTGTGTGTGTGTGTGTGTGTGTGTGTGTGTGTGTGTGTGTGTGTGTGTGTGTGTGTGTGTGTGTGTGTGTGTGTGTGTGTGTGTGTGTGTGTGTGTGTGTGTGTGTGTGGGTGTGTGTGTGTGTGTGTGTGTGTGTGTGTGTGTGTGTGTGTGTGTGGTGTTGTGTGTGTGTGGTGTGTGTGTGGTGTGGTGTGTGTGTGTGTGTGTGTGTGTGTGTGTGTGTGTGTGGTGTTGTGTGTGTGTTGTGTGTGGTGTGTGTGTGTGTTGTGTGTGTGTTGTGTGTGGTGTTGTGTGTGGTGTTGTGTGTGTGTGTGTGTGGTGTTGTGTGTGGTGTGTGTGTGGTGTGTGTGTGGTGTTGTGTGTTGTGTGTGTGTGTGTGTGTGTGTGTGTGTGTGGTGTGTGTTGTGTGTGTTGTGTGTGCTGTGTGTGTGTGTGTTGTGTGTGTTTGTGTGTGTGTGTGTGGTGTGTGTGGTGTGTTCGTGTGTGTGTGTGTGTGGTGTGTGTGTGTTTGTGTGTGTGTTGGTGTTTGTGGTGTGTGTGTGTGTGTGTGTGTGTGTGTGTGTGTGTGTGTGTGTGTGTGTGTGTTGTGTGTGTGGTGTGTGTGTGTGTGTGTGTGTGTGTGGTGTGGTGTGGTGTGTGTGTGTGTGTGTGTGTGTGTGTGTGTCTGTGTGTGTGTGTGTGTCTGTGTGTGTGTGTGTGTGTCTGTGTGTGTGTGTGTGTGTGTGTGTGTGTGTGTCTGTGTGTGTGTGTGTGTGTGTGTGTGTGTCTCTGTGTGTGTGGGTCTGTGTGTGTGTTTGTGTCTGTGTGTGTGTGTGTGTGTCTGTGTGTGTGTGTGTGCTGTGTGTGTCTGTGGTGTGTGTGTGGTGTGTGTGTGTGTGTGTGTGTGTGTGGTGTGTGTGGTGTGTGTGATGTGTGGTGGGTGTGTGTGTGTGTGTGTGTGTGTGTGTGTGTGTGTGTGTGTGTGTGTGTGTGTGTGTGTGTGTGTGTGTGTGTGTGTGTGTGTGTGTGTGTGTGTGTAAGCGCAACTGAAAGGCCGTGCTGAAGCCCATGTACGCCAACTTCCTGCGCAATGGCCACTCCCACCGAGAGGCCCCAGAGAAAAGGAGACAGACATGGTCTTGAAGCAGAGAGAGCAAGGAACAAAAGCACCGACAACAACAGGGAAAAGAGAGGAATTGTGTCCTGTGGTTCCTAGCCTTTTTTGATTTCGCATTGTATCATCTTGACTCGGTTGACTGCAGGAAGCTTGTTTGTGAAGAGTGTTGACTGAAGCGCAGTTGCTTGGGCCCTCGCCAGGCCGGCTTCCTCTTCATGGATTGGCTTGGCAGCATTGCCAAGGCAACTTATTGCGCCCCTGAGAGAGACAGCCTCTGCTCTGGAAGGGGAGGAGGAAGGGAAGGGAGGGCAAGGAGAAAGGGATCACGTATAGGGGGGGAAGCGACTTCTGAGACGTGAAGCAGAAACATGGGGGAGCCGGGCACGGAGGCACCAATCCCGAAGAGCATCGAACGGCCGAGGTCTCAGAGGTCACGCGCAGGTCACACGCAGGTCACATGGGAGCCCTTTTCCATTTTGCCACCCCCCTCCCCCCCCCAACCCCCAAACCCCCCCAACTGCCTCCATGCGCCGTGCGGAGAGCTGCCGGGCATCTCGTTGCAGGTTCGACCCGACCTTTCACCAGATGCTTATTGGGTCCCTCCTTGTGTGTGACCACACCAAGAGGCGCATCGCAAGACTCCTCTGCTCTTTTCTCTTCCGACTCTTCTCTTTGAATGCTCTCTGGTCGCAGGAAGACCTTGGCCCAGTGCCTCTCAGATTCTTACCTGGAGTCGGACAAGGAGAAGGCGCCCTTTTGAGACCCCACAGTCTCTTTCTACTCATCTTGGATTCTATCGTGGTTTTGTTGAGCCTTTTTCTGCATGTTTGTGCGGGGGTGGTGGGGGTCTTTTTGCTTTCCCTTTTCACGGAGGCAGACTCTGGAAAAAGCGCTATTCTTGATCTGTTTTTAGATGTTTTTTTGTTTGTCCAGGTTGCCAACCACACCTCCGCCGTGGAGCACAGCCATTCGGACAGGGTCTTCAACTGCAATTCGCTTGTGTTGCCTCAGTCCTTAAGTCGTAGCTGCTTGGACTTGCCATTTAGGTCCATGCTGTGACTGTCAAAAGCTCGTGAGTCTAACTCGCAACATGTGCGGTATGACATGGTGGCTTTCAGCCACTGTCTCTGCTGTCTCAGCGCTCCTTTGCTCCCCATTCAAAAGCATGAACGTCGCTTGAAAGCCAGGCAGAAGGCCGTTCGAGCACATGTGGGCGGGGTGCAACAAGTCTAGCAGAGCCTAGCAATTTTCACACGTTCGACATCTTCGACCACTGAAGCTTGAGCCGTTGAGATGTCTTTGAGATGTCTCGAGGGTCCAGCGGAAGACGTCCCTCAGGAGGCCCCACCCTTGCCGGTGCACGAGAAGGTGGACCGCACCACGAGAAACCGGATCGAGGACACCTCCAGCAAGGCGCGTTGGGGGGCAGAGATTCCCTGGCTTTGACTGAAGGCGTCCTTATTCTGTCCCTCATGGCCTCTTGTGATGCATCGTTGTGTGGCTCTGGGGGATCTCCGCTCTGCTCCGCTCCGAGCTCAGGCGCCGCTCTACAAGGGTACCTTGTGGAAGCTCAACACGGACGGGAACCCCCAGGAGGGACCTGAGGGAGGGATAGAAAGGTGTCTCGGAGCTTGTCTTGAGTCTCCGGATGTCTGATCAGGATCCGACGCATTGGCTGAAGCGGGACATGTGGGCCCCCGCCTCGGAGAAAGAAAACATCGGAGAGAAAGGGGAAGCACAAAAAAGACACCGGGGTGAGAGGAGAACGGGGAGGAAGAAAAACGAGGAGAGAGGGGAGCGGAAGGGATGAGAACGGCTGCGAGAGGATTTAGATTTCCAAAGGTGAGAGGCACTATGGCTATCCTGGCTATCCTGTGAGTAAGTGAAGCGTTCGGTTTTCCACTCAGAGGTTCTTCAAGAGGTGCAGACTATTTGAGGTGGCCTTCAACGGCTCTTTGTGCTATTTCAGCATCAAAGAGAACAAGCGTCAGGAGCTCAGCTGAGACACCGACAGAGAAAGAGAGAGAGAGTGAGAGAGAGAGAGAGTGAGAGACAGAGAGTGGAGAAGAAGCTGAGATCTGTGTTTTCTTCGAGGCTTGGTCCTCGTGGATGGCTCGAAGCTCACGGGCGCCAAGGCCACAAGAGGGCTCGGGGACTTGGGAGAACTCTGGCCCCGAAATGAACGATTCGTTTTGCAAAATGAGACATGGAAGACGATTTGTCGTTTACACTTACATGTTGGCATACTCGCGTACCTTTTCATCGCCTTACCAACTTGTAAAACGATATGGGGCCATTTGCAGTCGCCTAGCGACGGGGAAGGAGCGGAGGCATGGAAGTGAAAAGAACAGATACAAAGACCGAGCAGAGAGCCAGCTGTCTCTCTCTCTCTCCCTCTCTCTCTCTCTCTCTGTCTTTCGCTGTGTGTTATCTTTGTTTTCTTTGTGTTCATTCTTTATTGGACAGAGAGCGCGACCAACTGCCTTCCCTGAGAGGTGACCCCGCTGGTGGGCGCCGCGCGTGAGTACGCCTTCAGGTGAGCGCTCTTGTTCACTCCGAATCGCCGAGCCTATCTCTTTCTGTTCTCTTTTTCTTTCTCCTCCAGACTTCCAGATCTTGTTATGCCATTAGCCCTCCTGGCACAGCAGCACTCGCACAGCAATGTTTGCCATGTGCCCATGCCGGGTCTTCGTACTTGGGAGATGCGCTCGGTTCAGGTTGCAGTGCTACAACCACGACGAGCATGAGAAGGATGCCGTCGCAGCTCACCCCCGACTCCACCCGTTAAAGTCCAGCGAGCACGAGCCTGCGCTGCTGTGCACTGCTAAGGGCCAGTAGGGCCAGTAGGGCCAAGGTAGGCCAGTAGGGCCTGAAGGTAGAGAAAAATCTCTAACAACTGAGAACTGAGCCGCGTGTTGGGCGCGAGGATGTGAACATCGGCTTTTCGGCCGAGTCGCCCGAAGAGCCCAGGGCCTGGAAGGAGAGAGTCTCAAAAAGTCAAAAGAAAGGGAGAGGGAGTGAGTCGGAGTGACTCGGAGTGAGAGATGAGAGATGCGGGGAGTACTTGTGAAAACTCGTCTTGGTGAGCTCAGCTCTCGGCTGAAAGAACTTAAGGTACACGAAGTGGACGGGGCTCCTCATGCACACCGCCAACATGGACGGCCAGGGGCTGTGAGCCAGAATGAGGGCAGAATCATCTGGTGCAGCCGGTGTAATAAGGAGAGTCCCACCGCACTGTGCATCATGTAACGGGCGTTGCTCTCAGGTGCCATCCAGACGATGCGGCTGGGTGGGGACGTGGCCGCCGAAATCAAGCAATTCAGGCGGAAATAAACAGAGCCTGAGGGGTGGAAGCTGCGTGCGCTGCGTGCCCCCTTTTCTCCAGAACGAGAATCGAAGTAGAAGAGTAGTAGAATGGAGAGGGTCGAAGGAGAGGGCCGAGGTGCGGACCAGGAGCGGATTCACCCGCTTCCGCCGCTTCCCGCTATCCTTTCGCACTTTCTGCACTTTCTCCCCCATTCCGTCTTGGCATAAAGGGGTGCATGCTGACTCGCAGTATAATGAGTGGATGGTCAAGGCGTTCTGTGCATGTGCGCCTGTGTGCCTTTGTGGTTCTTTGAGTGTGTGGTTGGTGTGGGGGGTGGTCTGAGCTGCGAGGCTGAATGTGAAGAATCGCCGCATGAAGGTTGGCGAGGACAAGAAAGATCAGCCGCTCGTCGATGGGAAGCCGGCAACAAAAGGCGGGGGAAAAGGCCGAAGATGCGCAACCACAAGCTGTCGCAAGACCGAACTTGAAAGCAGGCCCGAACAAGCCCTAACCCTCTCAACAACCCCGAAAAACAGCCACCAAGCAACAGCAACGATGCAGAAGGGACAGCCGCGAGACCTGCAAAGAAGCGAAGAAAAGCTAACTTACTGCTGGCAAAGCTCACGTTCATGCAGACAGCACGTGGAGAGTGTGGAGCTTGCTTGTTACTATACAGCGCATGTCGGTGTGGAGCAAGTCACTTGTAGCAGCAACTTGCCGTGTGAGGCCATCGTTTCTCGCTGCAAGCTAGGCTAGGCCTAGGCGCTTCTGCAAGATTCGAAACATCTTCATGTTCAAGAAACTAGGTGCCCATGCCCAAATGAGAGGCTGCTCAATTCTTTCCGCCCTGTCATTTTGGAAGAAATCCTTTACTTTTTCTGATTTTAAGAAAGGACTGTAGGGCCCTGGTGCTCAGTTAAGTGATGCTTAGCATTGTTCCGTTTAGCCGGGGAGCTTCTTCCAGGCTTCGTTGGATTTGCTGAGAACTCTGAGTTAGTTCTGCCTTGTACGCATTCCTTTCTGCAACTTCCTTTCGGATCTTGATTGGCTTCCACCTTCTCGTCAGTTGGGACCAATTTGTCTATGTAAACGTAGGCTGCGGCCAATGCACACGCAATCACAAACACATATGCACATGTACATATGCATGTATGTGTATGTGCCTATATTTGGGTTTACACTTGTGCGCTGTATCTTTCCCGTCAGTGGTAGTGGTGGAGTTCTCTCAGCTCCTTCTGCACCTCTCTCTGCCTTTCTTTCTCTCTTTCTTTCTCTCTTTACCCCCTCTCAGCCAAGGTTCGCTCCGGTCTTCAAGGCCAAGCTTTGGAAGGTCAAGGCGGCGCAGAGAGCATAGGAAAAGGGGTAAAGATGGATGAGGGGCGAAAGAGAGAAAAGGAGAGAAAAGTTTTCGAAAGTGGTTCCAGCAAGTAAGAAAGAAGAGGACAAGAGGAAGGGAGCGAGATTGCACATTTCTCTCCTCTCCTCGCGAAGGCAGATGGCGACCGACGGAAACAGGAAGACTGGTGGCTGGCCCAGCATCTGAAAGAGCATACGTGCTCCTCGTGCTCTCTCCTCTCATCCTCTTCAGGCTCTCCGAGACCTCCCTCATCCTCAGCCCCCTCTTCTTTTGTTCTCCATTTCTCCATGTGTTCGCTGGCTTCGGACCTCTTGGAGGTTCGAGCGCGAGATGTGGATCGCCAAGAACGGTAGCCTCGTCTATTGGAGCAAGAAGGAGGAGAGAAGTTAAGACTTCAGCAAACGGAACTCTTCGCAAAAGGCTACCCCAAAATCTTCGTCGCTCGTCTTCCATGCTCTCCCCCGAGATTCCGCCTGACAGGACCGTGACCTGGTCTACTACACCTCTGTGGCTGGGCTGCGCTTGAAGTTTGTTCCTTTGAATTTGGGCACTGGGTGGGGGGCGACGCGAGACAAGATGAGACAAGATGAGACAAGATGAAGCAAGGAAGAACAGGAATGGCACTCCGAAGTGAAAGGGCTTCAGTTGTCTGAGTACATCTACAGTTGGAACTGAGTTATGGCCGTGTGCCCTTGTGACATTAAGTCAGGGGAGTTTGTGTAACCCGCGGTCCAACCCAGCGTCTGGGGCCCGGCGGTTGTTTGAGCAGCTTGGGTCTCGGGTGGTGGCCTCTCCTCGCTTTTCCTTTCCTTTGATCCGTCTCCAGCCTGTGTTTGCCCAATCCCTGCTCGAGGATGACATTGCCCGCGCGACGATCACGTTGATCCCCAACGATGACAGCTTCATCCCTTGGGCTTTCCAGGAGCTGAGCTTATAACACGACAGAGAGAGAGAGGGAGAGAGAAAGAAGGAGAGCTACGCTGGCTGTGCTCTCTTTCGCATAATGCGAACATCTTCGCCACATCACATGAGGTCCACCTACCCCCGATTGGAGAGGTGGAGTTCACGCCCGGGGAGTTTGCTGCCGAGTCCGAGGCCCCCTACTCCCTTCCTTTGGCCCTTCCCCCCCCTCCCCCCCTTCTTTTAGGAAATCCAAGTATGCAACCTTTCTAAGATGTTCTGAGATAACGAAAGCGAGAGGGGATGGTTGCCCTCTCCCTTTCTCTCCCTTTCTCTCCCTCTCTCTCCCTCTCTCTGTCTCTCTCTCTCTCTCTCTCTCTCTCTCTCTCTCTTAAAAATCTCCCCCATCAGTGTTGTCTTCACTTGCGCCATCTCAGGCGATGAGAGATTGTTGGATCGAGGAGCTCGGCGCCCAAGGTGATCTCATTGCTATTTGCTGATCCACTTGTTCATCTCCCCTCTCTCTATGTACTGTATCTTTCTCTCCATCATAGAGGGCTCTCATTTCTTTCTTTAAGCAGCACGGGTTGCAATGATGGCGCCAGTGGACCTGCAAGCCCCCCGCACCTGTCTGAGGCTGAAGGAGCGCGTCGCGGAGCCGCGGTGAGGGGGAGCCCCCTTACAAAAAAAAGCATGATTGAAGGCGTCCCTCGAAGGTGGGGCCTTGGGGGGGGGGGGGGGGGGTTAGGGGGCTTAGGCCCTGTAAGGCCTCCGCAATTTTTGGCGGCCCTCCTGCTGCTGTCTGAATTCTCCATGCCCTGCAAACCTCCTGGGAGGCGTGCTCAGGAGCAGAGCCGCACCAGCAGTGGCTGTGAGAGAGGGCGCGTAGTGAGGAGGGAGGGGGGCGGTGCGAAAAGCCTGCCCTCCCCCCCCCAAAAACCACATCGGACGAGAGGGCAAACAATTACCTGTCCCCGAATGTCCCCGAGCGATACGTTTCACAAATGCCTGCGATGGGGTGTGGAAGTGGCATCCTGCAGTGCAGTTCTCCGGCAGATGCTTAGTTTTTCATATTCATGTCTGTTCACTGGATAGCGCAGCCGTGGAATGACGGAATGGATCATGAGATAATATGAGGTGATATGAGGTGATATGAGCCAACTACTGACGGTGTTGATTCCCAGAAGCCGGAGTCGAGTTAGGGAGTTTTTTTTGCCCACGGAGGCTGTGCCGGGTCAGCTTGAAGCTGCACACGCGTGCGGAGCGGCTGGTATTTGAATGCACCCCTTGCCAGAAAACACTCGCCCAAAAAAAAAAAAAAGAAGGAGGGGCACGGCTTGACGGGCGTTGGCGTGCATGGGGAGCCCCTGCTGCGGCCCTGCGGTGAGCGCGTCCTGCACTGCGCGACCTGGCCCCAAGCTCCACGGCAGGTCCTCTGGCAGAGAGTCAACTTGTTGAAGCTCTGGTTGCACCATGCTTTTTCGGCTCAGTTGGTGCACGGAGGTCTCGACAGTCCTACTTACACCAGCCAGTTACAGAGCCATTGATACATATCTGTATATACACTCATACACAAATGCAACTGATGCCTTTTCAGGGCCACTTTAGTCTGCTCCTTGTGGGGCGCCTTGTTAGTGACTGAGAGACTCTGACTGAGAGCACATATAGGAAACTTCGATTGTGGGCCGCAGTCTCAGCTTCCCTTGTCTTCCGATCTGGTGTAGTGTTTGCTTGTTTTTATGAAGACTTCTTGCCCCAAGGAAGAAGGGGAGAGAAGGGAAAGCCGAAGATTTATGGACCCCCCCTATCTCACCTTAAATCCCCCTTGCAGGCTGGCCGCCTCGGCGAGCGCCCACAACGGGCATCAGGAGACAGCACGTCTCCAAGTGCCCTTTTTTTACTGATTTTTACAATGTTCCGTGTGATTATACACATTTTTGTTGGGGGGGGGGGGGGGGGGAGGTGAGGTAGGCGGGCAGCCTGCAATGTCACAACATCGTCAACTGCAACATGCAGGAAGATGCTGCCAATTTTCAAGGATGATCCTGAGCTGCGCGCACATGCGGGAGACTCAGTTTGATGCATATGCCTACGTGGGAGGCAGGGCCTGCTCAGCGACCCACACAACTGAGGAGTCTCACATCATGAACCGCGTCAATGCCTTCCGAGGGTGGAAGGAACTGTGCGAGCCCCAGCCCGCGAAAGGCTCCCTGTCTGCGCATCTCTCTGAGTCTCTGAGTGGGGGGAGCCCTGTTAGGGGCCTCAACCCCTGACAAGATGCTGACCTCTAGCCTCGACCCAAAGTCCTGAAAACTCTCCCCCCCCCTGGCAACGAAATGCCCACCCTGCCATGCAAAAGAAAAGCCTGGAAAAGAAAAGCGCGGGACCATGGAACCTTGCATTCAGCTCCAAATATTGGGATGCTCCATCATGGAAGAAGCGCTTGGGGAGATGGCATACGGAGCGCAGAAGAAACAACGAGATTCGAGAGGGGACTTCGTGTCAGGTTCGTGTCGCGTTCGTGTCAATCATAGCTGTTTCTGTTGCCTGTTGCCTTCCCCCCCCCCCCCCCCCGAGGTTTCGGAAGTCCGAGGGTGGCATCGAGGCCCTGGCCGAGGGCTACAAGACCTTCGGCTTCCAGAGGCACTCGTAGAACATGCCGAATCGCTCATTAGTAAGAAAAACAGATGAGTGTAACCTTAAAACAGATGAGTATAGCCTTCTCACCTTAAAGGCTCCTCCATTATACTTTTCCCTCTTAGCATTCTCAGACGGCTGTGTTTTGTTTGAAGTCCTCGTCGGCTCGTTTTGAGTTTTGAGAGATGTGGGTGCCAGGATGTGGTGATGTTAGCTGCAGTCAGCATTCCTTGTCTTTGGCTCTTGACTCCACTCTTCCCTCTTCTCCTTTTGGTTTGGGAGGCACGAGGCCGAGAAGAAGTGGACCTTCACCGAGTGGCTGCCGGCAGCAAAGAAGGTCTTCCTCGTAGGCGAGTTCAATGGCTGGGAGACTTGGGAGCAAAAAAAAGGACTTGTTACTGGCAACGCTGCAGACATGTGGCGTTCAGCGTTCCAACTGTTCATCTGATCCTTCCCCCCGCCGTCCGCTGGCGTTAAGTCATTTTGCGCGGTATATTAGTCACTTGAATTCCTTGGGAGATCTGTGAAACTCGTTGAGACGACGACCAAGGAGAAGACACATCCTCTCACGCGTTGCAGGGCCCTTGTTGCATGGTGCACGGGCGGAGGCAGTACACTTTCTCACATTCTTGAACAGTGGTTCTGGACGCGGTGTCCATGTGGGAAAGTGAGACAGATGTTGTGCAAGGGGAAGGTGTTGGCACAACGGTAGTCCGCGGGCAGAATTACAGGCACACTGCGCGCCCAGGCGACTACGGCCGATGGACAGTCGAGCTGCCCGATCAGGTCGACGGTCGATGGCTGGTACCTCACAGGTTCGGAGCCCCATCAATTAGTTCATCATTCCCAAACCTGAGCCCATCCTTAGCCCCTTCCTCCCGAGACGTCAGATGACATGATGTGGCCGGCTCGTTGCGTGCGTTGCAAGCCTTTTTGCCTGCAGGTCGCAAGTTCGTCAAGTTCTCAGAACCAACAACTCGTCAGAAGCGGCGGCCCATTTTGTCTTGACTATAAGGACTGCGAGTGGAATCGTGTTCCGGCACGTTCGACAGGGTCCCCGCATGGACGAAGTTCGCAGAGGCAAAGGAAGCAAGGGCTAAGATCCTTCCAGAGCTTCTTCAGAGCCTTATCGAAGCAGGTAGTAGTACACCGCATGGAAGAGGATTGTTTCATCTCTAGTGGACTGTGCACACACTGCCTCTGTGACAGAATACCGCGCTCAACGTCTACAACGGCGTCATGTGGGAGCCCCCAGCGGCGGAGCGCTACGTCATGCGCCACGCGAGGAGGGGCGTGCCGGGATGCATAAATGCAAGCATGGCGCAGGAACTCACACAGTCTGTTGACTGCACATCGGATCGAGTAGGGTTCATATCCGCAGGCCCCGGCGGCCCCGCGCGCTGAAGATCTACGAGGCCCACGTGGGCGCCCACGTGGGCGCCGACATGGGCACCGAAGCAGAAGCCGAAGCCGCAGAAGCCGGCGTCCACACGCCGCCTGGCCGAGACTGGAAAGCGGGGGTTTGGGGTTGGGGGGCCAAGGAATTAAATCTTGCAAGTTTGTTTTGCATTGTCGTCCTCGGTGCCTCTCGGAGCGGTTGCACCCACAAACATCAAGAGTTCCGAGAGAGGGCAACCACCAAGGACCTGCAGAAGATTTTTTTGAATATGCGAGTTCAAAACGAGCAAATCAAGAAGGCATCGCAAGATAAAATCTAGATGTGCTTGTGTGCAGCTAGCAGCACCAATCAGAACAGGAGTGGAGCATGTAGCATGGGCTGGAGAGACGTATCATCAAAGCCAGCCTTTTGCGCTGCTTACAGACATCGCACGTACGTACGGAAACGCAGACAGCCCTGAGCCCTAAAGAGTCCGGAGGCTTGGGAAAACCCAAGGGCCGTGGAGTTGGGGTGCTTGCTGGGGCTGGGTGGCGGGGTTTGTTGTGAATAAAATAGTCTTTCGGCCCGTACAGAATAGTACTAAAGACCGAATACAACGAGCGCTATAATCATATTATGCATGCGGTCTTTATAATTGAAATGATAACAATGTAATGCAGCACGAAATGAATGTCAAAGTGTTGTCCGTTCGCTTCGCTCTCTGGTTTTATTACTAACTAGTATGAGTGAATATGTAACTCTATTTATAGGGTCTTTTTCATCATCAATCTATTTCACATGTTCTTTCATATCTTCAGAAGATGGAAAGTTGTGTGTTGTAGTGAGTGAATGGCATGTGATGCAACATCAAATGCCGGGCTTTGCCGTCCTCATCCCATGGTCTGAATATGAGGGCTAGTTGTTTGATGTCATGCTCAGAAGCACAAAACTTGTGCTGATTCTTGTCGTACTTACATTGCTTATCCCGTGCTAGAATAATTCCAGGTGCCTCCAACTGTGGTTGCCTGGCCTGGCACCCTAAACAGAAGTGGCGGCAAACCTTGATGTTCTCCCGACTCCCCTTTTTGTCTGCGATCCCTTCTAACGTCAGATCAAGTAGGTTTCTTTAATTTCAAGCAACAAGAGAGGCTCCACTGAGGTATTTGGACTTCAAGGCACAGCTGCCGAAGATCAAAAGCCTGGGCTACAACGCCGTTCAGGCTCGGGGATGCACAGAGGGGCCACGAGAGCGCCGGGCAATCAGGGCGTTTTTTTTTGCAACAGTGTGCTACTCCAGTAGACTCCTGGTCGAAGTGGGCATGCGGTTTTTGTGCTTCTTGCGCCAGCCAAGGGTCATCCTCCTCCCCCCGTGGAAGACATTCCTAAACCCTGCTTCTCAGTTCCTAGCCGTGGCGGAGCACTCGGACTACGCCTCCATGGGCACGGGGCTAAGCAGAGAGTGACTTAAGCTTGGAGAGGGCCCTCGCAGAGAGAGCATCGACCATTTCCAGGGAAAGGAAGAAGGAGAGGAAGCTCTGACTTTCTGACTCTCTCTGTCTCCCCCTCCCCTCCCTCAAAGGAGTCACAAGAGCCGCCACAAAGCCAAAGACATAACGTGCGAACACGACAGTGTGGAGCTGAGCGGTGCCCTCAACAAAGCTAAGGTCAGAAGGTAACGAGCTTCTTTGCACCCTCCAGCCGCTTTGGGACACCCGACGAATTCAAGGCGGGGGTTGGACGCCTCGAGATCATCTGCCCCGGACACGCAGCACACGGCATATCAAGTAGAGAAGCCGACGGCTGAGCGTGACTCACATGCTGCAACTCTTGTGACTCACAAATACGACTCCATTTGCTCCCTTAATTGCAGGAGCTGGTGGACGCGGCACATGCGCACGGCCTCACCGTGCTCATGAACTTGGTGCATTTCCAGCTCTCCCCGCACCAGCTCCACACTGAGAAGCTATGAAGTAGGATTTTCCAAATACTCAATGTAGCCGCTCCGCAGGCTGTGTCTTGGGTGTCGTGGTTTGTCTTAGGTTTGGTGTGTGTGTGGCTTGGCTCCTTCACAGAGCTACGACCCGTCAGTGAGTCTGAGAGAGCCTCATCCCTTGATCACTGACCTTTCTCCACACGATCTTCTTGCCTTTCACTCTTCTTGCAATTTTGGCTTCACGGGTGAGCCGGAGGGCCTATAGTCTTCCTATATCGAAGTCCTTCCCTCTTTTTTCAATATTCGGGGGGAGCGGTTGAAGAGAAGAAGAGCTAGGCTGGACGGCATCGCCGATATGGACGGCACCGACTGCTGCTACAGGCGCGGAGGACACAGCAGAGGGCGCAAAAGGCCCTTTTCGTAAGGTCCTCCCCTATACACTCTCCTCCGAAATAAAAGAAACAATATCAGAGACACGTGTCTCTCACCTCGAACTCGTATTTCCGATAATCCGAATAGTCATATGAGTTCATGTTTTTGAACTCGCTTGCAGGCACTCGGGAAGCAAGGGCTGGCAGGAGTGCTGCTTCAGCTCTCCAGCCGCTGTGCGCCATTGCGTGTGTCAGAAGTTGGCATCTGCAATTAACATCTGCTCATTGAGAGCATCGTCAGGTTTCTTCTTCTTGATGTGGCGGAAATCTTGCTGACTCAAATCCTCAGTTAACATGCTCTGAAAGGAGCAAACCCGTGCGGCCTTGTTCGACTACAGCAAGTATGAGGTCCGCGCTCGAAAGAGTTTCCAGGGGAGCGCTTCTGTCTCCCCAGAGTGAGCGACAAAGGAGTTTATTAGGGTCGGGCCCAACAGATAAGGGGCAGCGGAGTGAATTGAAGATGGATAGAAGAGAGAGCGATCTGAGAGCGTGATGGAATGGACCGCCGTGCTCGCTTCACGCCTTCGACTCACCGTGACAAAAAAAGCGAGACAGAGAGGGAGAGAGAGAGAGAGAGAGCGAGAGAGAGAGAGAGAGTTGTAGGCTGAAATCAGCTGAGCAACCTGGATTTGGGGAAGCTAGTTTGAATTGAGGGGAGGGGGATAGGGCTTCCGCTTCGAAGTGTCACGGAAACTCGCTGCAGACTGGGCGCGCCTAGCGCGCGGGGGGGGGGGGCTCGCTCCCCTCAAGCCCCGAAGAAGAAGAAGAAGAAGAAGAAGAAGAGAGTTGTAGGGGAAACATCAGGAGATCTCCCCAAGTTGACACTGTTCAGGTGCTCCGGTTCCTTCTTTCCAACGTCCGCTGGTGGATCGAGGCGCAGAGGGTCACCTCAAAAGAGCTGTGCCGCAGTGCCAGAAAAGAGCGCCCTGGGCCGTTGAATCACGTAGAGTTGAGAGGAGTACGGCGTGGACGGCTTCTGCTTCGCGGGCGTCACCAGCATGCTGCCCGGAGCCCCGAAAGGGAGAAAGGAGAGAAGGGACTTCTGTGGGGCTTCGAAGGTCCCCGTTCGGACCCAGGACCTGATAGTAAGGCCTCTGGTGGACATGAATTGCAACCAAGAGACCAAGAGGAAAAGGGGAAAAGGGATGAAGATAAGGAAGGCGGCCAGATTCGGCCAAACAGTGACGGATCATTCGACGCAACGTAGAATTGACTTGGGCTGTACCTTCCCGCAAACCCGCAGGGGCATGGCTTCCGGCTTCCGTGCACAAGAGGCATGTCGAGAATTTGCAGAATTTTCGCCAGCGGATGATATCGTCTCAAGTGCAGTACTGAGGAGCGTACGATAATCGGTGTGACCTGCGTTCTGAGCACTGGGTTCACTGGCTGGTAGATTGTTACGCGCTCCTTGTCTATGCACCCCTTATGACGGGGCTAGATGAAATTATGAAATACGATCCTCTTCCTCACATCTTCGAAGTCCCTCCGCCTCTTCACCAGCGCAACACAGCGCAACCTCTCGCGGACCATTTTGGCATGCCTCAGCTCAGCAAGAAATTGAAATGGGGTGGAGGCGAAGTGCATAAGCGCACCTGCGTGCCCTCTCGAGCGTTGCCTTCCCTCCCCCTTATCCTTCCTACTACGACTTTCCTCGACTTAAAACTTGAGAGGGCGGGTCGCGCTTTTTCGAGAAAAGGCGGCGCCACAGACTGCTTGGTATTCGTTCTCGCATCCAAGGGTTGCGTTCCTTACCGTGCATCGTTCTTCGTTTCCCGACATCTTCTTCTTTACTTCAGAAGAATGAGCACTTTCGAGAGTAAAATGTTGCTGTAATAAATGGGGCGATGGCTGAGGTACCACTCCCATGGTATCGGCAAGTCCTTTTCCTCCTCACAGGAGCCGGGACCTCAAGCGCACAGCTGCGCAGCCATTGCCACTTTGTCCGCTGCCTTCAAGTTTCTCTCGTGCCTTTGACCAACTTTGACCCTCAAGGCATTTCGGCTGGGATGCGGACCTCGAGCCCAGACCTCGGACAATTCGGGCGGGGTGGGGGAGTTTCTGCACGGTGGGCGCTCCTGGACCATATAGGCCACGAACAAAAGCTTCACGCCACGCTTCTCATCGGAGGTCTGCCACGTACCTCATGCTGGCAAACCACCTGGTGAAGCGGCTGCTGCCCTCTTCTGGCATCACTCTCGCTGAGGAAGAAGGGCGTAAGCCAAGCTGCTCCACAACATGTTTCAGTCTACTGGTATATCTGCTTATGGCAATTGATCTAATCCTCTACCGCCAACCTACTCCTCTTCTGACAAGTGAAGATTTCTGCTTCTTGGCTCTTCGCTTCTCTCTCTCTCTCTCTCTCTTTCGCTTCTCTCCTCTGTCTCAGAGAGTCTGAGATTTTAATCGATTTTCGGAGGACCACTCCGGGATGCCGGTGCTCTGCCGAACCGCGGAGGATGGCGGCCTTGGCTGCTGGGCTGTACCTTTAAAGACACGCCCACACAAACATCCCCAGATTCAGCACCTCTAAATTCTTGAAGCAGAGACAAAGGGGACGGTAACAAAAGGGCGTCTTCAATTCCGATAGGGTGATTCCTCTGAGTGCCGCGATGTCGTGGTACTGATTTTGAGGAGAGCAGCGCTAGTGGCCAAGAATTCCTTACATGAATTCACTATCTTCCTCCTTTCTTTTCAACGAGGCTTCGACTATCGTCTGGCGCCCTCGGGTCCCAGGCTTTGGGCGAAGATGCTCCAGGAGTCCCCTTGCCCTCCCTTCCCCCAGAAAGAACCGGAGCGACAGAGAGAGCGAGAGAGAAGAGCAAGCGAGCACGCCCTTCGGGGCAGCCCCTCAAGGGGGCTACGTGCGTGTTGGAGAGGTTTCGGAGGTTCCGGGGGTCTTTAACGGGTACAGTGTGGAGTTGAACCGCAGCCAGGGAGCAGCACGAAGTCGTACAGCGGAATAGGACAGGGGGAAGGGAGCCAACCGGCAAGCTTAGACATGCCTATAAGTTACTAGAGGGAACAGAAAGGGTTCTGGGTGCCGAACCAGATCCGGGCGTGCTTGTGCTAGGGGGACCCCTCATGCCCAGCAGAAGAAGAAGAACAACAAAAAACAAAGGCAGCAGAAAGGAGAGAGAGTCGGTCGTGTGCAGAGTTCTTGTCTTCGCAGCGTGGCAGAGCGGAGCGGAGTTGACTCGGCAAATTGAGGAGCCCGACGAAGCCTGGAACGTGACCAACATCGTGCGGGCCATGCGACTCCCCCAGAAAAGAGCGAGATGAGCACGAGCACGAGGGAGAGAAACAGAGCAAGAGAGAGAGAGAGAGAGAGAGAGCGTGGGAATATTTGGGGTCATTCTGTGGCTTTGGGCATTCAGCCCAGACCATTGCTTCAAACTTGGAGGAGGGTCCAACATGAAGAGGGCAAGAAAAGGGCATGAGAGGGGGGGCTGGTGGGGGTGGGGAAGTGTGCTGGGAAGCTCGGGAATGTGTCGAACCGGTGACAATGCGAACGTTTTGGCCAGATATTGGCTCGGCGGTTTCAGAATCACACATGGGGATGTGTGGAGCTGTTCAACAGTCTCTCGCTTTCCTTTTCCCTCTCTTGTTTTGGGGAGAGGGTTGTTTTCATGAGCTTCCTCTTGCGCTGTCGCGACTTTCCCTCCATCTCTGTCTGGCCTCGCTTTCGGATGTCTCCCAGGAAGCCACGCCGACAGCAGGACCGACATTAATGAGAATTGACTGAGAGCTTGTCGGCGTCTTCACACAACCGCAATCGTCTCCGTCCTCATCTTCGCTTCTTACCATCTGTTGCAGGAGCCAAGCATCTTCTACACCGAGTCCCACGAGGAACGGCAGAGATGTTCGAGGGTTGACCAGAAAGAGTCCGAGGGTTTATCTCTTGTAACACGGTGAAGGCGAAGAGAAGGCGATGAAAACGAGGGAAAGTCTTTCCTTCTTTCGCATGGGAGGCCCTTTCGGATTCCAAGACGCTGGGCAGTTTCTTGCTCGGCCCCGGCTGCACGGACCCCAGACCTCGAGCAACTCGAGCACATTCGGGAAGGTTCACATTGATTTCGGAGACCCTACGCAACTGCCAGTGCCAAGACTTTTCTTGTTTTGGATCACTTGTTCGCTCTCTTGCACCCTTCTCTCGAACACCGTTTGTGCGATGCTCAGGCGACCAAGAGCGCGGGCTGGCACTGCACAAGCTGCTGAGCGCGGGCGCCCAGAATTTCCCACGGGACCATCACCGCGGGGGCCCTGCCAGCGACCTGAAAGCGCCATGTTTGCCAGGGATGGTCACCCTGGGACTCAGCGGCGAGGTGCCTTCCGATGCCTTCCGATGCCCTTCCGCCTTTGCATCCCAGAAAAACAAGAGGGATCACCTGGACAACCTGGATCACCTAGCTCACCTCCGCATAAGGCTTGGAGCCTTTCAATAATTGGGTTCTTTGGTGGTTTGTAGCCTCGCCCTTCTGGAGCCATACCACAACGATGCAACACTTTTTTGTCACAAGATGTTACATGTGTCGCCCGCCTCCGTGCGAGCGGTCGAAAAGTGGGAGATTCAGCACTTTTCAGCGAAGGGCTACTTGAACTTCATGGGGAACGAGTTCGCCTTCCAGGAGGCATTGAGCATGAGGCTCTCCAGTGGCCAGCGCCCGAAAGTCTGGAGAGAGACAGAGAGACCCTCTCTTCTCCATTCTTATTCTTCTCCCCCGTTCCGCGTTCCTCTATCGCCCGTCTGCCCCCCCCCCCCCCCCCCTCTCCCTCTCCCTCTTTCCGCTTTCCGAGGCGCTTTGAGCGGGAGCCCCGGAAGCCCAAGCAGCTGCTTCCTGGAGGCGCGCGGAAGCTGCTGACCCGAAAAGCAGAGGAAGCGAAGGAGAGAGGAGCTTAAGAGTTGGACAAAAATCGGGGAGAAGAGGGGAGAGAAAGACGAGGAGGAAAGGGGAGAACGGGGAAGGACGACATGGGGAAAGACGAGGAGGAAAGGTTAACAAGGGTGCAAGAAGGGGATTTCTGAAGGGCCTGAAGAAGACCAACTAAGAGGGATGGGGGGAGGGGTCGCGTGGTGAGAGGCCTTCGACGAGGCCATGATTGCCCTCGAAGCGCGCTTCCGGCCGCGAGCCCAGGGCCCCTTCGAATGCACAGACGCAGACACAGAGGCGCGGAGGCGCAGAGGCGCAGAGACGCAAAGACACGGACACATCGACACATAGACACACCCACACACCCACGCAGAGGAGGAGGAGAAGACACACACACACACTCACACAGAGTCTACCTCGCAGTCTCCCCACCTCCTTTTTCACACAGGGGACAGGCAGCGCATCTTAAATCATCTCGACTCTCTTGCCTCTCCATCCTACGCCCGCAACTAGAAGAATGATCTTGCTGTTCTTGGATGTGCAAAAGGGTTTTGAATGGGCCAATACGTCTCTGCCGGCAGGTTGTTTCTTGTAACAGTGAAATCTTGGAATTTGGATGACAGCATCGGCATCCAACAGCTCAATAGCTGTGTCGTGGTCCAAGGTGGATTCCAAAGGTCTTCAGAAGCAAACGTCGCCTGATCTGTGCCAAAGCCTCCCGATCACTTTTCTGCAGCAGAAAGACACAACCTGCTCAAGTTTGCATTTCTTCTCAGAGAACTTCCGACGATTCTTGCCAAAGCTTTCTGCTTTTTTTTATGGTGTGGCGAGTGTTGTTTCAGTGAAGACGCCGGCACCACTTCAGCAGCTGTTGGAGCTTTCTCCACAGTGAATCCTCTGGCATGCCCAGGGCCAGGATTCCGAGCGAAGAGTCTTTCAACTCCCCTTCTGTGGGTTCACTAGAGATGAGTGGCACTGAGCTGACGACCACCTCGACACCTATAGATTACGCGCCATACAGCTTACCAGGCAGTTGCCACCTGCGGCCACAGGAGTTGCCCCAACTTGCACCAACTTGCATTTCTTTAGGGCAGATCGAAGAAGCCCGAGTGTCAAAACCATGTTGGTTTCAGAGTCCCGTCTCGGAGTCTCCTTTGGCTCCGCGGCCCTTTGACTATCACACCCTGGCGCTGCGGCCGTCACATGCCCCAGGCAGCACCTTCACAGAAACAGAAGAGTGACCGACTGATTGGGGCTTTCGACCTCCGTCCGCAGAAGGGGAGAGGAGGCTGCCTGGCGCAGTGCGCAGTAAGGCAACATAGCAAAACCTTATAGTTACCCATGGCGAGTTTGTGCAGGCTAGAGCGGCTAGACGCTAGACCGAGGTTTGCCTCCTCATCGTCCACCGTGTCCCGCAAGGCCGCGGAAGAGAGGGGAAGAGGGGACAAGAAGCGGAGAAGAGCGAGGGAGGGAGAGAGAGAGTGAGGGTGTGTCGGAAGGAAGAGATACACACACAGAGACAGAGACTTCAGAGACACACACACACACACACACACATCAGAGACAGGAGGTACGTCAGGGAGAGAAGGTTGAAGTACTGACAGGAGGAAGCCTCTTAGACTTGAGCTGTTCGCTGTGCCAGGACGACTCCGACAAAGTGCTCGTCTTCGAACGCGGCGACTGTGCCTTCTCGGCAATACTTGTGTTGAGAATGGAAGGGCCTTCTTCTGGGGGACTCTTGAACTTTGGGGCCTTCGAACCTTCGAGGCCTCTTTGCCTTCAACTTCCACCCGACGCGCTCCTACACGGACCCTCTCCCCCCAAGAGAGCTACGAGTCGAGAGACCCATCTCCTGCATGGTGGGCGGTCATGGCGCTGTGCAAGGGGCCAAAGTCTCAAAGTCCAAAGGCCCCCTTCAAGCCTTCCCCCTCCAAATGAACACTTCCTGCAGGAGTGCCGCGTCAGCCATTCTTGGAACGAGCGCCTCCGTGTCGTGTGCCTTGGCATTTATATTGTGCACATATGCAAGAAAACGCTAAGTGCCCTAAGTGCTATATGTGTGCCAGCTTTGGCTACATTTTCTGGTGCCGGTGTCCCGGCACCATGGCTCCCTTTGACTGAGCTGCTCAGGCTGGACTCTGACGAAGCACGCTTCGGTGGAGAGAGCCTCGGAGTGTTGGATCCTGTTGGCACACTTGCTCCAACGATTGCGTCACCCGATAATCTTTGGAGGAGAACGAACGGAAACAAGCATGAACAAGCCCGAAAACCTGAAGCATTCCTACCTAAACGCTGAGGGTCTCAGAGATCGAAGTTGTGAGTGTCTCAGCGCAGATAATGAATCGTGCAATTCGCGCGCGAGAATTTGAAGTTTAGGGTCCCCGGCAGTTGCCTTTTCTTGGCTGGCAATCGCGATTCTGCGCTTCTGTGCTTACAGTGGCGAAGTAGAGTTCAAGTAGCCCAAATGAGTCTATATGGAGGGCAGGTATCGGGCGCAAAATGCCGCAACTATGTATGAGGGGCACCGGACAGGTCAGGCCCAAGAGCAAGAAGACCCGCAGTCATTTTGTCGATTATTTTGGTGCTTCGAGGTGTGGTGGCCTCTGTTCAAGTAGTATCTGAGCATCTGAGCATCTCTCAGCATCCTCCGAGGCCAGGACCGGCTGCGGTGGGCACATGACGAGGCGCTGCCCAGCGATGATGCCAGGCGCCCCCGAGTGATGGCTGGCCCCTCGCCCCTCGCTGACTCAGAAGACTCAGGGCCAAAGATGACAGACACCTGATGCTTTGATGAGCCACTGCAAGCTCTCAAGCTCTCTCTCTCTCTCTCTCCCTCTCTCTCTTTTTGTCTCTCACATGGGCTTCTTTCCCCACACGCCGGCTGAGAGGTCGGCCAGGCTGTCCCTGCCCAGCCGAAGCTTCCAGGCAGGAGAGCCTTAACTTAAGAAAGAAAGAAGTGAAGAGAGTGCCACGCTAGTAATTCAGCCGTATTTCGCCTCTATATGTTTCATGGATCTACTGTTAGTTTTTGCCGTTTGCTTTGCTGATTGGAGTCTCTAGGTGGTTTCTGGCTCCCTTTGTTTGGACACCTTCGAGCGCACGGTTGTGCCCAGAGCAGTCCCCGTTTCCAAGCGGAGATGTAAACAATCTGCGCGGTGCCTCGCACAGTGTAGGGACTACGGTGTACGGGTACCTCAAAAACACCACATCAGGTGTTCCTTCTTGCACAATGAGAGGCTCTGTTGCCTCTCCAGACTCATGTGCGGGTGCTCCTTGGAGTGTTTGTTTGCCTTGCGCCTCGTTGGAGTCGAGAAGCCGAGTTGAGAGTGATGACCCCCGCAACCCGCTCGCATGTTTCCAGGGTCGAGAGCAAGCATGTGCATTTTACTCAGCGCCCACCTGCAGATGATCCGGGACAAAAATCAATAATGATAGCCTGTGCTGGCAGCCGTGTGTTCCAGGTGCTGTTTTTCATCACGTCTGTTTGTCGATTGTTCACTGGTCCGGAGCTGTGCTGGCGTCCGCGTCAGGTGTTGGTGCGATTGACTGCTATATTGGGCAACAACTTATCTTTGAGATCACTTGCTTGTTCGCCAGGTTCACCAAGGGAATGTAACCTGTCCCGTGTGCTGGACAACTAATGTTCGGTACTGATGGACGAGCTCGGGGACCGGACAGAAAATTTCAACAGGGCACCTGGTACAAACAAGCATAATTAATCATAATTAGTATTAGTATGCAAACATCAATTTAAACGCAGATTGTGTATGCGCATCCATGCATCGTCTGGGGAACCCATTCTCCAGGCAGATCTCGGAACGGCCCCCACTGGGGCACACACCCAAGGGTTTGTTGGAATAAATGCCTTATAGAATCTTTTTGGACATCTTTTTGTTCGCTGCCTTTGCACTTTCTCTCGTTGTGCCAGGTCCTGGTGAGGGAATCGCTCCTCGAGGGCGGCGTGGTGGCCCCTCGGATGAGCCTAGAACGCCAAGAGCAATGCATCAAGCGGCATACAGAACTTAAACTTTTGGCCTTTGAGTGAGGTGCGGCTGCCGAATCTTTCCACCTCGGCCTGGCCCTTCCCTGCAAATGAGCTCCGCTTGCTCTTCCAGCCGCTCCTGCAGACTTCGGAGAGGACTCCTCTCAGAGTCCCCCTTGGCCCGTGTGCATGAAGGGGTTCTTTTTCATGGGGGGAGGTCTCAGAGCTGGGGGCAAAAGCCAATTAAGAATCCAAAATTAAGAGAGACGTGTTTTCGCGGAGGAGGCCCTTCGAGGACCAGGCCACCGAGGTGCAGCCAGCGAGCGAGAGCGAGAAGGAGAGAGAGGGGAGAAAAAGAAAAACCCTCTTAAACGTGAAGAGTAGACGAAACAGAAGAAGGAACACAACAAGAATAACAAAAGAAGATTGTGTGTGTGTGTGTGTTCGCACCTGCGACTCTTGATGGGAGCGCTCGGAATGCTCAGACACATGCTTGAACGGGGCCTTGCTTGTCCGTCCAAGCTTAGCAGCCTTAGCGAGTGTTCCTCTCTCTCTCTCTCTCTTTCTCTTTCTATCTCCATCTTTATCTCTATCTCCATCTCTAGTGCTGTCATTCATCAAGTTGTGGTGCTTCGAAGTAGCAACCTCGCTCTGCAGTCATGAGTGCTGTGGTGTGTGGGTTACGAGCTGGGCAGCAAGGGCAGCAGTCAAGTCCCTTGTGAAAAACTAAAAATCTAGCTCTATCTCTGTTCTATCTGACTCGGTGTTCTTCATATCGTGTTTCAGCAAGTTGAACTGTTGCGTCGCGTTGAGCTTTTTGGAAGATTCTTTTGTTGCGGCGGCGGGGAAAGCAGACGGAAACAAAAGCCGGAGAGAGAGGTGCGCTTCACGGCATCGGAGGGCCGGCTCTGCACTCGGCTGTCTGGGCCCAGCGCCTTCAAGGCGCGACCCTCCCTGCTCCCCCTTCTCCCCCGTCTCTCATTTTTGTCTCTCTCTCTCTCTCTCTCCCTCTCTGTCTCTTTCTCTCTCTCTCTACCTCCTCTCTGGCTCCTCTCTGCCTCTCTCGACCTCTCTCGCTCGACCTCTTCCTTTCATATCAGGGCGCATTGGCACCCTCAGAAGTCGGAGTTGGCCCCCCTGTAGCAGCAGCGCAGCGTGGTCTGGGATCGCTCTTGTGTTACAGGCCTATCCCTGTGCCCCCTGCCACAGGTGTATTGGGAGGTCCAGAAAGGGCGCATGGCGCGCGGAGCACCGGCCAAGGTCTTTGGGTCCTTGCTTTCCTGGGTAATAAAGAGGCCATCATAGTCTCTCTCTCTCTCTCTCTCTCTCTCTTGGGCAAGGTGAAGCTTCCTTTTGCGCTGGACATCTACCGAGTGCACTTCCCGGGCACCTACGTCCTGGATTGCTTCGGGAACCTCACCTGTGCTGGAAACAGCGATGACAGCGTCCAGGCCGAGAACGTCGGCTCCCCAGTCAGGGATTCGGGGTCGAATGAAAGGGTGAGACACTATGACGGATTGGCAAGAAGACCTCAAGTAAGCGGAATCCCAACCAAATCCGTGCCAGACCTCCGAAACATTCCGAAGAAGACATTTACGCGACAGAGACTTGTACCTGACAGCAGCTGTAGAGTTGGATCATGAAAAACGTGCAGGAATATTTTGTACACAATGTAAACGTGAAATAATAATTGATGATTTATCGGAACTCTATAGGTTCTCCCCTTTAGAGTTTTGAATGTAAACGTGAAATAATAGTTGTTGATTTAAATCGGAACTCTCTATAGGTTCTCCCCTTTAGAGTTTTGTCTCGCGTGCTCGTGTTCTTGTGTTCTGGATCGCGCTTTTTTGTCCTCATCACACAACGGGCCATCGTCGGAGCAGAGGCTTTTGAGCCTTGCTCTTGTCTTGAAAGATGGACACGGGAGCAGGGACGGGGGCTGGGACGGGGGGGACAAGGCAAGAAGCCAAAGAGCAGACACGTCAAAGCAAGCCGAGCCAAATCAGCAGCGAAGGAGCCAGCGAAAGAAATCACCCTAGAGACAGAAAGGTCTGCACGATATGGTTGGGAGAAAGATGAACACGGTCGAACACTGTTGCAACTGAAATGGGGCTGCGCCATGACATGCTCCAAAAGCCGCCATCATGTTTAAAGTTGTCACGTTTGCGTCACCGTTCAATGCTTGGTTCAGTAGCAAGGCATGCAGCATGTTTGAAGTTGTCGAAAATCTCGGTATGGTTGGCGACATGTGGAGTCTCTGCTGAGTTAGTTGCCTTAAATACACTTCGAAACGCTGCAACTTACCTTTTGAGAAGGGCTGCACCTCGAAATTGTCCGAAATAGTTCAACCTGCCCTTCGATTCGAGCACGGTGCACGTTTACATCATCTTCATCTTCTGAACAGCTGCAACGGTGTCACGCACTACTTTGAGCCTTCCCCATCATGCCGGAGATGCGAAGCAATCTGCGAGATCCTTTCCCCTTTCCCCTTCACATGAAAAAAGCCACAGGAAGAGATTCTGATAGACCGCGCAACCGTGTTGAAACCATTCGCAAGCCTAATTTGTGTGTTGTTCCTCACTCGGCTTGCCTTCCCGGAAAGCAAGTTGAGCTGATTTCACGTTAGCTTGGCTCTTACCCGGACTGGCCTGCTGAGGATGTGCTTTGCGAGGCAGGGCCACTGCAGAATCTGCAGGGCATCTTTCGAACACGTCTTAAGTTGGAGTCTGTACTTCTCTGAAGCACGAGAGCAATCTCCGAGCCTTCTCCGAGCCTTCTCCCGAGCTCTCAGGGCGACGGCGTGCCTCCAGGCTGCAAGGACACGCCGCTGGCCCAAAGCCGGCCCCAGTACGTCCGGCTCTAAGACTCTAAGCTTTGCCCGGGCTAAAGAGAAGGTGAGAGCAAAACTGAGACGAAGCTTCTCCGCAGAGGTTCGCCCCCAGAAGGAGGAGAAGCCCGAGCCGAAGCCCGAGCCGAAGCTGGAGCCGAAGATTGAGACGAAGATGGAGACGAAGCTGCCGCCGAAGCTGGAGGATGAGGTACGCTGTCGCGCGTGTTCTGCCATGTCCCTTTGATCTGCCCCAGGCACTCTTTAAAGGGCTTCTCTGGGGGCTTAAGTGCTCGTCAGGCTCCGCCGGCTCCGCCGGCTCCGCTGGTCAGGGAGGACTCCTTGAGGGCGCAAAACTTCCCCACGTCAGTGATCGCCACCCTGCCGAAACTGTCCAGAGAGAGAGAAGAGAGAGAGGGAGAAAGAGAATTAAAAAAGAGAGATATAATTTGATATAATGATATAAGGAAAGAAAGATCCCTTTTGTTGGTTTGGGTGGCACGGTGGCGCCGAGGAAGTGGGCCATTGCCGAGAGGCCAAGCATTCTTCGACTACCTCGGAAAGACTACCCTGTTGTCTACCCTCGCATCTCTCTACACACCACATGTCCGGCAGATAACGCTGTGTAAGCAATGTCGCTTGAGCAGCCTTGATGGAAATTGGCGGACATACAGGCGTTCCTCAGATGACACACCTCTCTGCTCTCGAGCAAAAGGCTCTCCATTTACATCCGTGTCGAATGTAAACTCAACGTGCGCATTTGTGCGATGCAGTGTCTGTTTTGTTGTTTCGCTTCCTGTGTGCGAAGACTCTCACGATTTGTTTCTACACCTCTCCATCTGTGTCTCTTCGGGCTGTTTCCGCTTCTTGGACCCCTCGGCTTTCGACTCTCGGCTCTCCCCCCATCTTTCCTCTGGTCCAGGTGAAGCGCCCAAAGCGCCGCGCGATGAAGGCGGGAGCTCATCTGTGAGGTCCATGCCCAGAGAGGACTTCAAGCAAAGAGTCTTAAAGATGGATGAAGAAGGAGGAAGAGGGTCTGTCTCGTGCCCTCCGTCCTCAAACTCCTAGTGCAGCTCGCGTAGGCCGAAGTCGAGGCATCAGCGGAGGCTGTGGAGGTGATGGGTTCTGACATGTTCTGTCTGCTGCGTTGATGTCTTTGTGCTCTCGCACTTCTCTCACCTTCTCCCTCTCTCTCTCTCTCTCTCTCTCTCTCTGTCGCTCTTTCTCTTGTCTGGTGATAGAGGCGAAGCGCTGCCACTCGGCATCCCAACACCGTGCTAAGAAGGCCGAAGAGGACATGATGGGGGCCATGATGGGGGGCATTGGCGATGAAGGGTCGCAGTTCCGATGCTGAAGATGGAAAGCTTCTGATCCCATCTGAAAATTTCCTTGGTTCCTGACTGGCTCGGAGGAGTCATCTGGGCTGTGCAAGGAGGCCACGCTGCTTTTTCTCGTGCCATCAAGAGAGCAAATGTCAGACGGCCCACAGGCAAATAAGGGCGATGTGTTCATTGTTCATTCTTGTTCTCCAGTTCTATGTACCCGACATCATGCCCCCGACTTTTTTTTAACCTATTGCTGCAACACGTAAACGGCACCGATTTCTCCTTCCTGTGGCCACATCGCCTATTCAACTGAAACTCCATCGTTCTCGACCGGGCAGCCAATAAGCCGTCAGCTTAGTGCGAACATTCGTCTCATCTATTCATCCTATCGTCAGATCGTCAGACCTTCCACATTGCTGGTTCAACAGAGTTGACGCGAATGCAGACGTTATCGCAGTGGTTGTGAGCTACGGACGAAGGGCTTAGACTTTCTCCACGTGTTGTGCCCCGAACAACGTTAACCATGCAAAGTGCTGCAATTGCGGGGGCCCAATGTCGTGAACAAGTCCTTGTTTCCCTACTGAATAGTCAGACTGTGCCTTGCTGTCTTTTCGAAGAAGATGGACTGGTTGAAGTACGTGGCAAGCCGCCTTGTGTTCGAAGGATTTGGATTGGCTGCAAGCCAAGAAGATGCCGCTGCAGGAGCTCACATGTGACAAAACAGAGAGACACGAATTGCTTGGAACTGGCAGTTTCGAGATTTTGACAAAGGCCGCAGAGCATTAGTGACACAAAAAAAGGTCCTTGGATTCAGAGCCCACAGTTATGCGGCTATGCGGTATTCTTCTGTGCAGTCTCTGTAAGGACACGGCGGCTGGTCAGCCCGAGCCAGAGCCCCAGGCGCCCTCCGTGGTCTCTGTGGTCACCGCCTCCAGAGCGCAGGACCCGAGAAGGGGAACCATTTTGGGTGTGGAAAGAGACCTACAGTGGACCTACAGAATATGCATGGCGTCACAGACTGACAAAACCATAGCGACATGGTGAAAAAAAAAGCCGAGAACAACGCAGTCTGGAAGTGAAGGCAACCTCTCCCCTCGAGGGGAGCCAGGGACCCCATCTGACTCATGTGACCCCATAGTTCTTGTTGGAACATCGTCAAGATGCCCCTAGCAGTCGGAATTCGGCTCATCGCGTGGCTGCGCGAGGAAAACGCGCGGAGAAGGGAGAAGAAGAGCTCGAAGAAGGCACCAGCCTGCACTGCAAGCACCTGCACTGCAAGCACCTGCACTGCAAGCACCTGCACTGCAAGCACCTGCACCTGCGCATGGCTTGCTGGCTTTGATTGGCGTTCTGAGAGGAGGCGGCAGATTTCTTGGGCTTGTGCCCAAAGGAAATCACCCTCCAGCGCTCGGAAAAGCCACAGGCAGGGCAGCTGCGAATTGCTGCGAAGCAGCAACCTGACATGCAACCCTTTGGGGTGCGAACATCTGCAAACCCGGTGTGGACCGGTTCTCCTTGAAGCTCATTTTGATCTTGCGGCTGGAAAATCAGGCTAATTACTCGTATGCCGCTGAACAGCCGCATCCGGAGCAGACAAGCTGGAATTGACAGAATCTTGGGGTTTGCAGGTCACGGAAGTCGAAGCGTCGAAAGTGGAGACACCTTTCGCAGAGAAGAAAAAGGCACGCGGAGTGTCGGGCATGGCTGCGACAGCTCAAAAGGGACCTGTCGCCATTTTGATGTGTACCCGGCCATACGAACGCAGCACCATCAAAGCTTGCGCTGTTTTGTGGAAGCAGCCATGCCGCCTCACGTACAGCATGCGCAGGTCACGGAAGTCGAAGCGGCAAAAGTGGAGACACCTGTAGCAGAGACAAAGGAGGCACGCGGAGCCTCGCGCATGTTCGCAGCAGCTTACGGAGAATGTGTTTTCTTCTCAGGTGAAGCGCTCCACGTCCAGGCGCCGTCAGAGGAAGGTGGCGGGATTAGCTAGTGGAGGAGCGAGAACTTTTTGTAGGCTTCCCTTGATGACTTGATGATGTTGCAACTCCGGCTGCGCAGAAGTTGTGTCTAGCGGCTAGCGGCTTCCTGTGTCGGGAATTCGGGAACCTGTCTTGTTGACGCATGGCACGTTTGCACTGTGAGCAAGTTGCAGAGGTCGAGGCACCAAATGTGGAGACACCTACAGCAGAACAACAGGAGGCAAAGGAGGCACGCGGTGTCTTGCACATGGTTGTGACTTGCACATGGCTGTGCCTGTGCAAGCGGCGTTTGTCAGATCTCACGCCTGCGGCCTGGGCATCGCGAGGCGAAGCGTACGACATCCAGGCGCCCTCCGAGGACCCCAAGGAAGGCGACTGGGGCGCATTCCATGTGGACGTTCGCTGATGTGCTTTTGACGGGGTGCCGCGCAATTCTCGTTGCTTATGTTGCTTATGTTGCTTATGTTGCTTGGCGCATGGTGACATGTGCAGTGTGCCCGGAGGTCGTGGACGTTGAGGCGAAGGAGACACTGACATCAGAGACAAAGGAGGCACATTGGGGCACCGGGGCACGCGGGCGGGGGGGGGGGGGAGGGGGTCCTGCATTCCTGTGCAGAGTGCTGCGGCAGCTCATGGCACCTGTTCGGCTCCCGGCAGGTGAAGCGAACGACGTCCAAGCGCCGTTCGAAGAAGGCGACAGTGCAATGGCTCCCACAAGTCGGAAAAGGATTTCCTTTGCGGTTGCTTCGAGCCATCTTGTGCTTCGAAGTGGGCGCACATGTACGGATCATTTGAACGAAGCCGAGCTCAGACGCAGATACCCCTTTTTTGCTGGCATGTCCTCAGGCGGAGCAGTGCTCCCGTGAGGCCGGCATGCCGCTGTGACATGCTGTGGCCCTCTGCCCTCTGTGCGGCGCCTGTAAACATCCCCGTAGCTCGCCCGTAACAGTCATAGTCACAGTCGTTGATAGTCTACGCAGTGCAAGCATTTGAAAAGATGGGGCGTGCTGTGAGGCCTCGGTGACCTCGATGGCTTCAGCAGCCTCGGGGACCTCGGCGACCTCGGGCGCTTCGAAAGCTTCGAGAGCCAGCTCACGCTCGCAAGCCTCACGGGGCTCTCGGGGCTCTGCCTCGGCGGCCTCGTCATCCACCGCAGAGGCCGGGGGGAGTGGCTTCTTATGCTGCCGCCTCTCTCTCCTCTCGCCCTGCTCACCTTTTTGTTTTGTTTGCAATCTCGCTTCTCTTGGCCCAACCTTTCACGCAGAAAGCACAATTCACAATTGCACAAGCCAAACACAAGCCATGCAAGACCGAAGGCTCCCAGAAAGGCTCTAGTTCTTAAACGCGGGACATGCAAACTCGGGGCACTTGATATCTGAAAGCATCTAGGAGTACATCTCGACTTTGCCTAGAGCAGCATTTGGAGCTCAGAGAACCCTGCCACAAAATTCTGAGCATCCCTGAAGTTCCCTAAACCCAGAGAACCGAGCTCGGGGTCCTGCTCATGTCTACGGACTACAGATATCATTTGCCGCGGGGCTCTGACCATTTTCTGCCTCTGCTTTGAGGTCCCACCGAGAGCATGGAGTGGACGGCCACCGCGCAAGGCCCCGCAGCTTCACATCGGCTTCGCATTGGTAACGGCCTGTAGGAGCTAGGGGGCTTTCCACGTGGCCTTCCACGTGTTCCATCGCGTTGCGTTCCGTAAAGTTGGCATCTTTCGACGCACTTCACCAAGATCACAGGCATCCACCACAGCGCGTGTTGAGCGAAGCGAGACGCTGCGGCGGTTTCAAAAGCTCTGTTACCGGGTGTCGACTTAGCTGAATCGCACCTTGATGGATTGTCGGGAAGCTGCGACAGAAATGCTGCTTCAGGAGTCACCTGTCAGGGAGCCCCCGGTGGCCTCCGAGCAGCGGCACCAGGCCAGCATAAGTGTTTGCACGTGGCTCCGCCTTTAACAGCTTTTTAGCAGCCTCAAGCACTGGTAAGATGTCTTGCTTGCTGTCGAGGCTCCAAAGACGCGACAGGCGAGGAATCCGGGCAGAGTCGGGGATGGCATGTGCTGAATCTTGTGCTCTCATTCTTGCATTCGTGACAGCAGACAGCCTCCTTCGCAGTGGACACATGTTGTAGTTGTTGAGCGACCGATTATGTCTGTGCTTCAAAATTGCAGTGCGAATTGGAGTGGACATGTTTCTGGGGTTGAGCGAGATCAGCCCAGCAGCATTCAGCCCATCAGCGGGGCCCGCAGAGCTGCCCAGGCGGAGCAGGTCTCCCGTGAGGCCTGCTGCTGTGATCCCGCCGTATGCCTCTGAAAGTCCGTAGTTATAGCTCCGAAAGCGACAGTGAGTACAAACTGTTTGCTTCTGCACACATTGACTCTCACACACCCACACGAGCATGCGCACCTGCACGCGAACGACGTATACACAATTGTGCAACGCTGAGCACGCTGCTTGTCCGAGGCCTCGGTGACCTCGGTGGCCTCGGCATCCACTGCAGAGGCCGGACCGTATCTAAGGTGCTTGCCATCCCTCTCATCTACGTCTTCCTGGTTGTCCTTTCTAAGGCCTCACCGAGTGCGCGGAGTGGGCGACCACCACGCATGGCCCCACCGGCTTATTCGCAGCAGCTGCGCATCGGTTATCGGCCTGTAGGAGCTGTAGGACTTCTCCACGTTGCTTCGGCTTCCAAGAGTTTTGGAAGCACCCCGCACGCGTCCGTAATCGTCCGTACAGAAAGTCCACACAAGAGCATGGGTTGAGCAAAGGGCAGTGCTGCGGCGTGCGCACAGGTCCGCCTTTGTATGGTTTGGCGGAAAAGCAGTTGCGAAACAAATGCCCGACAGGAGTCACCCAGGGAGGTGGAGCAGCGACAGGAGGCCAGTACGAAATATACCCGGCTAGAACAGCTTGATGTTGTGGATGTTGTTGTCGCCCCTCTTGGATTTTCGGTGCTTACAGCTGCATGGAAGCCAATGTCCCACATCCCAGTCCCCCTCTAGGCTCGCGCCACTGTCGATCGCGCCACTGTCGACGCTCGAAAGGTGCGGCAGGCGCGGGAATCTCGCAGAATCCGGTGGACGGCTGGTGCCGCCGCTCTGACTCTGACTGCTTTTTGTTTCAGGTGTCACCTGCCAGGGAGATGTCAGTTACCTCAGAGCAGCGACAAGAGGCCAGTACGAAATCCACCCGGCTACAACAGCTTGATGTTGTGGATTGTTGTCGCCCCTCTTGGATTTTCGGTGCTTACAGCTGCATGGAAGCCAATGTCCCACATCCCAGTCCCCCTCTAGGCTCGCGCCACTGTCGATCGCGCCACTGTCGACGCTCGAAAGGTGCGGCAGGCGCGGGAATCTCGCAGAATCCGGTGGACGGCTGGTGCCGCCGCTCTGACTCTGACTGCTTTTTGTTTCAGGTGTCACCTGCCAGGGAGATGTCAGTTACCTCAGAGCAGCGACAAGAGGCCAGTACGAAATCCACCCGGCTACAACAGCTTGATGTTGTGGATTGTTGTCGCCCCTCTTGGATTTTCGGTGCTTACAGCTGCATGGAAGCCAATGTCCCACATCCCAGTCCCCCTCTAGGCTCGCGCCACTGTCGATCGCGCCACTGTCGACGCTCGAAAGGTGCGGCAGGCGCGGGAATCTCGCAGAATCCGGTGGACGGCTGGTGCCGCCGCTCTGACTCTGACTGCTTTTTGTTTCAGGTGTCACCTGCCAGGGAGATGTCAGCTACCTCAGAGCAGCGACAAGAGGCCCGCTCGAATCCCACGCGGCTGCAAGTCGATGTTGTTAAACTTACGAGGGTGGTGCTTTCAGCTGCGTGGAAGCCGATGTCCCACTGTCCCACATCCTCCAGTCCCCCTCTAGGCTCGTGCCGCTGTCGACGCTCGAAAGGTGCGGCAGGCGCGGGAATACCGGCAGATTTCGGTGCACAGCTGGTGCCGCTGCTCTGACCGCTTGCGTTTCAGGAGTCGCCTGCCAGGGAGGTTTCCGTGGCCTCGGTAGCCTCGGTGACTTCGCAAGAGGCACAGGGAAGCAGTGAGGGGAAGTTCTTTGGAAGTACCTGAGAGCGGCAGTCAGCAAGTCCACACAAATCCTCAAGAGATTCGAGTGCGGAGGGGAATCCCCAGATGAGGACGGCCTGGGGCCCAGTTCAAGAGAGGCGTTTCAAGGATGTTGAAAATCTTTTGCTTTTGTGAGGTCCGCGTGTCCAAGTTCCAGCAAGCGAAACAAGCCAGGCTCAACGGGGAAAGGATGCCGGAGAAGGCGAGGAAGAAGAAGCTTTGTACATTGCACATCATTGAACTGAACTCCGATCGCTATGACCTTCGTAGCCACCCGGAAAACTGCCGCAAGAAGAAACCGCTGGGCTCGCATTCGTTGCATGGCTCCCTGTCTTCCTTTTCTACACAGTGTAGACACCTTCCCCACAGTCTTCGTCGGGTTGCCGGGTTGGCGTTGTGAAGGTTTGAGCGGAAGGCTCACTGCTAGACTCCATGCATCTTTAGTACTTTCATGTGGCAGAAATGCATTCGATTTGTAGAACTGATATCCGGTAGAGCCAGTGCTCCGGAAAACATCTAAGTCTAACATCAAGCGTCAGCTGCCTAGCAGACACTCTTGCAGAAACAAAAGATAGTATACAGGTATTACTACAAACGGCTTCTGCTAGCAGCTGATTTCTCAACAAGTGGCGCTTGCTGTGACGAGATGTCAGACCGCATACCAGCACTCAATGCCTCAAATGCCTCATTTGCACAGCGAGTGGTAAACTCGGTTCGATCAGGCGCTTCCGTAAGAGACTGCAGCTCAAAGCCTGTTTGTCACTGAGAGTTCTTCCGCTGACTACGTTGAATGGCCTTGGCTTGAGAGAAGCGCAGTATCAACAAGACACCGTAGGGCCGCTGACAATGCCAAATTCAGAAGATGCATGTTGTCATCTACTATGAGGCGCCAATTATTCTTTTTACAGGGAGTTGCTTTATGCAAGAAATTGGAAGAGAGGTGCTCTTGCCAAATCTGACATATCGGATTGGGTTGGAGGCGAACACTAGCAACGTGGCATTCCAGATAATTCGTGCCTTGCGGCAGGCTTTAACACAGCAAGCAATTCGGACAGAGAAGCAGACCCGGCCTCTCCCCCTGTCCCCTCTCCCCTCTCTCCTCTCCCCGCTCCCTTCTCTCTCTTCTCTCTCTCTCCCCTCTCTCTTCTCTCACATCTCCCCTCTCTCTTCTCTCTCCCCTCTCTCTCTCCTCCCTCCCCTCCCTCCCCTCTCTCCCCTCTCTCCCCTCTCCCTTCTCTGCTCTCCCTTCTCTCCCCTTCTCTTTCTTTGAGGGAGGAAGACATAGCTGCTGGCACTTTTTCTGTTCGAGAGAACCATGTTAAGGCCGAAAGGAGATCGATGAGTGACGAGAGAAGGGTTGGGGGATTGGGGGAGGCGAGCGTGACCCGCGTGACCTCGGTTCCGGCACCTCTGGTGCAGATGAGTACACGGAAGGCACCTGGTTGCAGCGTGGTGCTCCAGTCCTGTCTTCGAAATGCCACCCGCGTGTGCAGGGATCCTTTTCTTTGCTCCCAGACACACAGGCCGTGCGAGCCAGTGTGGGACGGCAGTGGGCAGTGAGATCACGAATCGAAACAAATTTCGGAGCCAGGACTGCCCTAAGGAGCAGGAGATTGTGCAGGCCAAGAGTGTAACGGTGTAACACTGGTGTAACAGTGTAACAGTGTACCGAAATAGGAGCGAGAGGAGATGAGAGGAGCGAATCTGTTTGAACTTGCGAGGGACGGCCCTTGATGCTGAAGAAGGTGCGGCACTCAACTCGCTGGCTACATGCGCCACATCTGTCCATGGGGTCTTCTCGAAGAGCAAGAGAGACACGCTTGTAGCACAGCAGAGAGACGCACCATGACGCAGCCAGCACTTGTAGAAAACGAAGAGAGCGAGTGCGAGTGCGCACAGAGCGCTTTCGTTTGAGTGTGGCGCCGCGGAGAGTTGTGCAGCAATCTGAGAGTTGGACTCTCTGAGGGCTCCCTGTCCCTCCTCCCGGACTGCGACGATCGGCAGGAGAATCACAGCGAGAGAGAGAGAGAGAGAGAGCACTCTTGGGGAGCGCGGAGCATCTCCGTTTCTTTCTTGTGTTTCAGTGTTCCTTTTCCTCGTGTGTTTCCGTGGGGAGAGAAGGGCCGAGTACTTTCTCTCTCTCGCTTTCTCTCTCTCTCTCTCTCTCTCGCTCGCTTTTTGCGGTGTCTCTCTGTGTCTCTGCGTCTGCCTGTGAGGAGTTCTCTGCCCACGTGATGAGGGCTTCCGCCTCGGCAGTGGAGAGAAGAACTCACTGAGAGCACTCATCATTCCGAGTGTTGTTGTTTTTTTCTTCTTCTTCTTCTTCTTCTTCTTCTTCTTCTTCTTCTTCTTCTTCTTCTTCTTCTTCTTCTTCTTCTTCTTCTTCTTTTTTTGCATCGACACAGGGCTAGGCTCGCTCTCCGCCCTGGGCAGCACACGTCACTGACACATCTCATTCTGCAAAACTCGCGCACGCTGAGGAGCGGCCAACCGCACTCCGCGTCGAGGACCTTCCGAATATACTATATATACGAAATGTAGCAGCGTTGGTCTCTGCTTCTTGTGCATCGGAATGGCGTGCTGTGCACCCGCAACGCAGCAAAGCAGCTGTGCAATGCACGGCAAATAGAACGCACAAACCACTGTAATGTCACATGCATCCGCAACATGTGTTCACAAACTCTTTTTTCCGTGACTCCGCCTTTGCTCTTTGTGTTTGAGAGGACCCGCTGCCTGTCCGTGCCCCTTTTGCGCGGCACTTACAATCGAAGACAGGCCTTGCTTGCTCATCGCAACCCAGTCTCTTATGGGCCGGCTCTTGTCATGAGAGTGTTGTTTCGGGAGTCTCTTTTCACCTTAGAGAGAAGAAACACCGCGGCTATAAGAGCACTAAGGAGGAGAAGCGCGAAGCGAGGTTTTCGGTGGCGCTGAGCAGGGCGAAGGCCTCCGCGGCGGCCTCCGAAGCAGCGACCGACGACGGCTACAGCTCCGGCACGCAGACGCCCAAGACCAAGGAGACCGGGAAATTGAACAGAAAAAATTGAAAAGAAAGAAGGGAGGGCCAAGAGTCAGCATAGAGTCACAGAATAGCAACAGCAAGGAGAAGGAAGGAAGGAAGGGAGAGGGATGGAGAGGGGGTGAGCGGCACTTAAGAGACCCAGCGGGAGGCCGTGTCCGAGAGCTCGCGCTCCGAAAGCGGGGACGGCAGCCTGGAGCGCGTCTACTCCCTCAGCGCCTTGGATGCCCTGCTGCAGGACACCGCTGAGAAAGGTGGGACCAGGGTGGGACTGAACGCCGCATGTCTGCGCCGGGGCGCTGAGGCTGAGACGACGCAATTAGGTACATGATGCTACATGTCTGGAGTTTGGGGGGGTTGCAGTTCTGGAGAGGCTGAGAGGCTTTCCACAGTTTTGGGGGGTCCAGCGGATGCTGGTGACCGACCTGATGCCCGTCTACGTGAGTTCTGCGTGTGATGCGGGGGCCGTGCAATTTTGAGTGAAAGCTGGAGGGACCCTCAATGGTCCGCTCTCCCTTTCTTCCCGTCCCTTCTTTCTATCTTGCGCGGGCGTGGGAGGAGGATAGGTCCAAGGCTAGGCCCAGCTAGGACTGCGAGCAGCGCGCAGACGGGAGGAAGTACTTGTCACACGTTTGGGTGCGGGCTGTCGGGGGCTGCTCCCCGCTCTTCGTCATCGAGTTAGGCTTCTGCGCGATTCTGCGCCCCGAGCGTCTTGTGTGCTTCCTCTCCCCCTTGAGGCCTGAGGGGCGCGGCTTTCTCGGCTTCCCCGTCTCTCATAGTCTCTCATCCTCCCTCTCTCAATCAGTCAAGCCTTTCTTGCTGCTCGAAATTCTTTGTTCTGTTCAATGACAATGGGTCAGGACCCGGAGGAGAAGGCGGATCTGCGGTCACACCTGGAGACAGAGTTGAAGGACAACAGGCCCAAGTACCAGTCGGCACACTTGAGCACCCCGGTGGTCATCGTGAGTTCGGAGGTGAACCCTTGGTCCAAGACCGGTGGTCTGGCAATGGTGGCAGGATCCTACGGTTATGAGTTTGCCATGAGGGGGCACCGCACTATGGTGGTGTCTCCCCGGTATGGCGAGTACAAGGACGCCCACTACGTAGGCTTTGCCAAGATTTGGTTGGATGGCTGTGAGCACGAGGTGCGCTACTTTCATCTCTACCAAGACCTCGGCGATGGCAAAGGGACGGACTACGTCTTCGTGGATCATGAGAGCTATCACCGTGGCGGGCTTTACGTCGATCGAGAAGGCAGAGAGTATGCTGACAACTTGTTGCGCTACGCGCTGCTCACCGTGGCAGCCATGGAGGCCCCTCTTGTGCTGAGTCTGCAGGGCTCCACCTACGGCCAGGATGTTCTTTTCATCGCCAACGACTGGCAGACAGGCTTGCTGCCCGTCTACCACCTCTACAAGTACCGTCGGAACCGCACCTACCTCAACTCCCGATGCCTGTTCGTCATCCACAACATCGGCTACCAGGCCAGGGAGAACGATCGAGCCTTGGGTTCAAGTTCGAAGTTTGCTTGCGCTGTCTGTGTTATTTCTAAACCCTGAGAGGGCAAGTACCGGCTGAGCAAGTTCCCGCTCGACAGCTACCTGGGACTCCCACCCGAGGCGCGGATGTGCAGGGATTTCCGAGGTCACATCGAGTTTTCGATTTGTGAAGTCCCATGCTGTGCTTAGAGTGTTGGAGTTTTTGCCCCTTCGCTTCCTTCCTGCTGAGGCCATCGACCTGATGCAGGGCGAGGAGGGGTCAGTGCGATGTAACATCCCAGCCCTGCAGAATCCTCAGAGCCGGCCCCACACTCGAGTGCAGGACTTGAACCTGGGGGCAGACTGCATGAACTTGATGAGCGCTGCAATCCTTGCTTCCGACCGCGTGCTGACAGTCTCGCCGAACTACGCCACGGAGGTCACGATTCTTGGGACGGCTTGTAGGATTGGGCTATAGAATGCCATAGAGCTGCTGCCAGTGCGCGGACATAGGCCACAGAAATACAGACAACACTCCGGTGCCTCTCCAGCTGGAGAGGCGCCAGCACTGAGCAGGCTTCATTTGACCACTGCATTCTGCTCCTTGTTTGTGTGGTGGCATCTGTGTGGTCTTCCTTTCTGCCACCTTGACCCCGCCGTGTTACCTTTCGCCGGCTTCAGCAGTGCAACCACCGAAGAGTCTTGAGGGATCGATTAGCATCTAGGCAAAACAAGAACTTCCGTCCTCGTAACTTCATGTCATGTCCAAAGACCCGCCGCTCTTCCCATCACTTCCCTGTGTGGCCTGTGTGCCAATCGTGGCTGTTTCTGGTGCTCTGTGAGTAGTGTGAGTAGCAGCTGCTGTGGCAGCTTTCGGCCTGCTGGCATAGTGAGTGCAACATAAACGTGCTTCACATTCTGATATACTAACTCTCGCAGATTAGATGAGCCAGTACCACACAGTCTACGGGGAAACGCAACAACCACAACCGACAGAACAGAGGCTTGAGCGGAACATCGTTCATGGTTTTCTGAGTTTTTCTGCGATGAATTCATAAGTTCTGTCAGGTCCAAAGCCCGGAGGGTGGCCAGGGCCTGCACGCCATCTTGACCGAGAAGGGACGGCAGATGCGCATGGCCGGCATCCTGAACGGTATTGCGGACGAGTGGGATCCCCGGACGGACCCGCACATCCCTCGGAACTATGGCCTGTCGGACTTCTTGGAGGGCAAGGCGCATGCTAAGCGGGAGCTCCAAAGATCGCTGGGCTTGCACGAAGACCCGGGTGCTGCATTGATGGGCTTCTGTGGACGGCTTTGCTTCCAGAAGGGCGTGCATTTGATCACGGAGGTCATCCCCTGGCTCCTCACCTACGAGAATTCTGGTGTCCTTGGCCGGGTTCAGGTCATCCTCATGGGCAAGGGCGAGGACACCTATGCCAATCAGCTCTCCCACGCAGAGAACACCAACCGCGGTCGAGTCTGTGGCCCCTCGGCTTTCCAAATCGCGGAGCTTTTGAAATTTTGAGCGGGGTGCTACCAGAAGCCGGCACCTAGTATCAGCATGCTGCAGCTGATCTGAGGATATGTCGGCTTCGACCCGAAAGTCGAGCACCGCATGATGGCGGGATGCGACTTTCTGCTCATGCCCTCGCAGTACGAGCCATGTGGTCTTCCGCAGATGCCGCTTGGCACACAGAGCCGCCGCAAGTGGCAGTTGAGTTGATTCGTCTGGCTTTGAGTCTGGTACAGCTTCTGCAGGTCCTAACGTCGTTGGTCGTCTCAGTGCAGCCAAGTTGTGTTTGCATTCCGCTGCAACATTGACCATCGCACATTCGCACCCATTCGAAAATCACATAAGCTCACAATACACGCTGCGAAGCCAATCAGGGCGAGCTCCATCAAGAGCCTCAAGGAATGCCACTCTCAAGAGCCTGCCTTGTTGAGATACGAGACACCGTTAACCGAGGTATGCACAGGCGTACGGCGCTGTGCCCGTGGTCCACGAGACAGGAGGACACCCTTCCTTTCTGACCTCTTCGCACTTTCTCTTTCTCTTTGAAGCATCTCCTGAACACATTCGTTTGTTATTTTCTTTTTCCTTTCTTCTTTCCATCTCGCTCGCTCTCTCTTTGTTTTGCTCTTGGGTTCTGTGTAGTTGTGTGTTGATGTTGTGTGTTGCTCTATCTTGCTGGACTGGGGTTCTCCTCTCACCTGCTGCTTTGTGAGGCCTGAAGGACTCGGTGCTGGGTTTGTGGGACGAGCGCAGGGACCAGGCCACGGCCACCGGGCAGCGGCCTCAGAAAAAGCAAAAGTTGGGCCAAGCAAGGTTAATTCCCCCCCCCCCCCCCCCTCCAAAAAACAACAAAAAGGTTGGGCTGATGTCTTCTGAGTTAAGTTAGGGCTATGGTTCTCGCTCCTCGCGAGCACGCTCCTCTGTTCTTTTTGTGTGCTTTTTGTTGGGGGGGCAGGTTCCTGTTCTCCGGCTTTGACGCAAACACCTTCAAGGAGCGGCTCTACCAGGCAGGAAGAAGCTGGGAGAGGGAGTAGGACCAGTAGGACTGAGTAAGAGAGAAGGAGCAGATGTGCCTTCTCTTGTGGGTCACCGTTTTAACCTTTGAAGCGCCCACAGGCACTGGAGGTCTTCCACAAGAAGCCGGACATGTTTAGGCGGATCCAGCAGAACGGCCCGGACCCCCGGCTTTCTGTCTCCTGAACCCTGAAAGCTTCACTGATTCTGAGCTGCATGCTCTCCCACTCTCTCTGCTCTCCGACTTGCGTGGCTTTTGGATCTTCCTTTTTGCTATAAAAAATGAGGCCTGCGGAAGAACTACTACTGGCCGCAGGCATGAGAGGGACTCGGGGGGGAAAGATCCCACTCTGAAAGAAGAGAGAGAGAGATAGAGAGAGAGAGAGAGGGAAGAGAGACAGAGAGAGAGAGAGGTGCGTTTGTTTTTTTTCCACGGAGAGGGTCTCCCTAAGCCTTGTTTGGTGGGGAGGCCATCGACGAGTACGAGCGGCACCTTGACTGGACGCTGGAATCGCCCCTGGCGGTCGGATAGTGAAGAGAGTGGGCTTTTAGTGAAGAGAGAGAGCTGAGAAGCGTTCGCTCTCTCTGCATCTCCCTTCAGTGAGTCCCTCTGTGCGCAAGAGAGCGCTCTGTGATGAGGAGCCTCACGGAGAGAGCTCTCAAGTATAATGGAGATGGGGGGCAGAGCACACCGAGAAAGCGCTGCCCCCCACACCCCTCTGGGCACAGCCGTTGCCGTATTCTGGTGCGGTTGTCGGCCCATTATTTTTCTATGGGGGACCTTCCCCGGAAGCACAGCGCAAGGCCGCTGTTTCTCGTATCTCGTACATGTGTGTTTCCCCGAAGGTGGCTACGAGTCATGCATGCAGACAGTCCAGCAGCAAGAACGCGTGTAGAGAGTATCTGAGTATCCCCTTTGCTTCGCAGCTCTCGCACAGCTCGCGCTTTTAGCGATCTGTGACCGAGAGGAAGTTGTCCCCTTCGGAGGCACGTCCGTCGCACAGCTACTTGAGGGAGAGCATCGTAAGCTGCCACATCTGGGTGCCAAAACTATGCCGAAACTATGAGAAAATATAGAACACGCAAGCTCTGTTGTAGCATTTTGTCGGCCCAGCTGCAGCTCTCCAAAGTGGGATGCTTTAGACCCCGGGAGCGTTTGTTTTTTTTCCAGTTTCAATTCTGAGGTGCCTCCTTGACCATTCAGGTCACTGGAAAAACACTGCGCCTCTCTTGTGAGAAGTGCGTGATTTATGGCACTTCACAGCCCCACTTTGCCTGGCAAGTACGCTGCAAGGCAACGTGGTTGAGACACAGATTCGACAAAGTCAATTCGAACTCATTAGGTGATCTTTTAAGATGTCTTTGACAGCACGTCCTAAATCTGGAAGCGCGCACTTGGGGTGAACGCAGCTTCACGTCACGTTCACCACCAGTGGGGCCTATAAGCACTTGCAAGCGCGTGGTGTTTTGTGGTGTCATATCATTTTGAAGAGCTTTCTCCGAGATTTGGGATCTGCTGACACACCCGTTTCCCTCGTTCAGGCCCCCGAAGGATGGCCCGAGCCAGACCTGCTGCAAAGCTCAAGCAAGCGCCACATTTTACAGCGGCGCAGCTTGTTCCTTGAGTGAAAGCTCGAAAAAAGGTTGAGGGGCATGTCTTGTTGCGTGAATGGTGCTCTCACTTTACACAGCGTTCCTCGTGCTCCATCCAGTTCTCGCCACTCGCTAGGAGGTCTCCTCATCACGCTCCTTTGTTTTCTCTTTTGGTTGCCGAAGCTCGAGTCCACCACTTGGCCGTTCTTCGCATTCGACTTAGAGAAACTACAGAAGCTGATTTTGAGATTCGGTTTGCCCCTCCCCCTGACGTGACCCCACCTCCCTGTTCACCCGAAACGGCACTGAAGCACCGTTGCCTTCGCACTGCGAGCGCCTGCACCAACAAGATGACCGCGCGTGAGAGCCCCTCGGAGTCATCTCGTGTCCAAAGCATGTCCGGATATTCTGATGTTCGTGTTGCTGCATATTTTGGCACGTGAGGGGGGAACAAAGGAGTGGGGGGAGGAGAGGAGTTTAGGGTTTGTATAGAAATTGTATAGGGTTTGGGCCCCAATAACGTTTTGACCGAAACGTTTTGGACCGAAAGTTTTGATCTTTAAGACTTTATGACACAAGAAAAGTGGCCATGGTCATCTGAGTCCAGTGGCCTCTATGGGGAGAAGCGGCTTTGCCTTTGGCAGCCCCGGTGGCCCGGTGGCGGTGTACAGAGGACGAAGCCCAAAGCCTGGAGACCTTGAACCTGGGATGTTCCCCCTTATACTTAGGGGTTTAGGGTTTAGGGTTTAGGGTTTAGGTTGGGATGGTCCCCCTTGCAACTAAAAGTCCTTAGTACGGATTGTAGCACCCCTTAGATACTTCCCGATTAAGGGTTGTTATTTATCAGGGGGAACATCCCAACCATAAACCCGAAGCCAAAGTCTTGTAGCTGTGGGGGAGATCAGCACAACATCAGCAGAGAGGTGTGGGATAGAGCCTAAATCTTTATGGGGTCTTAGGTTTTCAGGTTTAGGGTTGCTAGACCCTAAGACCCTGTTAGGGTTGAAAACCCTAAGATACTGAACTTGTTTGGGTGGATGCGTTAGGGTTGTCTGCAGACTGAGGCCCATTGTCGTTTGTTTTTTATGCTGGCTCGAGAACGTCGGTGATTCGAGTAGGTTTGCCAACAGAGTGAGGCCTGGGACCAGATGCAGGTCTAGATGGCGCCAGAATCAGGGGCTCCCTTATCCCTGCAACGCAGGCCTATGCCGGAGCCCATGACCGAGACCAGGCCACTGGGCTGCCAGCAAGCGCGCGCAGTGGGTGGCAGAGAGAGCCAAGCCAGTAGTCCGGCCCTCAGATACGTGTCGTCAAGACATCTTGCTATATGGGTGTTTCCCAAAATAGGGGTACCCCCCGTTTATGCCCTAAATAGAAGAGAATCCCTTTACGCCTGTTGTCGGAAACACCCATATGTTTGTGTGTATTTGCGTGTCAAGACATGGGGCTCCCAGGTTAACTTCTGCTTCAGGCGTTCTTGCCAGCAGAATCGTGGCATCGAAGCTCGACCTCCGCTTCCACCACTATCCACTATCCCACTCAAGCATGATCCGAAGCATGATCCGAACAGATGTTGTGCCAACTGATCTACCCACCAAGGCTGTCACGAGGGTCGCCTTGAGTTGTCTTCGTGAGAAGATCGGTCAAACCACTCATCATACACAGCTGCGGCTGCTGCCACACCAAGCGGGTGGAAGCATTCCCTGGCCCTCGATGCGGTCACTCCATGTCGGAATCAGCCGCATTGCAGCATTGATCCCTTCGGCAACTTTGCATGAGCATGGCTTTGTGAGCATATCGCTCGCCCACGAGAACTTTGAGAGTTCCCGCAGTCATTCCATTTCAGGTCTTGTGATGCCATCAGCCAGATGCAGCCTTCTTGGCATCGTCGATAAGGAAAGGCAAAGGCGTGGAGCCAAAGCAATTTCAAGGTCGGTGCCTCAGGGCTCTCAATCTCTCCATCCCATTTCGGATGTTGTGATGCCATCAACTGCGTTGCCACATTCATCCCCTGGGGTGGCAAGTTTCCGTGAGCATGACCTCGTGAGCACATCACTGAGAACTTTGAGAGTTCCCGTTGTTCCCCTTGGAACTGTTGCCGAGCCTATCCCTCATGTTGTTGTGGCCACGTCAACTGGGCTGACTTCCTGTGACCAGCTGTCGTTGCGATAATGAAAGGCAGAGGCGTGGAGCTTGCGTGCATTCGAGGTTGGTGTCTCATGGCCCTCTGTCATTGCATTTCAGGTCTTGCGATGCGATCAGCCAGATGCAGCCTTCTTGGCATCGTCGATAACGAAAGGCAAAGGCGTGGAGCCTGCGCAATGTCAAGGTCGGTGTCTCAGGGCTCTCAATCTCTCCATCCCATTTCGGATGTCGTGATGCCATCAACCGCGTTGCCACATTCATCCCCTGGGGTGGCAAGTTTCCGTGAGCATGACCTCGTGAGCACATCACTGAGAACTTTGAGAGTTCCCGTTGTTCCCCTTGGAAATGTTGCCGAGTCTATCCCTCATGTTGTTGTGGCCACGTCAACTGGGATGACTTCCTGTGACCAGCTGTCGTTGCGATAATGAAAGGCAGAGGCGTGGAGCTTGCGTGCATTCGAGGTTGGTGTCTCATGGCCCTCAGTCATTGCATTTCAGGTCTTGATGCAGCCTTCTTGGCATCGTCGATATCGAAAGGCAAAGGCGTGGAGCCTGCGCAATGTCAAGGTCGGTGTCTCAGGGCTCTCAATCTCTCCATCCCATTTCGGATGTCGTGATGCCATCAACCGCGTTGCCACATTCATCCCCTCGGCATGGCAAGTTTCCGTGAGCATGACCTCGTGAGCACATCACTGAGAACTTTGAGAGTTCCCGTTGTTCCCCTTGGAAATGTTGCCGAGCCTATCCCTCATGTTGCTATGGCCACGTCAACTGGGATGACTTCCTGTGACCAGCTGTCGTTGCGATAATGAAAGGCAGAGGCGTGGAGCTTGCGTGCATTCGAGGTTGGTGTCTCATGGCCCTCAGTCATTCCATTTCAGGTCTTGCGATGCGATCAGCCAGATGCAGCCTTCTTGGCATCGTCGATAACGAAAGGCAAAGGCGTGGAGCCTGCGCAATGTCAAGGTCGGTGTCTCAGGGCTCTCAATCTCTCCATCCCATTTCGGATGTCGTGATGCCATCAACCGCGTTGCCACATTCATCCCCTGGGGTGGCAAGTTTCCGTGAGCATGACCTCGTGAGCACATCACTGAGAACTTTGAGAGTTCCCGTTGTTCCCCTTGGAAATGTTGCCGAGCCTATCCCTCATGTTGTTGTGGCCACGTCAACTGGGATGACTTCCTGTGACCAGCTGTCGTTGCGATAATGAAAGGCAGAGGCGTGGAGCTTGCGTGCATTCGAGGTTGGTGTCTCATGGCCCTCTGTCATTGCATTTCAGGTCTTGCGATGCCATCAGCCAGATGCAGCCTTCTTGGCATCGTCGATAACGAAAGGCAAAGGCGTGGAGCCTGCGCAATGTCAAGGTCGGTGTCTCAGGGCTCTCAATCTCTCCATCCCATTTCGGATGTCGTGATGCCATCAACCGCGTTGCCACATTCATCCCCTCGGCGTGGCAAGTTTCCGTGCTGTGGCCACGTCAACTGGGATGACTTCCTGTGACCAGCTGTCGTTGCGAGGATGAAAGGCAGAGGCGTGGAGCTTGCGCGCGTTCATGGCCCTCAGTCATTGCATTTCAGGTCTTGATGCAGCCTTCTTGGCATCGTCGATATCGAAAGGCAAAGGCGTGGAGCCTGCGCAATGTCAAGGTTGGTGTCTCAGGGCTCTCAATCTCTCCATCCCTTTTCGGATGTCGTCATGCCATCAACCGCGTTGCAGCATTCATCCCCTCACCGTGGCAAGTTTCCGTGAGCATGACCTCGTGAGCAGCATCGTCGATATCGAAAGGCAAAGGCGT